ACATCGGACTCACTGAAGCCGATCCATCCGGGATATTACGGCGTCTTGCAGACAGCCACGCAGTGCGTCGTTAAGACGTAACCACCGCCGTTTCGCTAACCCGCAGGTCAACGAAATCCTGTCGAGAACGAGGTTAGGCTTAACCAGTCGTAATCGTTACACGGTTGGTGGCGCCGGTGGGGGAGCGGGCGCGACTGTTCCGGCAGTGGGTTCCCATGGCGATGGGTAACCTAGAGATTGCCCAGCACAGGGACACGCTGCGGTACGCCAAGACGAGGAGCGGGGCGTGGAAACCGCAGGTGGTGCAGTACGCAGTAGGGGATTATGTGTACTTACAGCGTGAAATGTTAGACACGCTGGACACGCGGGCAGGGGCGCGGATCTGCGGGTGCGGTCGGTGGCAGGGAACGGGGTTCTGGAGCTGGAGGGGGCGGACGCGCGCACGGTTAGGGTGCACATGGAAAGATGTGCACCCTGTCACCGCGCTGACGTGGACGGGCGGGTCGATCCCCGGGCCGCAGTACCGCCGCCAGACTTCGCCTGTACGCGCTGCAAGAAGGCCAGCGGGGCAGCGCGCATGTTACTGTGTGACGGCTGTGGAGCTGGCTGGCACCTGGAGTGTTTGGCACAGCCGTTGTCAGCTGTGCCAGAAGGCGACTGGTTCTGCGCACGGTGCCAAGGGGGCCAGGAGCGAGCGCTAGGGCCAGCAGGCGAGTAGGCAGACCCGCAATCGGAGCAGGCGGTAGTCAGGACTGGCTGGCGGTGGCAGCTAGGAGGGAAGAGCAGGGGGGTGCTCGCGGCAGCGCCACCGGAGTTGAAGCTGGCGCTGGCGGCGGTGGAGCGGCAGTGGTGCAGGCTGGTGCCAGCGCTGGAGCTGCGTGCGGAGGCACTGGCGATGGTGCATTGGTGGACCCAAGCTTGTGACTTGGGCCTAGGAGGGGATGGGCAGTGTGGTTGACATGCTTATGGTTTAGTAGGGTCGAGTCACGCGGTTGCGTGGCGAGACGAATCAGGCAGGAGATGTGTTGGTGCGACAGCTGTCAGACTGGATGGTGTCATGCCGTATTTATGTCCGGTTGAGTTACTAGTTACTGTTAAGTCACTGTGTAACTAGAGTGAGGACATAAATGCAGAAATTTAATAAGTGCAGGAGGTTGCACCTAGTCTAGGGACAGGACATGACCACTAGGGAAAGAATGAAGCTTCATGCTTCATTCTTTCTTCTGTTCATTCAGAGGCTTTGCACTGAGGGTGTTCTACGGTGGTCCCTGAGAGCTTTGCGATGGCGTGAAGGAAGTCTCATGCAACGGTGTAATGGCGGCATGGTGTGAGTCATGTGCTTTGGTCACACTCATGGTCCTTCTGTGAAGCGTGGACGTGGCGCAGGATATTCACATGGGCAGTGTGGTTGACATGCTTATGGTTTAGTAGGGTCGAGTCACGCGGTTGCGTGGCGAGACGAATCAGGCAGGAGACTCGTGTTGGTGCGACAGTTTTCTATATCAGTATCGAAACAATCATGTACATTTGCTTCATCCTGTCGCGACAATCATCGTCAAGCTCTTTATATAGCTCTAACCTGTCTGGCAAGTGCGTGGCCATGATCCAACTTTGGCCATGCATGATCAACTCGAGGCATGCGAACGGTGAGATACGAGCGAGAGCAACGTAATTAGATTCCGAGTACAGGCTGGGAGACGGCAATGTATCCAGATCAAGCAATACGACGCCTAGGTACGTAATAATTATCTAGCTACTGTCCGACCATAGCCTGATCCGAATTAGTTTTAATGCACCACGAACTTACGTACAGTTGATTTCCCACGTCGGACGCTTCCGGCAAGAATAGCGGACCGGACCAGACCTGACCAAAGGCTTTAGCATGTAAATCTGCATAGCGTCTATGACGGTAGTTCTTCTCTCCTAGGTACAAATATACGATCGTTGACCGCAGATATTATAGTGCAAAAGCAGTTTCGCTGTGTGTTTCCAATGGTTGCTAATTGTCCGCAGTTGTCAACTCCGGAGAGATATTGAGACAGATAGTGTCCATTGAAATGTCCGGGCCCGCGCACCCAGGACGTGGGGCCATGAGTCCATAACTGACGTGGCGAGGGGTCCCTCTTGTCCATCAGCATCAGACGATCGCAGCCGTCGATCCGGATCCAACGGCGTTCGAACTTGCCCAGTTCTACGATGTCGAAAATGTCGACAGATTCCAAGGGAAATTTCCTTGCCTGTTTCTGTCCCAGGCGAAGGTGCAAGGCGACCTGCGCTACTATGAGAACATGAATTTGGTGTTCCATGTAGCCCAGGAGAGTCCGAATCACCATGCATTGCTGCGCTTGTTTTGTGATGGTTTCGCTGCCCAGTGCTGGCGGCCCTAGTTTACAGAATGTGGCCGGTGCTGTGAGTGGAATGTGGGTACCTAGATTAGAAACAAAACTCTGCGTCAAGATGTATTGAAAAAGAAAGAAAGTGCTTGGAAATGTTTGAAGCTGCTGTATTCGTGACACCTGCAAGGTGCATTTTCCTGGTGAATCAAATTGAGCCAAGAGTGCGGATGCTTCTCTCACGATTCTTGTAAACACTGCAAACGCTGCCATCAGTGAACCAGAAACATTCAGGTTGCCAGAAGAACCGGACATACCAGTGTCTCTAAGCAGGCTCCAAATCGCGTTGAGTGATCAAGTTAGCTCATCAACCCACATCATAAAAGATCAAGCACTGACGTAGACCCTCCTGCATTTTCGACTTCCGAATACTCTTGGCGGTGCTCGAACAGCCAGAATACTGATTGGTGGTTATTTGCACCACCCCCCAATCTCAACATTAAACCTGATCATTTGTTTGGCCCCAGCTGCAAAAGTTTGATTTCAAAGGCCCCGCTTGAAGCCTTCTCAGTTCACCAAGCTTCCCCTATGGCGCATCCAATGCATCCCGTCCCGGGGCGCACAATGTGTCAAGTCCTGCAGATCATGCTCCTGGCCGTTCTACTTGACACAAAAGTGGTGAAAGTTGCCGCAGTCTGCAACCGGAGCCACCCGCTGGTGGGGTTTCAGGGACCGCTCAGCTCCAGGGAGCACGGGGTTGGCGGTCTGATCACGATCATCGACGACTGCACTTTTGTGGCCCAGAGGTTCAACTATGATGGCCAGGTGGGCTTTTCACTAGGTTATTGCCCATCACATTTTCTCTGCGTAAAACCTTGTTTGCAGGTCTCATAGGCTGTCTCCTTGTTATGCTTTGCAGTCCTTAAGCTTGAGGTCCCAGGATTTGAAACAGACGGGACGTTTGTTGCAAGAACGTGATTTGGGACTACAACGGCCTATGACGACACTCGCCCATGACGAACTTGTATGTGCCCCAAAACGCCCCAAGTCGGATCTCTGAAGCTGTTACCTTGAAGACCAAGGTTTTGCGGGTTGTTTGCAGCGTTTTGATATCTGTTTTTTAAAGGGGCTAAGCTGGAAAGCTACAGCGCAGTTGATTACAGGAAACACGGTGCAAGCTAGAGTGTATCGAAGCTCTGCAACAGAACCAGGCGACACTCCGCCCTTTTACAGCGGAATATAATTTTAAGCTACTTCTCAAAACTTTGCTTCATTCCTGAATGTATTGAGGTGTGTCACATCATTCTGCTACCTTACAATGCACAAAATCCTTTCCACCACAAGGAACTCAAGCGCACCTGTTTCCTCAAAGTCCATCTGAAGTAATATTCGCATGAGCCATAAGCGCAAGTTTTTTTCCATCAGGCGCCGGCGGCTTATTGGTGGGCAGCCCCCGGGGCGTCCGACACGACCCTGACGCTGCGCCGGACGGGTTTCGCAATCAGCGAAGAACTGCCGAGAGAGAGACAGAGACAGGCAAGTCGGACAGTGGCGAGGTGATTGGTGGAACGTCCAAAATGGTCGCAACGCGATCATACTGTCTCCATTCGCCCGAAGAGTATTTCAGATCGTCAAGGGCCCAATCATTAGATGCGAAATGTACAGCTCTGTTCATCAGTTTCTCTAGGAGCTTGGTGCTATCGGCTCCTTTCATCAAAACTTGGGAAACGTGTCTGGCAAAATGCTTCCCTCGTATGAATTTAAGATCCTTGCAAAGAAGCAAAGAAAGGGATCGAAGTAAAACGGAAGAGACATAATCAACTCTTTTTTCTTTCCTTTGCAGACAACCCTTGTTCAGACGCTCCCTGAGAGCATCACATGGAACAACATCGGAGTGCTCTCCGTCTGGTGCGTCGATTTCAACGCGAACTTTGGAAGTGTGGTGCTCCGGATCCCTGCCCCAGACGCTGCGTCGTCCCCTCAAGTAGAAGCAGTACGGCAAGCAGTGGGGCTGACTGAGCTTCCGACAACCGGTTCTACTTTGGCGGCTCCCACGACAAACGCCACTGTATCAGGTTATATTCCTATTCCTAACTGCCCTTTTGTTGGCCTAGGAAGTAATCTAGGAACTGATCGCCTCTGAGAGAGCCGGAAGCAAGCTGAATCTGGGTCACTCGGAATAAAAGAACGTCATCATCTTCGCAGAAAGGAGGGTGTACGACGCAGTTTCAGCGTTGAGAGTTCATCCTTCTCCTTAAGTCGTGGCTAGATTCGACTTCTAAAGAGCGATCCATGTCCGCTACCCCAGGAAAGAAAAGGTTCATCGATCAATCCTCTATCGAATCACAGGACTGCGACTGACACCAACTTTGCTTTACGTCCAGTAGCTTGAGTCAGACGCTCCGACCGTCTCTACTCCATCCGAACAAGTTTCACTTCGTCTCCATCTAGGATCCCTTTTTCGCTCACGTCTTGATCCCAGGAATGCCGCGGACCTTCCCTCCTTCCCCCTTTTTAAGCCCTGACAGAAGTAACCTGACGATCTGGGGAACGTTTCAATCGTTCTCTAGAATAGGTAAAGTAAGCTCAAGTTATAGTAGTGGGACGGGTCGGGTTAGCATGGTGATTAGGCTGGGTACGAGTGCGGAGCGGGTGATTACTTGGGTCATATTTTAGTGTTAGCTTCGTTCTTACTGTAACTTGAGCTCACTAAACCTATTCTAGAAAAGTATCCTCCTTACCCCTTTCCAAGCTTTGACAGAAGCAACCTGACAATCTAGTGACACGTGTTTCCTTCTCCCTGTGCCAGGTGCCCCCGTCATGAACGCGTCAGCGGCGTGCGGCACTTCGTCGCCATTTGTGGGTTACCAAGCCCAGCTGAGCACCATCTTCCATGACGTGGCGGGACTGCTCACGGTAATCGACGACTGCACGCTCGTCGTCCAGAACTTCACGTGAGTGTCAAGTCACAGGGTGTTCCGGCCAAAACCCTCACGCAAGTGTCAAGTGCGAGGGCTTTCCGGCAGTGTCAAGTTAGAGGGTTTTCCGGCTTGAAACTTTACGTGAGAGTCAACTTAGAGGCTCACGCCGGGAGTGTCAAGATAGAAGGTTTTCCAGCCAAACCTTCATGTGAGTGTCAATCTAGAGACTTTTCTGGCCAAAACTTCACCGTGACTGTCAACTTGGAGGGTTTTTCGGCCAAAACCTCATGTGATTGTCAGATCAGAGGGTAACTGTCCGGCCAAAATTCCGCGTGAGTCTCGTTCAGGGGGTTCTCCGTCCAAATCTTTGTATGAGACTTCTTTCAGGGGGTGTTCCGTCCTCCGGAATGCCTCCATTGAAACCCGTCCTTTGATAAGCTCGGCATATCCATCGCCCTTAAGGAGCATGGAAAACCTTTCCTTCTTTGACAATCAGCTCGGGATAATCACTTTCTTTTCATAAGCTTGGCATATTGAACCGTCCTCCGAGAAGCTTGCAAGACATTTCCGTGCTTCAATCTGCTTGCTGGCTCGAGGGTTGCACATTGAGAACGTGTAGACTGGTTGGCGCGCCTTGTCTTGAGGCTTGCGACCAAGGGACGTCGACAAACCAAGTACAGTCCAATCAAAGATTGTGCTTGCGCGATTCAAACTCGCCTGCTTTGGTCTTGTCTCCACCGATACGGGCTGCCCGTCAGGAAAAAGGACACTGCAAAAGGTTGGGCTTCAACAAGTCGCTCGGACGATCCTTTGAAACCCAAGCCGTGCAAGAATTTGAAGGGAGTTGCTCAACTCAGTTTGATTGGATGTCTCCATAACTGCTGACCCTCGATATCTGCCCGTTATGGCAGAACCCGAGGTTAACGGTCAAACCCTCCATTCCAGGTTCGACGGGATCAGTGCCCCGGCCACCTATTTCCGGGGCGCCCGTGGTCCTTCGCGAGACGTCAGTTTAAATCTGGTCCATATGTCTTGACCCGACACGGTTAACGATCAAGCCCGTTTCGTTCCAGGTTCGACGGGAGTGCCCCAGCCACTTATTTCTGGGACGCTCTAGACTCTTCTCAGGACGCAATCTTGATGTTCGGTCCTTAATAAACCGGAGGGTTAACGATCAAACCCGTGTCGTTCCAGGTTCGACGGGAGTGCCCCGGCCACATATTTCTGGGGCGCCCCCGGCTCCTCCCAGGACCCCATCAGCCTGCGTGCCCCCCGCGGGTTCCGCTTAACCGACCAGCGGTTGACCCGTTCTGAGTCGGTGACCGTCCAGGTTAACCTCAAAGACAACCTGACATTTGCCGGGTCAGGGATTGGCGTGGTTTCCGTGTGGTGTGAAGAGGCAACGGCCAACTTGGGGAGTGTCGCATTGCAGCCTGCCGCCCCTGGTGAGAATAAGCTCCTTCCCAGTAGCAATGCATTTTTGGGTGAACATCAAATCACTTCGGGTGAACGGGAGCCTTCTTGTGCAATATGATTTGGAAAGAACGGTCATTCCCAGCGGAAGTGAGGGCTTCAATTGGTACATTGTGTTTCGATGAGGTGTCACCCCAATGAGTATACGCTCTCATTGAAAAGAACACCGCATGGAGTAAAAGTGCTTGTCGAAAACAGCCCAAGCTTTATATTGCTTCCTTTGAGCCACAATCTGGTCTCACAAAACCGTTCCGCATTGGAAACGTCCCTCACGGTGAATCCGGTCCTCTCCTCGTTTGCTGCATTGAAGAAAAGTACTCAAGGGTCTACTCTTCCCATTTTAACAATCTCACAACCGGTTGCTCAGTCGGACTTGAATCAGACCCCTTACCTAGACAGATTAAGAGGGAAGGAGCCTTCAACTGTCTACATAATGCTGGTGCGCGCCTTTAGATCTCTCCGAAACCTTCTTCAGGCGCTGCAAAGTCCGCTCTTCCTCCGTTGATAAAAAGGCCTGGACAACCTGCAGAGAGCACAACGCGAGAAATATTCTTTCATTTTCAGGCGCTGCCGATTCCGCCCCCGTTGCGATGGCCCGCCTGGCTGGAAAGATGGGGCTCCAGATCGGAACTCCACGAGCCGTTCCGTCCGCTTCCGTTGCTCCGGCTCCGGCCCCTTCCGCCGGAACCACACTCCTGGACGGCTTCCAGAACTGCGAGACGCTCGCGAGTGGGCGTTTTAACCTGTGAGTAGACGTCCTTTGCGTCTAAGCCGAACGGTTTCGCAAACCACTACTTCCCACAACGATTCATTCAACGATGTTTTCCATTTGGAACTGAAAAATGCTGGATCGATAGCTTTTAAATCCAGCCGCGTTCTGTCACTGTTCGTTTCCACAATTTCGAAACCTCCCATCCTTTTGGGGCGTCGGGACAGGTCCTTATTTCTCTGCATAGCCTATACTGCTTTCGAAGAGTTCCAAACGCGGGTGCAAACTGATTATGTCCTGAATTCTGCACGGGATTGTGCGCAACTCAAGCTCCTCTCCGCCTACTGAGAACAGAACGTGCTCACAAAGGATTACGATGGATTTGAGGTTTACAGCGACCTGTTCGCTTTAGCGGTACGGACGTCCGACGTTGTCCAACGAAGACAAGCCGTGTTTTTGAAGCCCCTATGTTCTAGTCAGCCCCAATCTTTCTTCAAATCAGCCTTATTCTCGTCAACAGCAGCCCCAGCCATTTGAGGATCAGCCCCATATGCTCAAAAGTAGGCCCGGACCTAACCAAAGCTGCCCCAGTCTATTCACATAAGCCCCGGTCCCGTTGAAACCAGCCCCTCACTTGTTCAATCATCCACATCCATGTTGAAAGAAGCGCCGGTTCGGCCGAAACCAGCCGCCTCGCGTTTATACGCACCACCCTTTCCCCGCAGCTACTGGACGCTCGACAACGCCACGTCATCCGTGACGTACGCCCTCGAGGGCGCCTTCGCGCCAGGCAGCTGGATGGGCTTCGGCTTCGCCTCCCCCAACGCGACACGTGTCCAGATGGTGGGCGCTGACGTCACCGTCGCGTCAGCCGGCACGATCGGCGGCATGGACGGGGGTTTCGCCCAGGACTATTTCCTGACCGCCCAAGTGCAGTGCAATTTTCAGTCGGGGCAGTCCACCGGGGTGTGCCCCGACCAGGGGCTCGGAGGGGGGGATCCCTCGCTGAACAACGTGCAGCTGCTGGGTTACGAGGTGGATAGCGGAGTGACCACAGTGCTTTACCGGTGAGTAAAAACGTGGTTAAGGAGTGCGGTGCTTTGATGAGAGATTGACGACAGGCTCCACTTTCTTTCCTCAGCAGGATTGCTTGCTTTTCCAATCCATGCATCGTTTCCAAACCTGATTGACCTCTGATCGGGCTTCCCGCTTTATCGAGGAGTCAGTCTTTCGCATGGGTCGTTAGCATTGAGCATTAAGCCGCATCTGATTCAGACGTTGTCTTTTCTTCATCTTTCCTGTGTGTACAAGTCTTTCATTCCCTGTATCCTTTTGTGAGTCGCTTGCTGATTGCGAGATTGCAAACCCTGTCATTGAGACTTTCTGAAAATGCATGCGCAGGCGGCCGCTGAGCACAAGTGACACGCGGTTTGACCACAACCTGACAGCTGTCCAAAACCGGATTGCCATCTTTGCCGCGGGGCCCCTCTCCGAAGCCTCCACGCTCGCGCTTCCGATTCCGCTCTACCATGAGAACCGGCAGGGTTACGTTAACTCGGGCCTGGTTATCAACTTGGCGAGGCCCGGAGTGCTGAACTGCACGCGGCTGGCAGGGAGCACTGCACCTGCCCCGGTTGAGGCAAAGGTTCCGGTGGGGGTTATCCAAGGTGGGTTTGCGTTTAACCGGTACAGTACTATAATCCCAGCGAAGTTAGCGAGCTTATGAGCGTTTTCGAATCAACTTAGAAGTAAGTGGACTCCTTACGAGTTTTGAAACTTATGAAGGGTGCAGTCCTTAAGGCTTGCCATCGAACAGTAGTCGCCCCTTGTCAGTCGTCTTCTCCCTTTTGCAGCCGCAAACGACGTTGATGCAATTGCTCTGGTAGCAGCAGACGTACTATTTGAATAGTAATCGCTGCTTTGGGCTGACCGCAAGCGACTACTTGAGCATCGTGATCAGAACTATTTGCGTGCTGGCTCAAAACTGACGTCTGTTCGCATAGCTCAGAAGCGGCCCCACCTGGTATCACCGCAAAATTTTAGGCTCCTCAATTATGACCGTGCAAGTCCCGCTTCTTCTGACGTCATCAACCTTAAGTGCGCTGCACTTCGAATATTTGACGTGCTGAGCCAAACGCCAATGACTCGGCTCCCGTTTGCGACCGTGCAAGTCGACCTTCCTGTAATGTCACCATCGCATCATTAAATTGACACTGCACTTCCCGATTGTGACTCAAGTCTGTTCTCAGGTGCCACTGTCCTCAACATCACCACCGGGCTCAACCCAAACTACCCCAACTCACTTCTTCTGACGTCAGCATCGCATCATAATGTCGACACTGCACTTTCGCGATCTGACTTACGTCATTCTCAGGTGCCACTGTCCTCAACATCACCACCGGGCTCAACCCGAACTACCCCAACCCGCCCGCATGGGGGATCAGCTTGTACATCAACGGGAAAGAGTCGCCCGTCCTAGTTGTCGTCCGGGGGGTGGAGTACACGTTCAACATCATGGCGACCGAGGAACACCCCGTCTACATCACAGGCATGCTTTTCTGATTTTCTCGCTCCTAGTTCTTTGTTTCTGCATAAGCCGACCGGATATATCGCCCTTTAGAAGGTTTGGGCTTCTTGATTGCTGTTCTTGCCAACGTTCTGAAAAGAACTTTGATGAGGATTTGAAAGAGCATTCAGTACGGTTACAGGCAGGGCTCCTTCTGGGTAGAGCATCGTTGGCGAGAAAAGACCTTTTGCCGGCGTTTGATTTGAAAGATTCTTCCGGGGCTTAGGAGGACAGCGTAGGCTTGCACATAGCAACGGCTCATAGTCAAGTGCGTTGTCAGACAAGAAGCGACGATATTGATCCGGCCTTCCTCACAACATCGATTCATTGCTCCCAATTCCTGCTGAAGTAGAAACATGCTCTGAATGTCTCCCGCTATCATTATTTCAAGAATTCTAGTGCGAGGCCTTGCCGTAACTGCCTCAGAAAGAAATTTTACGGGCCTAACGGAGGTTCTGCGTGCTTCTCCGCGCAGACGATGTCACCGGAGGAACGGCGAACACGCTAGAGACAATCTACGCTGGCGGGCTCTTCTCGTATGGAAACGAGACGGCGCCATATACTTTCAAGTGGACACCGAACGCTACTGTCCCCTCGACGCTCTATTATCAGGTGCGACAAGCTCTTTCCGTTTGACATTCAGATCTTGGTCAGCTAAGACGGGCCTCGTGATGTTAGGTTATTGGGTACTTCCAAACGCATCTATTCGCAAAGAGAGCGTCGCGTCAATCAGATCTGCTGTGATGGCTAACATCTCCTGGTGCAAATGAAGGATTGATCCAGCGAAAGAGCATGAGCCGAGAGGTCTAATAGCTACGGATGGTTGAAAGAATGTTGATGGTAACATTAGTATCATACATACTGCAAATATTTCCAATATTTCGACCGGTCAACTTCGTCTTACACCTCAAGCAATCCGTTTCGATACTTCGCGTTTGAAGAAGTTGAAACATAATCCCCTTCGGGGCCTTGCAGTGCTTCGTCCACCAGAAACTAGGGTGGAAGATCCAAGTCCAAGATACGAACGCCACGGTTGCCGATCCTTCGACCGTTGCCGCCGGCAGCAGCGCCGCCGTTACCGCCCCGACCAACGCCTCAGCCTGCCCTCCCGTCCCCTTCAAATCCAACGTCCTCAATTTCGCCACGTGTACGACCTTCCCCGGCGGAGGACAGCTGTCGTGGACTCTCAGCGAGAGCAACTTCCTGCGAGCGGCGTACTCTTTACAGGTAGATCGCCGGCTTAAAGTGCTTCGAGACCGTCCGATGGTGGCAGGCACTGCCCTGTTGGGTCATATCTGCCGTCCGATCGACAAGCTTTCAGGGCCTCTTCAACTCCAACACCAGATTTTTGCGGTCCCGCTCTTGTCCTCCTAAGGATTCCAGACTCCGCCCTTGAATAGAGTTTCAGTAAATGCAGAGCATCCTTTGCGCAATTGCTGCTATCTCTAAAATAGAGCGATCTGCCTGTTCACAGCACGACGGGTGGATCGGTTTCGGACTATCGCCGTTGGGCCAAATGGTGGGCTCGTCCGCGGTGGTCGGGTTCCGCGCGCCCAACGGAACTGCGCTCGCGAGCACGTACTACCTGAGCGCGCAGACGGAGGCCGGGGTGAGACGGAGCCGGATTTGACGCTCTTATGCCTATCGTTTCTCTCAATACCGTTTGTCTCATTTCGGCTAATTTGGCGTGTGTATTGTGTGAAGACTGGGCAATCTAGGCGACAGAAGAAATGAGGTTTTGAGTAATACCCGCTGCTTGGGCTTGAAGTATCGGTTTTGCGCTTCTCGTGAAATCCAGAAAATTGACTGTATATTCAGGTCCTTCGCTGTGCTTTAAGTTGGAAGACATACAGACATTGTAGAACGGCTTCAAACAGTTGAGGGGACAAGATACCTGCGGTTAGCAACGGGGGTCATCCAAACCTTTTTCGGAAAGCAGTTCAAACACACGAGACCTATTTTAAGGTCAAAACCTCCGGTTGGAAGACGGACGGACGGAGTGGATTGAAAGCATCGGAGTGCGCTAGCTAGCATTGTGCTTCACCATTTATGTTACTGAACGAGTTTTTGACAAAGTGCAGTTGATGTTAAAAGAAGCCCGACACCCCAGATTCACCCCTGACGTTGCTTCCTCGATCCTTTGTTAACAATGACGCTCGTATACGTCAGCGTCGCCAGCGGTTTCCGAAGAGTCTTTTCACACCCGGGCGCTCGTTGATCCTAAGGACTTGATGACAAAAGTCATGCAGCCTTTATGTCCTGGCCTTTGAGATCATTCCGCAGCGAAGACAAGTCTTGATTTCCACGTATCCAGAAGTCCTCGATTCGGAGCATAGAATTTTTGGACCCTTAAAGAAGTCGTGCAAATATGTGCTCAAAATACAGGGGCCGAGAAGCCACGTGTCACCCGTACAATTATCTGCCACATTCTCCTTCAACGTGACTCACTCAAACGCCGCCCACTCTCGTTCTTCATAGGTACGCCCGCCGGGGAGATTTGACGTTCGCAGCGTGGAAGCTGACTTCAGCAATGGCGTCATGGTCGTCTCCTTCTCCGCCCAGCTGGCGCCAGAAGAGGCGGGCGGATACGGTATCGTGTATTCCAGGGGCGCCAGCGGGGACGCCAACACGCTATCGCTCACCCAGCATAATCCGGGGGATGGCCGCGTGGGAAGCCTCGACTTCAGACTTGGCACGAGCAGCGTCAAGGGAACGGACCAGAAGATGAGAAACGTGAGGCCCGTTGAGCAAAAACGAAGTTCAAAGCGCTCTGGTAACATTTTCGTGCTTTCCCTTAGGGAGAGTACCTATCTGCGGAAGCTCCTTCCACCGCTTCGGTCCTTGCGTCCAACTTCATTGCGAACGCACCCCGGCATGCCGATCGTTTTCGACAGCTCTTTGTGCTTCCGGTATTCATTCCGCCTGTCGTCCTTCTTTCCTTTCCTGCCGTTGCGCCAGGTTTGACTTCTTTCCACCCATTTTACTCGCTCCAGCTCCAAGCGCACGGCTGTACCGACGCCACTCCTACTTCAAGTGATCAACGTTTCATCCGCCTTTTATTCCCCGAATCTAAGACTAGCATTCCATCCCGCCTTGTAAATCCCAATGTTCAACCTGATCAATCCATTTCGCTTTTGAACCCCAGATCTTAACCTCACTCCAATACAACGACTTTTCTTGCCAGGCGCACGACTGAATGAACGCCAGCTCCTCTTCGGGTCTCCACACTCACATTCCGTTTTTCAAACCCAGACCTTAACCTCACTCGCATCGTTTCCTTGTCAGGCGCACGGCTGGATCAACGCCATCTCCTGGGGCTTCCTTCTCCCCTTGGGGGTCCTCACCGCCCGTTACTTCAAAGCCCACGACCCGCTTTGGTTTCACATTCACCGGGCGGTTCAGGCGACCGGTTTCCTGCTCGGGTTATCCGGCTTTTTCGTCGGGGTAGCGCTCGCGGAGCGCGCGCCGGGCCAGCTGACGTCAGACGCGAAGCGCCACTACGGCGTCGGCATTGCCATTTTCGCGTCGGCGTGCGTGCAGGTAAGAACGAAGGGGTTTAGGAGAGGTAAAGGTTTTGACGAAGGGGTTGGGCGGGGTGGATTAAAGCAGAGTTCAATGGAGGGTTCTGCAGCTGTCAGGCGAATCTTAAGAAGTGGAAAAGAAAGTCGGTGAAATGACTGGTCTCTATCTGTTGTCTCTGTTATGTTGAGACGGTGCAACGGGTTAAGATAACGCGAGCCGTACAACACCTCCTTCTTTTGGACGTCCAGATTCCGGAGAGGAGTCCGCCATGTAATGACAACGAAGTTGAGCGGTATACTGATTCGTACCGAGTTGGGCTGGTCTCAAGTACTCAGAAGACACTCTGCCGTCCATGCTCTTCTGTCTGCAATCTGGAAAAGAAGTCAAAAGTAGGCTGAATAATCGAAGCCCAGACTCAAGAAGAAGAGAACACCCAGCAGAAGAGGAGACAACTTCGTGCCTTTACTACGCTGAGGACTAATTACTCTTGGTGTGAACACCCCGGCTGCAGGTGTCCTCGCTGTTCTACCACCCGGAGCCCAACACGAAGCTCCGCCCGGTGTGGGCCTTTTTACACCACTGGCTGGGCCGGGCCATCATTACACTGTCTATCATCAACATCTACTTTGGCCTGCACCTCCTCAAGCCCAAGAAGGAGTACACCATAGCGTATACCGTGATCATATCGGGTATCGGTGCGGCCGCGGTCCTGCTCGAGACGAGGCTCCAGCTCAGCAACTGCAAGGGCACCGGCGAAGTCCCCCGGGCAAAGAAAGCGAAGGACGACACCGAGAAACCGCCGCACTCGGACCCGGGGGCAGTGTGACCGGGGCATGGTCGGGATCTACGGGTCGAAGACTCAAACTGTGTACAGTAGTATTCGCTGCTATTGCAGCTGACGTCCTGCGTCGTTTTGGACATTTAGAGCGATCGCGAACAAAGAGGATTGTCCCTGCTTGCCTCGTTGTTTTGTTGTACATTGTTTATGCCTGACCGTTAAGTGCTCACGGATTGAAGGCCCCGACGGACTTGGCAAAACTTTAACGTTAGAGCTCGAGAAGAGAATTCTTCCTTTCTAATCGCTCGTAAGGTCGATTCAATAACATGTCACACTGGCATCTGTACAATAGATCTGGTTTTAAAGAAGCCCACGGAAACGATACACTTCCTGCTTAATTGCCAGCTTGTAGCACTATGGTTAGCTAAATTCTGGCATTACAAAACAATCGCGTGCATTGTGATTGAACTAGCGTAAATACAACTTATCTCACCCGAAATTCATGCACGTGCTTCAAATTAAGCCCGCGGAACAGAATAATTGAAGAATATCTGACTCCTTTCTCTTGTCATCGAAGCCGAGCCTGCTTTTCTTTCATGAAGTGCCATGCGTGTGGTTACTATGAATACCGAGGTACGTGTCAGATGAGCACATGCATGATAATGCGTGACCAGGCTGCGCATCATCATGCAATGCATGCCAAGAGTCTAAGTTGACGTTTTTGGTACACTCATATACGCCTTAACGTTGCAGCCCTCGATTAGTATTAATTAACTACGAGCCTACAGCCCATAGAAAGGAGTATCTTAGGGCGTCTATCTGTCGGATCATGAAAACGCTTTCTAAATAGAGGGGCTCTAACAGCAGTTCCACCTTTCATCTGGCAAACGACAAAAGCTTTATCGAAACAGTTGAGCAGGCCACTTAGGATATAAATAGTAGTCAAAAACGGCGACTTTTGGTACACCAGGCTTCGACAAATAAGCTAGGAACTGGGTCTGACTAACTGAGTGAGTGAGTCTGCCCATGGCAAAACAAACATCTATGCTTTCAGCACCAAGAGCCTAAAGATCTAGCAATCTCCTACACATCAAACGCGATTGTCATCTGCTCTTGCTCCATGACAACTCCGCTAACTTTTCTTTGATTGCTCCACTTCTTGTACTTCCACAAGCGATGTCTGACTGCCAAACCGATGTGTGATCCCCTCTTGTGTGCTTGCCGTGTCTGTCATGATAACCTCTCCTCTGTCCCCACCGTGCATGGTCTGCTCTTTGAGGTCTCCCCGGCCGTTTGACTCCAGCAACATTTCCTCCATGTGCCACGTCGCCCAGAAGTCCTGCAGCTCCTCACGCGTCCCCTTGACCAGCAAATCCACTCGAAAGATGGTGAAGCGCGTCTTGAAGTACCTGCCAAGCAGCCAAGACCACCACGTGCCGTAATCGCTCCCCTTGGTGCACCCTGCCACAACAATGATGCACACTTCTTTCCCTAGCATCTCCTTCCCACCCTCCGGGGCGCCCCCTCCCTCTGGAGACCACTTTTTGAGTTCGTCGTATGCAAAGCATATCTGCTGGACACAGTACCTCTTGTTGGTGCTCTCCACCAGTGTGAGGGAGTGCGCAAGTTCCTCGCACATCGTGTCTATCCTTGTTTTCAGTTTGCCCAGCCTCTCAGTGTACCTGAGGTACTTCTTCATCGCCGCCTCATCCGTGAAGTTTTTGCCAAGATGGCGCACAGATCGGACCCCTTGCTCCGAAAGAATCTGCCGCAGCCCACTCTCTAATTCTTCAGCCATTTCTGCCGCCATTGCCCCAGGGATCCCCATGCTCTTCCGCCGACTGAACAGGATGTTGTAAAGCTCCTGTTTCAGTGCATGTTCAAATTGAACCACCCGTTCCTTGGGAGGCAAGCCCGGCGTAACCACAAGCCTACTTTGGCGCCTTTCACCCATTACGTTTGATTGCCCTGAGGAGGGACTTTCTGGTTATTAGCACCCTTTCAGCGCCCTCAGGCTTCGTACTGAAGTGGCTTGGGGAACAGGCTGACTCTACACGTTCTAAGGCTGGGCTGTTGCCAGCAATCCCATGAACACCAACACGGTATTTATAAAAGCTAATCCACCCCACAGGTGCGCTGCCGTCCACTCAAGCAGGGGACCTTCCTGGTAGATCAGGAACAACCCGGTGCACAAGAAAGGTGGGATACCTATTCTCATGCTCCTTTGCAAACGATCCTGTCCAGCCTCATAGGATACTGGCAGCACTTTTTTGATTCCATCAGAGAATTGCTTGATCAAATGGCCAAAAATGGCATGAATTAACCGCTCAACCGTAAGCGACCAGCGGCCAACGTTTGTAAACCTCACTGTTTCCTGTCCTTGTGTACTAGGCTGTCCTGATCCTTCATCAGGATTCGTGTTGCTTTCGTCGCCAGCTGGTATGTCGGTTTTAGCCTGATGACTTTCTCCTAATTCAGCGTCCGCATCATCAGCAATATCATTTGCCATACCTTGCCATCAGACCATCAGCGCGCACACGACGCTGCCCTACCTGCAGCATTGGCGCCTTCATGCCATTTCTACTGCATTTTCATGTGTTTTGGCGCTCATGTATGCTCAAACCTCATCTGTGTGCAGCACAACGAAAAGGCAACGAAATTCACAACTTCAAGGTTCAAATAATGAATTGTGCTTGCAAGTTGCAGCTTGATCTCGACTCTCAGATACCTAACTTGCCTTTCAAAGGCATCTCCCCCTCCCGGCGTTTGAAGTGTACCTACCGTACGTACGCGGTAGCCTTCTATACTACGGTAGCTAGGTTCCGGCCGGGACTCCCAAGCCTACCGGTACCGGTAGTCGACTTCCAGGCTCCACCCCGGTCGGCCTGTCGCGGGGCCGTGGCAGAAATACCTACGTATTGGCCGCGTCAAGTCCGTCGAAGTCACAACGCAAATCTCCGGCGAGTGACGACAGCGTACCACCCCGGGCCCCTTTCCCGGCAGCTCAGACCCAGCGAAGGGTGATCGGAGTTGTGACCGTGTCGAGGTCGGGAGCCGGGTTAAACTGGTGTCCGGGGAGTAGGTAGACAGACAGGGTCACAGGACAAGGGAACCGAAACGTGCATGAATGATGATGAAGCTGCGCAGCATGAGACTACCCGCCGCCCGGTACGTCTCCGAGTCGGACCCGGCGACTGTTACCGGGCGACATACTCGATTGGCCGGAGTCCAGACTTACACGTCGAAATTGGAAGTCGCTGCGAAAATTTTACCACGTCACACGTGTTAGCAAGCCAGGGACGAAAGCTGATTCGCGGTCCGAGAACGGCTGCGACTCGGACATCAATCAATGATTGATCTTGCTGACATGCATTATGCACTTGCCGGCACTCAGCAGGGCCCCATGCCAGGCCCTCGCAGTGCTCGGGTACGGTACCTCGCGGGTATCGTCAGGCTTATAGTTGTGTATTACTGCAACCAAGCCATGATCATGTTGCCATTTGCACTTATTGCAGGCCAACCTTAGCACGTCAATAATCAATTAAACAAACAACCATGGCAGCAACCATGGATCTATGGATCTGTCAATTGAGCGCCAGTCAAAATCAAAACGCATGAGCGCCTGTCAAAAAGTATTAGCAAAACGGCCCGGCCAGGTTGGTGCTTCGATGACTGATCTTTGTTTGAAAGTGCCAGATTCGAGATTTGTGAGACTGATGGAGGACAAAACGAAAGCCTACAGCAACTTCAAGCAGGCAAATGCAAACGTGGCGGCCGCATGCGTTCAAGAGGCCTCCTTGGTTCAATCGAAGACATCCCTTAGAGACGGTTTATGTTGGCTCCGGCCGATCAAGTTGCCCGGGCCCTAACCAGCTGGCATCCATTGATTGCGCATGCATGCATAGGTCAAGAGCACCAAACTTGAGTACACTTGAACATGCGAAGTTTTACAGATGCCAACAATCTTTACTGCAGCAATTTCTATCTTGCTATACGGGATGCAATCGTCGGCAGCAGTACAAGGTGTTAAAACCTTGAACGACAGTACGTATGATGTGTGTTTGAACGGTTCGGTACGGAGTCAAAAGCAGAAAATGGTTTGACTCACTCACATTCGCATTGCAGGCAAAGACGGATGCCTAGACTCGGATTGTGCAGCTGATATATCTCGAGTTGAACGTTGAGTAACCGTGCTTTTAGCGCACAAACGATTGTCAGGAGAACCTGCAGTACTTGCTTGGCAGACTCAGCATCCAGACATACATGCACGCATACCAAACAGAGAAGTACTGACGGTGCACGAGGTCCATGCATGATTGAATGGTGCCAGCTTGTTGGTCGTGTTTTCAGCTTTGTGTTTGGAGGACCACATGTGTGCACTGGCAGTGCAACCAGTGTAGCTGCTCAAGTTTGTCCACTCTTAAGCTCTACTACGATGCATCACAGCTCCTGGACTCTTCGCCTCTCTCCAAGTGCATCTCAAAGACATATCAACATGCAACACAAAAGTTGAGAGGTTAATGACAAGCTGTTTACTCAAAGCCTATGCCATTTGTCTAGCAGGTCAGCGTATGTTACTAGTACCGCTTGTTTGGGAACGGAGTATTAGCCTGACTCGTAGCCGGCGTACACATCCTGACCATATCGTCCAGCGTGGTCTCTAGCATCTCCGCCAAAGACGACTCCAGCTCCGCCTCCCCCCAATTATGTTCCTCCTCCGCCAACCGCTCTTCCCCCACCTCTTCCTCTCCACCTACGCTCTCCTCTCCCTCTTCCTCGACATCCATGTCCCCACTCCCCTGGCTTCCCATCATATCTCCATTACCATTCTCATGCATCCGTTTTGCGAAGTCCTGGGACAGCTCCCGTTCGACTTCGACCGTGAGTCGCGCGAGCTCGTCCTGCGGGTGATCGTCAATCTCCGAATATCCGGGTGCGACAGCCCCACCATTGGCTTTGGGCGCGGCGTGGCTGTCGTGCCCAACTGTTTCGCCCACGTGGTTGCCGGACGCCCGCTTTACCAGTCCGTTGCCGAAAGGAGAGTGGTCGTTTGGAACGCCGTTCCTGAAGCGAAAACAGGGGCTTGTCTTGAGGACGTGTGATGGTGCATCAAGATCTCAATGCATTCTCAACGTACGTGGGCTCATTTTGTCCATTGTTGAGTGGGCATCCTTCCAAAGACTGCTCAGGATACCCAAAACATCAATTACACTGAATTCGGCCGGCCATGCTTTAACAGCTCCACGATTTTCACTCACTTCCCTCCCTGCAGAACGAATTGCAAAGCTCCTTTGAAGCCAAGCTCCCGAAATTGCCGTCTGTGCAACTCCTGAGCACTTAATATTTGCCGGTAAAAGGCGATGGTGAACAGACCTCCTTTCGTGCACATCGTTGGCACTTTTCTGCCCGTTAGGCACCCGCCCGGGCTTCACATCGAGGGCCGACAGCGACTTCCGGACAAGTTCGTCCTGCAAGGCGGAGCATCCGAGCCGTCAGATGCTAAAATGGACGGTCAACCCGATCGTCGAGAAAGCGCCTCCGGACGAACTGCTCACCCCCCAGAGAAATGAAATATCGTCGAGAAAGCCATCCGACCCAGTAATACACGTACGTCAACGGCAGATATCCCCGCCAGTGGGGTACAGCTTGCCAAGCAAGAAGCGGGCCCAATTCAGTTCTTTCCTTGAAGACGCGCACAGAGGAGCGTCTGCAAGCTTGAAACACGTGTAACCGAAGCCCAAGTACTTTGATATGGCGCGCATGGATCATTCGTCGCCTCTTGTTCTTGCAACTCTGCGGGGTTCCGAAGTTGGCTGTACAATCAATCTCCTCCGTCCAAGAAGACCTGCTACGAGTTACAGCGAATATTTGTGATCGAAGGTTTCTGCCAACTAGGTATCACCTTCCCAACTGGCATGCATGGCCATATTGATACCTCTGTTGCATCTACAAAGTTACAGAATGCCCCAATCGTACACGAATCCTTACCTGGGCCTTTGCAAAGAGCGGCGAGCCCCGCTGGAAGGTGGCTGAGAGGCGCTGCACCTCGGCAATTTCCTCATTGGCCTGCTGCTCCTGGAACGCCAGCTTGCGGGCCAGCTCCGCGCCCAGGACGTCCGACTGCACAAACACCGTGGACGGCTCCACCTTCTGCGGACGGGGAAAAAGTGCGAGTTCTTAGTTTCCGGGTCTTCAACGGGAGCCGTAATCGGGGGAGACTTTGACGGACCACTTGATCCACCTGTCGGCGTAGATTGCATTGGAATACTTGCTGAACATTGTACCAGCGGTTGCCGTTACAGCCGGTGGTAAGTGGGCGTTTGTGCCGTCACATTCGAGTCTCTCTTTAGTAGATACTAGAAGAGGGACTCTTCCAGATCCTTCCACATGATAAGAGGTAGGGCCACTTCCTGTGCCGCTACCCTTGTTTGATGGAGCCGCGTTTGATGGAGCCGCGTTAGTCCCGCAAGGAATGGGAATGGGGGCTGAGGCTTACCCATCACAAAACAGGGGGAAAGCCGAAGCCTACAGTGGAGAAGAGAAGAGAAACAAGACTAACGGAAAGCCACTAGATGGAAATCAGTACCGACCTCGGCCCCCTGCGCCTTGCCGACGAGTGAGGCAACCCTGGACTTGAGGCGCGTGATCTCCGTCTGCTCTTGGTGGATCTCCGCCAGCTTCTCGTCCATCTCGCGCTGCAGGGCCACCTGCTCCAGCTTCTTCGCCAAGATCGCGGCCTGCCATCAGACAGTAGCTTATTTCACAAGAGAGACGTTTTAGATTTTGTGCTTGCAAGACTTTAGGTGTTCAGGATATTGAGGTACTCGAGGTCAAAGATACAGCTTTTTGGCGGACCAAGTCACTGACATCAAGTTAAAGACCGGAAGGATCTTTGGAGCGTACTTTCTCTTCGGCAAGTCACCGAGATGGGCTTCGGCTGATGAGCGCTTGCAGTGCGCTGGCCAACGATTCAGTCGGGGCAGACGGCTCGAAGCGACCAGTCCTTCTGAGGGCCATCTGATCCGGCTATCGTGGTACGTTCGCGAGATTTATTTCTGCTAGCGCAATGCTAAGACCGTGGTAAATTTCAACGTCCGCTTCTGCCTTCTAGGAGTTATCCATTCGAACCGAGCTCCGTACCATGAAAGAGACGAAACGCCAGCAAACTGTACCACGCGCAAATCAGCAGATCGCCCTTACAGCAGACATCCCTGACAAAAAACTTACGAGATCTCTCCATTTTACTCCGCCCCTTGGATCATTCAAAGCCTCAAAAGGCAACAGGTCCCAACCCACACCTTTTTCAGGTGCGAGCGGGCTGCCAACCGTGGTCTTAACACGCTCCAAGCAAATCATGCAGCAACTCCTCACCTGCGCAGTCCCGTCAATCTGCTTGGCCCCGCTGTCCTCTTTCTCAACCCCGCCGTTCAGCCAGTCGTCTTCTCCCAACCCTAGTTCCTCCTCCTTCCCAATCTTGCGCTGCAGATCGACGATCATGTCGTTGTGGCGCTGGAGATCCGCCACCAAGCGCCCCGTCTCTAGTTTCTTCTCGGTGACCGTCCGGAACCGGTCCGAGAGCTCGCGCGCGAGGGCGTCCATGTCCGAGTGCATCTGAGAGATGTCCGGATCGGCGGCAGGCTTCAGGAAGCTCCGGTGCTCGTCGACTGCACAAGAAAGTTCGTCGGACTCTCAGAAAGCGTGGAAAAGCGCGATCGCCAAGGGAAGGGATGTAGGAGATCGTTACAAAAAAACACAACTGCTGAGCGGAACTGCGTGACTGCACTTTATGAAGAGCGTGAGTGCTTGTCCATCTTAGGCTGTTGAAAGGGGTTCAAGCCGCTATCGACATTTTCCGGAGCCACTTCATCTCTCGACATTCTTAGAACCCTTTTAGTACATTTCTCGCTACCAATAAGCAACGCTTGTCGAAGGTAACTCAGGCGCTCAGGGACAGGCAACAGCGAAGCAACAATCCGCACGACCATTGTCTATCACAACTCACCGCTCATCCTGCGCGGTCGGTTTTCCAGCACGCCGTTCGGGCTCGGATACACCGACTCATCAACCAGCCTGTTGGCGTATACCCGCGCCGGCTTCGATACGCTCATCGGACGTCCGCCGCTGGTCGGGCTCACGTCCGGCGACATGTCCGAGAGCGGGTTGTCGAACGACTTCATGAGGTGCATGTTGCGCGGCCCCCGCGGCTTGGACTCGACTTCCTCGCCGCGACTCGGGGATGCGCCGGCCATGGTCCGGGGACCGTCTGAGTCGTTGCTGCTCTGGACGTCCTCGGTGGCCGCGGCGACGTTTTGTTGGAAGGCCTCGAGCTCGCGCGTGCGGTATTCCACCTTGTTCTCGAGATCCTGCGGAGAAGTTGGCGTTATATATCACAATTGCGTTCTATATCACAAGTGATGGGTGGGGGAAAATAACAAAAAGGCCCTCTTTGTTTGACAGCAGGTGACTGCCAGAACCCGATGAGCCCGGAAGATTGTTCTGCAGCAATCAGCTCCTGTCAGTTTTCCTGGCAGATCCACGCCAAAGCCTCCTCATCAAACAGAAAAAAACCACGCCAAGAGACTTTTGTAAAAAGCAGCAAGAGATACGTTCAGCACACAGGTTGTGTGACAAGCGGTGGGGATAGCATTGGGTGTGCAATAGTCGCCTGCAGACGAATTACGTGTCCAAACCCGCGGTCAACGTGCTTTGGACTTGAGAGGGATCCATCTGCTCTTTGAATGTTGCTAACATCCCTTACTGCCTGACTTGAAAGCCCATTCCTGTCCAATTCAACAACCTTAATGTTGCGCCCTGCCAGCCCTGCCAGCATCTCCAGTCAGCATTCCCTGCCACTGTGCTGCAATTATTTCCCAGCTGACATTTACATTATGCCCCAAGAGCAGCATATCTTATGCCTCAGCCTGCCAGGAGTGCACGCTGTCAACGCCTCACCTGCAACACCGCAGTCAGGTGCACCCGCTCCTTCTCGTACCCTTCCAGCAGGCGGTCCTTGCCTTTGAGCATCTTTTGGCACCGCTCTAGTTCTTTCTCCACCTCCTTCACCTTCTCAGTAGCCGCTCGCTCCTGCGCGGCCCTCTTCTCACTCTCCGCTTTTGCTTTTCTCAGCTCCTCTGCCAACCGCTCCTTCTCTTCCTCCAGGGGACCCGTTCTCCCCTCCTTCACCCCGTTTGCGCTGCTGTTCAAGCGCGCCTTCACCTCCGACAGGGCCTCCGTCCTTTCCCTCAGCGCCCCTGCCATTCTGTCCCTCTCTAGTTCCACCTGCTGCAGCGCCCCCCGCTGCTCATCCACCGACGCCCTTAGCCTATCCCTCTCCTCATCCAGATCTTTCCTCGCCCTCTCTAGTTCCACAACCCGCTCCTCCAATTGGTCGCCCTCTGCCTCCAAATCCGCCACCGTCTCCCTCAGCTGCTTGTTTTCGTCCACTGAATTTCCCCTCTCCCTGTGCCCCGCTTCGAGATCCTCCTTCAGCTTTTGTACCTCATCTTCCAGGTCCCGGTTTTCCACCCCGAGCTTCTGTCCCCCGTCAACCGCCTGCTTCAGCTGTTGCTCGAGCTCCATGATGATCGTCCGGCTCTCCCTCGTGAAATGCTCCTGCGCCGCCAACTGCTGCTGCATGTCCAAGATCATCTCGTCCCGGCTGTGTAACTGCTGCCGGAGCTTTAGGACCGCTTCCTTGCGGTGCGACGCCAGCCGTTGATTCTGGCCCTCGTCCACTGGAAGCGACGCCAGCCGTTGTATCTGGCTCTCGTCCACTGAGAAGCTGCGCAGGGACGCCCCCCCAGTGGAGGACACAGTGCGGATTGACCGTGGAGTCCCAGGATCGGGGCACTCTTCGGCATCTTCTACTCTGCTGGTGGTGGGGGCCGGGGATGCGGAAGTGTCCACTGAAAGGCGAGAGGTGCATTTGTTTGAAAGACACGGAAGTAGGCTTTTTGGTTGTAAAACACAACGAGCCGCTGCAGAACACTTGAAAACTACGTATTCCGAATCGCAGGGCAGGGTCTAGCAAACAAGCTCTGCTGCCAGACACCGCGATTGGAAGCTGATATGCCCGCGGGCTAGAAAGGCCCTCGCAAGAAGCGGGGCTGCACAGAACCAGGTTTCGGAGCACTGTTGTTCGCTTTCCTCGAACTGTTTTTGTAGAACAGCCCCCACTAAGAAGGACCGATCATTCTCTGAGCAATAGCACAAACCAGACAAACTGGAAAGTTTTGGAATTTCTGCATTCCTTTTGAATACTCACCAGTAGCTACAGCCTCCTCTAAGACCACGGCAGGGGTTCTCTCTGGTTCACTTTTCACCATAGGGGGCTCGTCAAAGATTGGTTGATCAGTAGCCAGCTCTAGGCCAGCTGGAGCGTGGTCTGCAAAATATATGGCAAGTCCTGGTTCTTTTGAGTATGATGCAGGGCACCCCATCCTGTTCTGACAACAGAGCAGCAGTCTAAAAACAAGTTATCCTTTTAGAGATGAGCCCTGGTGCATTACGTTCGTCCTGGCCAAAGTTGCCTGCAGGTCAAGAGAATGCCCAAGAAAAAGAAATAATATCATTCTCCTTCAAGCAATTGCAATGAAAGAGCAGGCACTCCCCTTGAATGCACCATCTTTGAGGAACCGGCAGCTCAAGTCACCACTTTTCAAAACACGGCAGAAAAATGCAAGCGCTCCTTTTTTGACGAACTTTTCAATGTTAGATGTTTCTATACAAACAAACCACTTTTCATCACAAAGCCCTTGTCATTAGCCTTGCAGACCAGAGACAACAAATGCACTTTTTGTCATCTCACCTGAAGCATCACTTGGGCCCCTCTTTGGCGCCTGCCGCCTTCCCTTGACGAGCGACTTTAAGACCACAAGCGCAAGCGCCCCGCTCACAGCGGCCACAGGGTGCTCCATGATTCCCAGGCGCATCGTGCCTGCCGTACTGACAGGGCCTGAAGCTGCCTTTGCACCACCAGCAGGAGCGTTTCCCTGCTTTTCTACTTTTACACTGCTGCCTGGAATGGCAGGATCTGTAGCGCTTTGCTTCAAGGGCGTAAACTCATACTCTCGCACCCGGTTCTGCAGAGGCGACGCATAAATTAGATCCCTAGACAGGTTGTGTATGGAGGGGCAGCAATTCTACAATGATCACAGATGCTGGAGTCTAACCACCATCGCTCGGATTCATACCAAGCGCACTCATGTACCTAATCTAGGTGATGACCACCTGCAGGCAAATCTGTTGCTCTGCTCTCACCCTTCCTAAAATCTGAGATCCAAGTATCACAGACCAACTGAGAATTGCCTTCAGCCCTCTGTCCTGAAACCACAGGTCAAGATCCATGAGACCGTTGTGAGTAAGGACCTGTGAGTGTAACCACCTCGATTCCTTCCCTCAGCTGACAGACCATGGATGACATTTTCCAACACAGAGAGGCTACAATGCAAGTTCAGTGGGGCCTAGAAAAGTCCAAAAAGCAAGCTGTCACATCGTCTGATACTGTAAATGTCAAACTGAACCTCAAAGTTGGCTAAATCTTCCAGCAGAAGCAAGAGAATGCAACCCACCGTTACGTGGAGCCCACTTTCATCAGCTAGCGAGAAAACCTTCTCTTTGCCAACCTTTCGAAAGTTTCCTTTCGGATTCATAGCGGTGGACGCCATAGCAGGTTTGCTACAACCAGGATGGCGGCTGGCAGTGGAGGATTTGCCATCAACCGTCGCTGCATCAACTCCCCTTCTTCCTCGGAACACGCCCAGCTGACTCGCTGACTCAGACTGAGATCATTCGGACAGCAAAACTCATTGTCGGACGTTCGAAACAGCATCCATCGTCCGAATATCCAACAGTTTTCGCGCCATAACTGGTTTTGTACAGCAGTTTCAAGTTCTGATCCTGCCTCATGGTTTACGGTTTTCCCGTTTGTGTTGTTATGAGGGTGGCTCACAGGCACTCACCAGTCATAACCGCCGTACAAACCCCGGGTATTCAAAACCAACTGTACGTGGCGATGGCCATGATGACTCAGACTGGATGATCGAGCGACCTTGTGGCAAGCAACACTGGTCTTTGGTCGCTCGAAAGTCTGTCACTCTTGGGCACGTGCTGATGGCCATGAAGAAGCGTCCGAAACAGGCCTGTCGGACGGCCTCTGATGAGAGCGGCCAGAAGAGTGAAAGCACCGTCCGCTCACCTTGGGAACTGAGATCCACACCGTCCGAATTGAACTTGAAGGCTGGAGAGCGTCTTCTCGGAACCGTGCAGAAAGAAAAGGTGGTCGTGAATCGCAATGGCGTCGCAGGCGGTGCTTGCTGGGTCAGGGTGTGGTGCTTTCTCGGCTGTAGCAGGTCATACGCACAGATGTGGTAGCGCTCAAGCAAGCGCCTCGGCGCTCCATGTGGCGGCTCCTTGTCGACGCAATGGGAGGCCAGCAATGGCTCGCTTCGAGGGCTTCAGACAAGCAGGCGCTTGGTCGAGGACGGAGGTGCAGGGGACGGGTCTCTCAGTCTCACAGGCAGCCAGTGTAGGTGAGAAGCTTTCGTTTCGGTGCTTGTTGCTGTCAGCATTGAGCGTGCATTTATTGTTTAGGGACGCCAGATGGGGTTGTTGATGCCTCAACCGGCTCTAGAAGTGAGCGTCAAGGCGGGATCACTGAAGCTTGCGAAAGCAGTTGATTTGAAATGTTGGTTCCAGTTTCTCGTGGCTTCATCTTTGCCCGCAATCTCCTAAATAGTACACCTCTTTTCCGCTGGTAAAGATATGGCACACAGACTTGCGATCTAGCATGCCGCTGTCTAATGAGCTTTTCTTAGCTGGCACTGAGGACATCAATGTCTCTTTCTTCTGATCTCGGACGCTGACCTGTGGAGCGGTGCATTCTCTGGCATGCCGACGCCCGTTCCACCCAGCTATGCGTGCATTTAGAAGAACCTGTTGCATTTAATGCCAGCATTATATAAAGATGTTGACGTGCAGCTATCAGCATCCTGATAGAAAAGCTTGTCTTACAAGGCAACTAGCAATAAAGGTGCAATAGGCGGCTCGATGATTCGCGTGTTGCAACGCAATCAGCTAGGGCCGGAAAAGTTCCCTTTTGTAGCATGTTCTTTAAGTGCCTCCATTTTAAACACAGTCGGCCCTGTCAGGCACAGCTTTGGCATGCAAGGATACCTTGGATTTTGATGCTGTGCCACTTGAGCTCGTTCGCCAAGTAATCTAGTTTATCGGTGGTTGTCTGGGGCTTCAAGTCTTCCTGCTTGTGCTTCTCCTGAGCTCTGGTCGCTCCCACCTGCTTGTGACCCTGCATCAATTGCGTGTTTCCACAGAATAGTTGGGTCCTTTCTGATGCAAATTCTATTAATTATAAAGTCTGACACACTGTTGAGACTAGATTCTAGATGCTCCCAGTGGCTTCTGAAAAGGCTTCTTGAAAGTCCGCCAACACCTGGTCGACTTCAAGTCACTCCTCGTCCTGCTAAAGAGGCAGGATTTGCCCTGAACGCTTGGTGCAAAGGGCATTGCTTCTTTCACCTCCGCTGGAAGCCTTGTCACCTGGCACTGGCAGGGTATGACTGGTTCAACCTCCAATTGAACCCCAGCCCCGAATCTATTTTTGACATAAATACGTTCTTCACCCACGAAGATGCCGCAGCACTTGTTGCACTCTCAGCCGCCACCACTGCCCCCTTCTTAAACATAGATCTCCAATTGCAATCCTTTTCAGCTCACCTGACTACGCTGTCTGTCTGTGGGGATGACGAGAGCCACACTTGCTTGTATTCACTCCAGCTCCAAAGAGACCTGGGCAGACGGCCCGTGACCTCACAACCACTCAAACAGGCCTTTTGATTGCATTCCTTTCATGGAAATACCAGAAGCCACCCAATGAAAGTCCAACACTGATTGCCAGAACGCCCCATGTAGTTTTTCTTGACCAACGACACAGACTTGCGTAGTGCAGGTAGCCGCGACCTGCTTCACCCTCAGCATAAGGTTCAACCTAGTCCAAGAAATCTTAGGACAGACAAGCACGCCCTAAGTGACTCATGAAGAAAGCCTGATCCGCGCAAATCCCTTTCCCAGCTCCAAGGAGGCAAAATCGCGCTATCCGTGCTGCCGCTGCCGGCACTGCCCCCTCCCGCGAGACCGACCCCAACAAGCGCGTTGTCATCACTGGCATGGGCCTGTGCTCTGTGTTCGGCAACGACCCGGACACCTTTTACGAGAAACTGCTCGCCGGCACGAGCGGAATCACCGAGATCGATCGGTTCGACGCGTCCAAGTTCCCGACGCGCTTCGCGGGCCAGATCAAAAACTTCGACGTTGAGAACGAGATCGACGGGAAGAACGCGAGGCGGCTGGACGACTGTCTAAAGTACGGGCTGGTGGCCGGGAAGAAGGCGCTGCGGATGGCGGGGCTGGAAGGGGACGGTCTGAAGGATGTAAGTTTAAGACCCCGGCGGCCTTGCCGCAAAGTAGATTTTAACTTAGCTTTTTTTTTTTGGTCAGTGGGAAACCGCAGCAACGGCCTAGTCTGCTTTCATAAGAGATGACTGCTCGGTCACACGGAAAATGTTCGTATAGCAAGTGGTGCAATGCAGGACCTTCGGGCTGGAACGAAACAGCTCAAAACATGCAAGGAATCCTGGTGTATGCTTGTACGTGGGCCAGTGACCGGGTCAGGTTAGCTTAGTCATTCTGACATTACAAAAGGACGTAGTTGGAAAGTCAAGGCTAGTGTTGCCGACGCAGCGCTTGACCAGAGGTGGAGCACGAACCTTGTTGGTTTGCGTGGAGCAATCTGTGGCCTCTGTCCGAATGTTAGATACCCTTCGGTTGTTCACTGACTTTTAGGCAAGGTCTTGTTACATGGTTGCTATTCAGTCAGTTTTACAGCCATCTTTCAAGAAGCAAGCATTCAAAGGCAAGAGGCTCGTTCTGGGCTCGTTCATTTTGACGAACTCATCAGGGCGGGAGACCGTGTTTTGTCCCCTGTCAGGATGTTCATTTGCTGGTGATCTTGGTTCAGCATTAGGAAGAGCGCGTCTCCCGTTTCGAAGTTCCTTCTGTAACGTGCGCTCTAACATCTGCCCGTATTGACACCTGCCCCTGTGCCTGCAGAAGATTGCTGCCATCAGCTTCCTCTCTCCCATGCAGGTGGACAAGACGCGGGTCGGCGTGCTGGTGGGCAGCGGCGTGGGCGGGCTGACTCCCTCATTGGCCTCATTCTGACGTCAGCGTCCGCTCCTTTTCTTGCATGCTAACGTCATCTTCTCCTCCCCCCTGCAGGTAGACAAGACGCGGGTCGGCGTGCTGGTGGGGAGCGGCATGGGCGGGCTCACTGTCTTCCAGGACGGCGTGCAGGCGCTCGTTTCCAAGGGCTACAAGAAGATCAGCCCCTTCTTCATCCCGTACGCCATCACCAACATGGGGGGGGCGCTGCTCGGCATCGAGTGCGGCTTCATGGGGCCCAACTACTCCATCTCCACCGCGTGCGCAACTAGGTATGAGCAGATCCGTTGGACTTCGATTGTTTTGTTCTCCAGAGGAGTTCTAGGTTTTCTTTCTTTCGAAGGCGCGCTGCTCGGCATCAATGGTCAATAGTTTGGGCCCAACTACACCATCTCCACCGCATGCGCCCCCAGGTACGGTTGTTGATTGGTTCGCGCTCTCCGTACCTTCTACTCAGCTCTTATGAGGCTGCTTGAGGGGCCTTGAGGCGGTCGAGTTCAGTGCCTGAAGGCCGTCGGGCTTGCTTTCCCTCCGGGTGCCTCGTTGCTATTGCTTCCGCTCCCCTTCCTGACGTATTTTGCTCCCTAGGCTTCGAATCTTACTCTGTTTCTCAAGTGCCCTCCTTTTCTTTGTTCTCCTTCTGTGAAGTGGTTGCTTGGTTTTCGTTTCCTTCCCTATCCTTTCATCTCCTTTCCATTTCGTGATCTGTTACCTGTTGTTGGGTCACCAGCTCGTTTGCCTTCTCGAACAGGCCACCTTCTCTAACCGAGCTACTATCGTCAGAGGTTTGCGATCTTTCTCTTGCCCGCCATTTTTCCTTTCTCCGATCCACTTCTGTCCGCACGTGTGTTCCTAACCCCTCAAGACTTGACGGGAATATAATGGCAGCTCTGCAATTCGATTGTACCTTTCGTAGCTGCGAGCACGTCTTTTTGGTGGCCGCCTGGAGATGCTTCAAACCATTTCTCAAACCTGGTGCTGAATGTTTTCTGCCCTTTCGCAGCGACTATGCGAACCTGACAGCGGAATTTCAACGTTGCTCACATAACCGTGTCAAACCAACTTCTGACCCGCTGCCTGACCCGGACCTGGAACTTTCTCATATATACCCAAATTCGTTTCTTCCCGCAGCAGCGACGCCTTTCGTGCGGGCCGCCGACCCAATCCCAAGCCAAAAGAATCGGCATTATCTGGTTCTTCTCAGTCCAACCCAGGTTTCAATGCTACCTCACTCCAATCCAAGACTCTCTCATCATAGCTGTTTTCATACTTGTCTGTTGCCTTCAGCAACTACGCCTTCTACGCGGCTGCCAACCACATCCGGCGGGGCGAGGCTGACATCATGGTGGCGGGCGGCATCGAGGCGCCCATCATCCCCGTCGGGCTCGGCGGCTTTGTGGCGTGCCGCGCGCTGTCCACCCGGAACGACGACCCGCAGACCGCCAGCCGGCCGTGGGACAAGGACCGGGAAGGGTTCGTCATGGGAGAGGGCGGGGGTGTCCTGGTGAGGCGTTGTGTCAAAATACAGCTGTCTGCGTCAAACTTGCCACCTCGATAAACAAATATAAAGTTGCGGTTCGCAATCTCTGAACCGTCGGATGCCGTTATCAGTGAGGATTGTGCGGCCTAAGGCCAGCGAGCCGGCTGGCGGGACAAGGACCGCGAAGGGTTCGTTAAGAATGGGCGGGGTGTTCTGATATACCGGTTTTGAAGTTTCTGGTCCCGTTGAGTGCGGGGACAAGATGTGGCGGCGCCGATTTGCATCGTAGTGCGGAACTTTCGAAAGTCGTTAGACGTATTCGATTCTTGGCCGTTTTGAGATAGGTCGAACACTCCATCAAACACAAAAGCTGGTCACCGGACGGGCCCAAGATTGCCGGGCGCTCGAGATGTGTGTCCGAGTATGTGATGCAGGACTTGCATCTTCGGACGTTCGAGACCGGGAATGCCACCTTCGATACACTAAACAGTTCATAAGCTGTCAGCAGGAATTTCTACGGTCGGACAGCTCAGTAGGTTTTTCTACCTCCTATTGAGTCCATCTTTGAAGGACCACAGATGTCTGTCGGCGTCCGTGGACGTAGGGCCATGCCTCAAAATCGCCCTTCTCTAAAACTAGAAATCAACACACGCAGATACTGCGTGGCGGACGTGAAAGAGAGGGGCGCCAAAACCCAAAAAGCTCCATTTTCGACCATCTCCGATGATCTTGGAGTCCTATTGTCAGAGACTCTAGCTCATCACTCAAAAGTTTCAGGGGTCCAAAGGCGTCCTACCCTTCTCCACTCGCAGATCATGGAAAGCCTGGCGAACGCGGAGAAGCGCGGCGCCAAGATTCTGGCGGAGTATTTGGGGGGTTCCATCAACTGCGACGCGTACCACATGACGGACCCCCACCCCAGCGGCCTCGGCGTTTCCACCTGCATCAAGCTCGCGCTCAAGGACGCGGGCGTCGCGCCTGAGGAGGTACGGACGTCCGGAGAAAACTAGACTCCGCCCTTTTCGCTGCCCGTATTTGTGTTGCGGTCGCTGCTTTTGGGATCGGCAAGTATGGATGTTGTTTGCATATTGCGACGGCCGTGCAATCCATTCCCTCGAGCTCCAGCCCTCGAAAATACTCCGGACGAATCGTCGAGTTTTCAAGGTCCTACCGGCCGCATTCTGTGTGTTTTTGTCGTCCGTGAAAAATTGGTTATCGGAAACTAACATCCGTGGAAAGGGGGGAAGACGAACCAAAAGTTTCTTGACCAAGAATGGAACGCGGTGAGAGCCGGCCCTGATCGCCAGTCTGCATGCGCAGGTGAACTACATCAACGCCCACGCCACGTCCACGATCGTCGGCGACCTGGCGGAGGTCAATGCGGTTAAGAAGGTGTTCAGCAAGGCGGACCACATCAAGATGAACGGCACCAAGGTGCGGCGCGCTGCTAACGCAAAATTCTGGTAACCCGAAGCAAGGAGAGTCGGGTGTTCGCTCCTCCTGCCCGTAGAAAGTGCTGGAACGTAGGGCGCGCTAGTGTTGCCCGAGCCTATCCGCTGGTCCTTTGCGCCGGAACGTTTCAAAGTCGCTGCTCTTGAAACTTTTTCGTATAATTTTTGTCCAGGCAACATGGTTTTGTTCCGAAAGACCGACGTCGTCAAGTCGTTGGTCATCCCTGACAAGACAATGCATACGATCAGCGCTGGGCTGTATTTGAACAAAAGATGGGACAGAGGAGTGCAGCAGAAAAGTGGCAACAGAGCGTAGTTCTTCTTGCAGGTCTTTTTCCCATCTCTTTTTTTAGGGACAGTCTTGCTCGAGTCCCGGCGTGGAAAAGAAGTGCGACGCGAGTGACAGGCGAAGAACGTCTTCCTTTTAAAACTCACTAACCCTTTCGCGCCGTCCCTGCAGTCCATGATTGGGCACTGTCTAGGAGCGGCGGGCGGTCTAGAAGCCATTGCGACCCTCAAGGCCATCGAGACAGGCTACGTGCACCCCACCATTAACCAGATCGTGAGCAGCCAATTCCTTTTCGTAAAGAAACAGGCACCCGCTCGACGCTTTTCTGCCCGCAAGAGACGTGTGCTTATTCTGCTCTGGGTTCCTCTAGTCACTCTCGATCGGGTGAGGCACAATGGAAGTCTGCAAGAGTGGTTGAGGCTTTCTTTCAACGCCTTCTTCGCTGCCGAGTGGGTGCGAGTGCCCCGTGCACTGAAAAGGTGTGTTGACTTGCATGGAAGAACAGACACTTGGGTCACGCTTGGATCAAAAGAAGTCCGCGGTTCGGGCTGGTCGTTTCTACCCCTCTGGTATCATATGCAAGCCTTGGGAAAAACCTTAATCTCTGCCGGGTGCTGCCGTGCATTACTGGGATCATTTACGGCATTGGTCTTCGACAATTCCGGGCGCTCTGCCTGCCAAACATCGACCACGAGTCGACTCCGCGCTACTCGAAGCGCATCGCTGCATTTGCTCTTTCGAATCGAAAGGCGTGCGGCATCGTGTGTGCAGAACCCTGAGCCGGAGGTGACCGACTTCGTTGACACCGTGCCCAACGTGAAGGCCAAGCACGAGGTTGAAGTTGGTGAGTGGTGTCAACTTGTCGAAGCTCTGAAAGCCGCCGAATGCAGCGCTTCCCCCGGCACAGAAGCTTTGCAGAATCTGGAATCGACCTTTCGATGTTCAGTGGTTCGCCTGCTGGGAGTTTCTTATGGCGGCTTGACATGGCTTCACGATCCGGAAGGTCCTTGAGAATATGCTTTCACCGATCAAAGTTGCAATGATCAGCTGAGTATGTAGATTCTGTAAGGCCTTTGTTTTCTACTTACGCCCGTTCCTTGTTTGCAGCGATCTCAAACTCGTTCGGATTCGGCGGCCACAATTCCGCCGTTGTGTTTGCACCGTACAAACCGTGAGCAGTCCACGGAAAGTAGAGGCCTTCCCTATTGCCCCTCGCCTGCAGATTAGCAGGGCATAGGGGTATCCATCTCGAGACTCGTGTTGACATTGGCGCTTGAGCAGAGGTTCGGACATCCATCGTCTTTGAAAGTCGCTGCGTATGGTGGAACAGCGTCCACACCCCGTGCTCGGATCCTTGTGTTTGTGCAGCTCTTGCAGTTCCACCTAGAAGCAACGGGCTATGCTGACATCTTTGTGCAACTATGCTCACATGTCCGTGCAAAAATGAGATGCCTGTGCCGCTAGATTCGGTAGTGAGTCATGCAGCGATGAATCGATCTAGTGACTCGATTGACATGGCTTCATAATGATGTCAAGCCATGGGCCGCCCACTTGTACGAATTGAATACGGTCTAATTTCATATAGCACTGCGATCGTCCGCTCTCGAGCATTATTACCATCGGCTGCACTATGTCCAGATCATGCATATAATGTCCTAGTAGCCTTAGCTGGGGCGGCCCCCTTCAAGCACAGCATGTTTATCCGGCGACACGTGGTCGATGCATGTGATGAATACGGTGATACAGTGACATGCATGGAATTACGTCGAATTTTCCGCTTGAGCGCAATTGCACTGCAAAACCTTTTAAGTTCGTGTATTGAACTGCATTGGGCATATAAGTGTTGATTGTTTGCGCATATTGCGCTTATAACCTCCAAACTAACGGGGCACTCCACGCCGTCCGAAACTTTCATGCGACTGTCTGCGGCGCGCCCGGGCGGCACGCAGGCTAGCTGCCAATGTCTTACATACGCGTATACAAATTCATGCACGCGTGCAGGCTGGTGCAAGGGGCGTGAGTCGGCCTTTTCGATTGATATAAATTTAAGCTATGGAGTCAATTCAGCTAGCGAGCATTTCAGGGCGTGGTCGCTCGACACGTCTGACTGAACGTGACTGAACAGGGCGTACATCAGAGTATCTATAGGATGTCTCGAGTTCGTCATCAAACGATGTCCGTTGCTTTAGAAGACGCTGTAGCTCAGTTTTAGTAAAGGCCTCGTTACTGTGAGGAGATTAACAGCATCCCAGTCCATCAGAAGATCCTGATTCTTCGAAGCCTCCGTTAGTCCATCGGGTCCTAACCTTAAAAGGTTCAACGAACAAAGTCTTCTGCAGTGGCCGAGCTAGTGCAGAACGAACAGAGCAAGCTTACTTGAAGTTGGTGACAACGTCATCAATTTAAATCCTCCTTCTCAAAGCGCTGGTCTTTCTGCTTTTGAGCCGACATTCTTAATATATCCTCAAATAGGTAGACGTCTCAGCTGCCTTGTTTCGCTTCAAGACTCCCATGGTCAGAATGGCTTCTGCACGCAGCACCTTGAAGTTGAAGGCTGACTGAGGCTGTTGGAGAACTGCAGGAAGCTCGGCGCACAACATGTAACAGTCTACTGAGGCCTTGTTGGGGACTCCAATCATGCTGACAGCTTGTTCAAGCTTACGAGTTCCAATCTGGCGCATCGCGAGCTTTCCTCGCCAGAAAACAGATCCAACTTGTCTCGGCTGGGCGTGTCCGACGTTTTTCAGGAGCGTGCCGTGAATTTCCATAAGTAAGGAGTCCCTGTTGAAGGCTTCATGGCACAGCTGCCTCAAAGTTTCCGGTGTATACAAGGCGTGGACCTGGCAAGTGTTGATCAGCGGGTTACGACGATCAGTTGAGGGTTGGAATCTTGACGAGCCCGGCTGACCTCCAGACCTTTGAGAGACCCACTGAATGACGCTTTCCTTCGAACTAATTACAATCAGAAGCTGTGCGGAGTCGTAACCCAGTCCATCTAGACCGTGCTGAAACTGCCAGAGTTGCCGTCTCGTTTGAACGCTTTCCTTGATCCACCTAGCTTGCACAAGCTTCTTGAGCCCCCCCAATCGAAAAGCTTCTAGATCGGCGTCAAGCCTCGCACTTTGTCGTTCAAGGAAAAGACTTTCGTGACGCCTAGTGCACTGCGAAAGGGGTGGGCCGCGGAATGCTTTTTTCCAGATGCTAGCATCCCCTATGGCCACGCGCTGAAAGGACTTGCAGACGAAAGATGCTCGCAGCAGAGAAAGGGGGTCCTGAACTGCGAGCTTGTTCAAGATAACCAACATCACGTCGTCTGGGAGTTCAGGCTGCATGGTGACGAACGTACAAAGACTCAACCAGGCACAGCAGCTGTTGTGATCAGTTCAAGGCCTTCTGTCAAGAGGATTTATACATACGCTCCATTCCTTTCATTCCTGCTCAGAGTCCTTGAGGAATCAGCATGTCCTGCTTTGATCTCTATTTCTCAGGAAACCGTCTTGCTCATCACAGTTGGGAGATTGCGTAAACCGTCAACGACCGCCGCACGATATACAGCGCCTCTGTGGAGTTCAAGGGAAGCCTCCTTCACCAGTTTGCCGCTCTTTCCATCGGATTATTCAAGAAGAGCGCACCAATTGCCCTTAAGATGTTCTCTTGTCGTCCCAAATGCTCAACCAAACAGCTGACCTCCCTCTCTTCTGCAGCCTACTTACTTGCGCAGCAAGGACTCAGCCATGCTTGAGTTTCTGAATCTGAGAAGTCTGACGTACTTCAAATTCGCTTGGAACAGCTTGTTCAATCCGTGCTCTGAGCGTCAATTTGTTTGCTCGAGCCTCGGATCTACTGTGCCAAGTGCCCTGATTCTGCACTCACTGCATGCATTTCATGATCATGATGATGAGGACTTGCAGCGCGGGTAACCGTTGGAAAATGAATATTGACGATCCAAACCGTCCATCCTGTGATCCTGGCACCTCAGGGCTAGGCGGTCAGCGCCCGGCCGCGGCTGGCGGCCGCTCAACGCAGCCCCGCAAAACATACTGGTAACTCCCATTTCACTTGGGAGCCATTTCACTTAAGATCCAAGCTACCTGGGCAGACAAACTAAAAACCCTAACCGACAGAATTACCCGCTCCGCACCCGAACCCACCCTAACCACCATACCAACCCTACCCGTCTCCCGGGCGCCTATCCTAAGTGAAATGGCTCTAATGTGAAATGGGAGTTACCAGAGTCCGCAAAACCCCGCGTGGCCTTTCAGATGCGCGGCCGGGTAATCCGATCGGAGCCTGCCATGCAGTGCTAGCTAGTCTGCGTGGGCTGCGCATCTCATGCAGGTACTGAACAACATCTGCCGGCGAGCGCACAGGCGTCTCCCCTAAGTATCCGCACTTTCAGGTGTGAAATCTTGCTCCTGCTGTCCACCACTTCGGCTTCGACATCCAAGGTGTTACCGCATGGCATAGATTGAAAGGATCAGCGACAGATGTTTCAAAGGAGGATCCCTGTTCTTAGGAATAATTTCCACAATGTTTTTGACTTTGCCATAACGAGAGAACGCAGGACTTGCATGTCTTTGAGCAGAACACATCTTCCTTAATGCAGCGAACAAATTTTGCAGTTCAACTGGCGTTAGACCCAGGATTATTGAGAACGACACCGCTTGGCAACGTCGTTTGAGGACCCGCCCTGATCATTGCTCCCGGTTATATAATCCAGCTGGCCGGAACAAGGGCCAAAATACAACCAAAAGACCAAGACGTGGTCGCTCGGAAGAGTCTGTCCGCTCAGAGAGTCAAGCAGGACAAAGGTACGTGAAAATTCTGAGTATCGAGCACTGTTGGCAGTTGGTTCAGTAAGGTTCTTTGCTGATCTTGGTAATAAAGGTTACGGTCAGCAGTGCCAGTGTGAGTGTTTCGAGGTTGATTGACTCGTATAATAATTGCATGTTTTATATCTGTCAACAGAGTCAGTACGACGTTTTTGATATACTCACTATGCTCCTGCTTTGCGTTTATATGGACCATCCACACACCTTTTTCGTAAAGTCTCGTGCCCCTGGCATCCCAGCCATTTGTAAGCAATCAGGAGCCGGCGGATGCGGTGAAAAATAAATCGTGGCACGCATGCAAGGGTATTGGTCCTTTTTGATAGAATTTGCTCATCAAATTAACCAGATGTGGCTCAAAACAGTTTGTTGACGATTTGATCAGCTCGTTCCTGCGCGTCTTGGCCAAGTTCGACTCGTCGGTTTCACAAAAAGGAGCACAGGCAAGCATATTTCTTGAATGCATGGGCATCTTGTTTGACTCTGCCTCCATTTATCTGCAGCCGTGCCAAACAACCGCACCGCCGTCCTGCAGCTTCTCCAGGTCATCAATGTGAAGCTTGACAACCAGGCACCCAAGCGGCATAACAGCTACGCCCGCGATCTTCCGCAGGCCCTGCGTCCTATCGCCGTCACCGCGACTGGCGGTGCGCATCCTGTGGGGAGTGTTCCGCAGCTTCAAGATGCAGGCGGCATATTCCCAGGCACGGTTCAGCAGCTGTTAACCCTGAGCCCGGCTCAGCTTGATGAGTTGCGAGCGTTTTACAACGATGACTTCGGGAACCAAGTAGGTGACGGGGTTGAGATACAGCGCCACAAATTCGCTATGTACATCGGATGGTAGGTTCAACCGTCCTTGCTGGGTTTTTTGGGAGGCCCTGTCAGGCGTTGCCTCGGATAGCATATGCACATGGACTGCAATCTCCCCGCGACTTCAGCTTTCGTCCGGAGCTTAAGTCGGGTATGTAGAAAAGACATTGTCAACGGTCATGCCGCTTTTTGGAACTGAAGTAACACGTGATGACAATCAATGCTGCTGAACCCAATCCTTGCTCGTATCAGCAGGAAGATCACTGGTTGTGTAATCAAGCACGCGGGCTTGGAGACCTTACAGGCTCGCGCACCATTGGATTGTGTACATCTTATGATCATTGCCAAGGAGTCGCTTGCACTATGCTGCGTGCTGCATTGGATATAGACGTGGACCTGAGCTGCGCAAGGTGTCGCTTGAGCATATCCTTTCCTCAGAAGGGACTTGGATGGCAGAGGTGCATATGATCCTCTTTCTCAGATTGGCATCATGCGAGCCATATACAATATGGAAATACGTTCCGTCGGACATGACCGTGCGTCACACTGGTCGTATATAGAATAGGAACGTGTGTAACAAGTTTCTCGTTGGCCGGGGCTCAAAGACTGCCATCTTTTAGAATATCCTGGAACCACTCTTTATTTCGACAGCTAGCTAGGTCGTCGTCCGCCGCAAGTTCGTCGGCTCGAAGGCGCCTCAATCCCTGGAGCTTGGTCAGCGCGCCGCGAACTTCATCCTCGTGGCCAGCCAGCGCGGCTGTAGCACAAAGGGGGAGAAAGGAATGACTGAGTCTGTGAATGCGCCGTACATGGTAGACTAGAAGAACATAAGCAGACTGGCCGTCAAAGAGCCCACAATACGGTGCTCCACTTCAACCGGAAGCTCTCGACATAGCAAGTAAAAGGTCACGTTGAGCTGCGCAAAGAGGACGGGAGATACCTACTGAATCCGGGTGAAAAATCCTTTTTTGTTGTCGATCGGCCGGTCGGCTCGGAAAGAGCGGTGATCCAGCGGACGACCAAGCTAGTCAACGCCTCCGTCCTCAGAAGAATAAGTCGACCACGCACCCCGCCAATGAACCTTCATGCCATCTTACCCGGAATAACTCAAAGGCGGCCCCGAAAGAATGATACTCCTCACGAACAAATCATGACGTAAGGAAAGAATAACCCACCTGCGCACGCGTAGTTGTACATCGCATCGCACCACTCCGCAAACCCGAGCCCCGCCGGCTGCCCCCCGAGGGCCTCCCGGTATGCGGCAGTGCTCCGTTCGAAGTTTTCGTGGCTGGCTTGCGCGTCCCCGTCCTTGTGCTTCAGCTTGCCGGCGAGAAGGAACACGTCGGCCACTCCCAATTTCGCGTCGACGTTGTTGCGGTCGATCCGGAGCGCGGCGCCGTACCCCTCGTCAACGGCGCAGGTGAGCAGCGAGTAAGCTTCTGCCACGTGGCCGCCTGAGCAGGTAAAAAGAAAGTCTGTCCAATAGCCTCGGGCAGAGACACATGGTTGGTGTACCTTCGACGCCGGAGATTTGAGTATCCAAGTCTGTCGCTAGAAAGGTAGCCGCGATCATCTCGTCTGCTGCAAGCGAGAGCTTCGTCCTTCGTTTGTAACATTTCCGTAACACTGTGGCGCGTAACACAGGCAGGCACACGAGCAGGGCTTGGAAGAAAGCATTGCGAATGATGCCAAAACCAGCGTATCTGGCCTCTCTGCCTGTTCGGATAGTGCAGCTATCTCAATCTGAAACCTCGAGAAGGATTAGACACAACTATCAGGCGCTTACGGCTCCTCGTTTGCTCGTGGAATTCCTACCTGTTGATTTCTGGAACTAAAGAGTTCCATCGTGGACTGCATTGCTGAGAAAAAGCTCACTCCGTCTTCAGCGAACCAGTTCGTCTTACCAGCGTGTGCCCTCTCTCCATGCCCGCTCAAAGTGTCGCCCAGGGTGACACGTGGCGCCACGTCCGTCCGGCTGAAGTCAGCACCGTGACGCAGTTTCTCCTCGGCCTGAGCGAAGAGCGCCAAAGCCGCCGTGGTCTCAGGACAGCGCTGCACGAGAGTACGTCCCGCTTTTCAGAAAGATAATACTTACAACGAATTTTGTGTCATAACGTGTTTTCGTATCAGGGAACTCGCTGATCTACTCTGGCTGGCAATGCACGTTCTAGATTCTCTTTTGAGCAGATTTGAGGATCTCCCACGTCATCGGGCTGGTGAACTGCCACGGCAGGACTCTCGGGGATACCAACCGTTCGAAGCGGGCTATGTGGGCCGGAAAGATTATCGCCTATTTGCCTCGAGCTTTCCGAACGTCAGTCTGATAAAATACTTTCACGATGCACGCGTCCAGAGGCCTCAACGCAAAGTCCCCTCCTCGTTGCTTCAATTATCACAGTCCGTCAGTTCCAAGGTAGGTTCGCGCCCAATAGTAAACTCTCGTTCCTCACTTGAGCAGCCGAGAAGAGCCCCGCCCCCCAATTCAGCAGCAACCCCGCCAAGTCGTCCCCCAGCCTGACGTCAGCAACCGAGCAACCGGCGGCATATGCCTGCATCGCCCGCTCGAACAGCGGCCCCGCTTGGTCCCACTCTGCAGGACGCGAGGAGTGTGGAAAGGGCCCGCAGAGCATCTCAGCATGGCGGACTAGGCAGTCCCCGAAGTTGGTCAGGGTCTCGATGTCGTCCTTTTGGAGTTCTAGGGCGGCAGAGTACCTGCGAGGGGCGTTCTCTGGTGTCTGTCTGGATTCGTCTGTAAGACAGGCAATCTACGCTGGAGGTTTCTTTTGGGTAGTTTGCAAGGGTCCAGGTTCGCCTGTGGATTGTGTATCGACTGGTAGACGTGAGGTACTTTGGAAGAGAGTTTTGATCAAAATTGGGAGAGCAAGCGACTGTCATAACCGCTGAGGGCCCGAGGAAAGGCTGCCAAAAAGTGCCTGTTCCGGAGTCCCTTGGACACAATCTACGGTCAAAGACAAACTTGAACATCACCTTTCTCCAAGAATGCCTTCAGGAAGCCCCATTACTAAAGCCTGCCGTTTTGTGGGCAACAATAACAATAATCTCTGACTTAGACAAAAGTGGCTGTTTAGACACGCAAAATATGTGAGGCGCGTTGTAACACGGCTTTCGTCGCTTGAAACTTGCAAGCTTCCACGTCATTCCCTTGATGGTCGACTGTAGCAATTGTGAGCATCGAAATCGCTTGAAAAGCAACTTCCCGGAGTATCGAGTCGAGGAGCAATTTCCGTTACTATCATCCTTTACTTGTTAAAACACTGCTTCTCACCTCCCTTCAGCTCGCTCTAACAGCGTGCTGGCTCTTTGCGCCCCTCCCCCATTCTCCTTTGGAATTTCTGCAAGGGCGTCCGCCCATTCAGCAAGTGCATTCCCGCTGTTGACAGTTGCCTCCAGCCAGGCAGAGGCGCGCTCTGAGGTGTTTGCAGAGGCCTGGGCATCTGGGGCTGTGCCGGCTTCTGAAATGATGGCTTCATAAGCAGAGTTGCTCTGCAGACAGAAAAGTCTTTACGCTCAGGAGGGAACTTGGAAGCTTGCAGGGGAAACTACCCGGTCTTCAAACGCAATCAGGAGATCACGGTCTGCTTTGTCCGGATTGTTGCCATGTTCCAAACTCCAGATTGCAGGACCACACTGAAAAGCAACGAAAGCTGTCAATGCAAGCTGATCATGTGAGCACTTGGCATCAACCAGATTAGAGGAGCTGCTCACTTCATTACAAAGACTGGCCACCGCCATGTGGACTGCAGTACCCCGTTCTTCGCTGCCAGAGTCGAAACTTGCTGGCCCGCTTCTCAAGTGGGCCAAGAGGGATGCGGACCACTCCAAATAAGCCTCACCCTGCAAATCATGACACTTGAATGACCGAGATGCATTTGTGTAACTTACTGGAAGGATGACTCTGTGCATATATCGTTCGCAAGAAAGGTGTGCAGTGGTATTCACCATGTCAAAGAGCCGGCATGCTCCTCATAGCATTGTCTCCACAAAAAGAAGAATTTGACTTTTGTTTTGTCAAAAACTCTTTAGGTAGGCCCAACAGAACCAACGATATACATAGTTGAACCTCATGAGATATTTGGCTTCTCCAAATATCTCATGAGGCTTCAAGTTGAGCACAGATCTTGAAAAAGGCCTTTCACAAAGGTTGTCAAGAACAGCTTCCAAACTTTTTCAAATCCCTTACCAAGTCATTCAAAGCATCAAGCCTTTGCGAAACCGTAACATCCAATTGTAGGGATGCCCTGTACTTGTCAGCGCTCTGTTCAAATAGCGCTGCTGCCTCTCGCCCTGCCGTCTTCCTCTCAGCAGCTTGCTTCAAGCGGGACGCCTCTGCATACAATTCTAGAAAGAAGAGAATCTGCCACGGTCTTCCCAACAACCGTAACACCAAGCTCTGAGGTGGTACGCTTCCTCCAGCCAACAGACTGGAGGCCGAATGTGGCATCAACTAAGAAGATATATGATGCGGCAAAGCTTGAATCAGAGGAAGCCGGTTCAAAACAAATACTCCATGTAGAGGCAATCAAGAGCAGCAAGCATGCACATCTCACACCGCAATTTGGTGCCACTTCCATCCACCCACCGGCCAGCATTAACTGCACTGGCGTCAGCACGTCCTTCGCTTTCTCTCCTTTCTTCCCATCCTTCCATCTGGAATTGCGTGCATTGCGTGACATTGGAGCAGTGGCAAGCCCGGCGCATTGAGCATGCCAGAAGAGCCCGCAATATTTGACCACTAAGTATAGCAGTGCACCAGCTAGAAAGGTAGGTATGCAACTTGCAAGAAGCTTTCAAAAAAAGCCAGCGACCTTCTCAGCTGTTGCAAATTCAATTCGCCCATTGGCATCAGCATGAAGCCAGCATGAAGCTGATGTTTCCGGGTTCCCTCTCCTCTATGCCGTCGATTATAGAGGCTGTGAAAGTCGTCGACGGCCAGAGCTAAACACAGTCAGTTGGACGGGCGCCTTCCGATGCAAGATACCTTTATCGGATGGTCATGCTGCAAGATTCCAATCCTCTTGCTGTTGGCCAGGACTAGCGCTCTGCTCGTCACTGATCTGTGGCGTTGCAGAAGCTTCGTTGCTGGGGACGCCTCTACTTGCCTCTACTGTCGACTTCCAAGGGAGCTCACTTCAGCAAATAGTACAGCTGCCCTCTTTTTCCGGGAGGAAAAGAAAGCAGAAAGGTGCTGAAAAGCAGCAGGTGCAGCTCGTGAATAAGTGCGCAGGGCCACCACAAAGGAGTTGCTGATCAGAGTGACAAAATGGTGCAGATCTGTGAATTGTATCCCCAATTGGCATTAAAGCGTCTGTATTCGTCTTCGTTGTTTCTTTGAGCTGTATGCAGTCTTCCTGCCCAATTTGCTCTACAATCTTTAGGTTTAAGCAATGCAGTAGTAATCCCAGCTTCCTGTTTTCTGCTTGTGTCTGCAGCTGATCGATGGCCCTTGGCAAGCAGTTTCTTCGAAGTCAAGCCAAGATGCAGCTCATTGTGCCTTGTTTTTGGCTGAAAGATTTCATCTTCATGGTCAAAACCTAGAAGCGTCTAATCCCCTTGAACAATACAGACCAGGTACACTTTTGTTGCTTTCCCTTGACCTGCTCCACTGACAGCCGTATTTCGATGCCCTACACGCTGGAGGAATACCAAGCCGCTCAGAGTTTTATGGTGATGAAGATGCAGCAGGAGAGCTCAACTTCGGAGGAGGGAGTGGAAGTTCTTGAAAACCGGCCGTTTGAAAATGAGGAGCTTGGGAAGGGGCAGTACACCCGAAAAGTGAGACTCTTGCAATGATGTTCCAGTATAGGGGCTGTGTTCCAAAGGCCAGTCACAGGTCTGCATCAAGCACCAGAGGTGCTCAGTGTACATTCGACTTCTTTGTGCTAGCGCCCTCAACCCATTTTCAAGATTTAGGGTTTTTTTGAAGATTGTTTTGTGCTTTCCTGGCAGATCTACCACTTTGCAAGCAAAGTCCCTGTGTGGCTGGCGGCGGTTGCACCGGCAGCTGTGCTCCAGATGGAGGAGGAGGCATGGAATGCATACCCCCGATGCAGGACAATAATCAAGGTGCGCTGGATGGGGAAAACTTCAAGTTCTAACAGGAGGGGTACTGAGCTGGCTTTTGGTAATGTTGTCTAGAGTCAAGTAGTAGCTTTCAAACAAAGGTATACCTTTTCAGTGTGACAGGCTGCTTGCACGACTCCTTGTGGTGTTCTTAAAGTCAAGCGGGGCACAACCACTGTTCACTGAAGCAAATTAGATTCTGAAGTGGGTAGAATGTTGATTATCTGTAATCTGAGCCACTGGCTGACCCGTTCAGCTGAGATTGAGAACCTCGCTCCAAGGCCTGAGCTTGATGCAGGAATGTCGCTGTTCTTCTGGTTGTCGACATGTAGAAGGTTGTAGAAGATGATTGGTCATCTACTCCTCCATGACACTATCATCATATACTCCTTAAAACTCACTTTATAGTACAGAAAATTGCGGAGATAGCTTCATGATCACCCTCTTCGTCTCTGCTTGTCATTGTGCAGTGCCCTTACTTCACTTCCTTTAGCATCACCATCGAATCCAACCACGCGCCTGACCAAGGAACATCAGAAAACGTGAGCGTCTGCGTCACAGCTTGTGGTTCAAGTTCCTGAAGTACTGAAGGACTGCTTTTCAATCAATCGTAGCTTGTATTTGGATCAGCTGCTAAGGTCAGGGAAGTTCGTGAAGTCTTGGAGATGCTAAAAGACTTCCAAGCAGTGAAGTCGATCAGAGTTTTTCAAAGTCAATACCAACACAGTCGCATGAAGGAGACGATATGTCGCCTTCAAGGCGACAAGCACTTGACCATTCCGGGTGCCGTCAAGCGTGCGTTTATCAGTATTGCTTGTCTTTTTCTGTGCAGTTGCTCGACTTGAACGACCAGGACCTTAGCTTGCGGGTCATTGACCACGTAGATATTGCTGCCCCTGCTCCTGCGGCCGATGCATGGTACGTGGAAGTGGGAAAGGACGAGCCATCCGAGTTTGTCTCGAAGAAAACCGGCAGGGGACCTCTTAATGAAGGTTGGCAGGTAAGAATCGCAACTCCACCCCAGATAGTACTTCGTGGTCCTTTTGTCATGAACTTCAGGGTCGGGAGGGAGTATATTGTCGAGTTGCAGGAGCGTCCTTGAAGTAGGTCAATTAGATTGTCGTATCGAGTCTTTCAACTCTTTTTGTGCATCTGCAGATGTTCAATTTCGATCACAAAAACTTCAGGCTTGTGTTCGATTCGGGCGGAGCTTGAAGCGGTTCTGAATGCCTCCAAAATTGGCGTTATTTCTGCTGGTTGCATCAAGAAGCTGGAGACCAGCATCCTGGCCCTCGTTCTGAGACACCGTTACTGTTCGCAGAGAACCAGCGACCCCATCATGACAGCCTATAAACTTGTGAGAGTTGACGCCCCTATATGGGCCATCGGATGGAAATTAGAGCAGGCGGTGATCCAGGTGAGACGTTCCATTGCGATCTTCGCCCTTCGACAATCGCTCTTTGCTAGCCCTCGCAAATTCCTTACGACATACGTAAAGGTTTATCTTTCAGGGAACGACCTTCCTTCAGCGTAGCGAATGCATGCAGACTGGGTCTTCGCATTGCATAGTGTTCGAAGTCACTGGACAGATGGCGACCGCAATTCAAGCAGAAAGAAGCATGTATTTCTCTTACACGATGATCTGCCCTTGTGGACGACGTACTGTGAACTGCGTGAGGCTGAGAATGGTCGATTGGTGGCGGTCGACTCGGCAATTGCATCAAAGAAAGAGGCTGGCTTTGCTTCAGAGGCAGAAAATCATCATTCATCGTTCGTACCGATCGTTCAAAACAACCACCACGCGAAGAGATCTTCATGTGAGGTTCCCAAAACGATCATCTAGTTGATCAAATTTGGACAAGGGTCTTCGCATTGGCCGGAAAAGCAGTTTTAAAGATGCTTCTGTCAACAACAAGCTCTTACCTTTTCCTTATCGCCTTTTCCCCGGTCTCTTCATTTTCTGCAGGCAGAGCGGGCCCTGTTTCTGGCGAGCCATAAACGGTCCTTCTGCTGGATGGACGACTGGCATGGGCTCACCATGGAGCAGCTGCGCAAGATGGAAAAGAAGAACGATCAAGAGCTCAACAAAGTGAGAGCCTTTCCGCAAGATCCAGTTGGTGACAAGATCCTGTTCGTGTCTTTGGATGGTAATCCGTTAGCTTCATTTGGCCCTCTTCCAATGTGCTTCCTCCGCTCGGAAGGAACTGTGTATGATTGCAAACGTTTTGCCAGCTTCCAACGGGCGTGGATACTTATTACGCTGGTGCTTCTCGTAATTGCTGCTCTATTTCGATTTCGGGACTGCATCGGTCTGACGTTCATTTTCTTTCCTAACGATCTGTCTGATCGTATTGTGCAGAAACGGGGCATCGTGGACAGCTCGCAAGACGCTGCGACCAAGTCGACGATGATAGAAGCCGCGAGCTTAGCCGGAAGCAAGATCGATCAGGAGACTGGGTTAGCAGCTGTTGACGGCAACGATCGGAGTCAAGGAGCCCAACGTGTTGCGGTCCCTGCATGACCAGTCAACAAATCTGTCGCGCCCATACTGCTTGGAATGGACTCGAGCTAGGCACACAGATTGCGCAGCTATGATTGTCGACCGTGTACACATACTCTCTTTTATGCAGCCAGTTGCCTCCTGCCCGCGTTTGGAATCCATTGAGCTTGTTTATGACCAGAGCATTTGTGATGCAGGCGATGTGAACCAAGTCATCGCCTCTATCATGCATGTGTGCCGGGCATGGTCGCGTTGATCTTAAGAAAGAGTAAACTGCATCGAGCTGTATAGGTCCAGCGCGGCTGCCTATGTCTATGTATGCAATCTTCGACTGCATGGCACTATGCAGAAGGTGCATAACAAATGTAAGCAGGTTAGGAATTGTGGGATTCGACTGATGTATTCCATGATTGGGCCGAAGCATTGAATTCTTTGAACTGCTTTGCGGAGAGCATGCATATACATTGAATGGCGGCCACGGAAGCTTTTTCTGGCATGATCTAAAGTACTTTCAAGGCATCATTAATGCGGTTGAGCCCACACTATGGTTCGATGATTATGCAACCTCTGCCTATCTGCACCCAGCCAGCTATAGCAGCGCTGCGACTCGAAAGGCTTCAAGGCACCTGAAGCTGATGCCATGAAGACTCGACAAACGAGATTGTCAGGCCACATCCGGCCGAACGCGCATGCAGAATAAACCAACCACAGACGCCATTTGATTGAAGGGCCCAGAACCAAAGCTGACCGTTACCGTCGAGCGACGCGGTGGCAAATTTGACTACGATCTTGGTACGGCCATGTGCAGCAAGCTTCTTTGTTCGCATGGGCTTGCAGGATAGCAGCGCTGCAAGTGCCTGGTTAGGGCCCCGTTTCAAGTTGGTCTGGAATAACTTTGCCGAGCTTGACTCAAGTCTAAAACAGGAACCGACTCCGCGACGGACTGAGTAAGATATCTTTTCTTAAACAGTCGGGTTGTTGCGTGTAAGATTCACAACAGCTGCCGCCAATATCTGCTGGCGGCCCCACATTCTCGTTCTCATTCTTATCTTCGTTCTCATCCTTTGATGATAAGCTGCATCAACATCTCGGCCGCGTTTACTTTACTCTCCTAGGGAGTAGAGACCCTCGGCGGGCTGAGAGCTGGGCTGAGATACTGTTCCGTTCGCCCTATCATCTCTGGGAAGTGGAGCGCCAGGGGCAATCGAGGGCTTTACGTTGAAGGCAGTGTGCGCAACGGTCGCACCTTTGATTCTGAATCTGAAATGGAGCAACCGCACCAAGGCAGACCAAGTTTGGAGGATGATGATGAGTGCCACGAGACGAATTTCGGTTTCGCAATCAACAAGAAGGAGTTTAGCGACCGCTTGCTGGACCTCATTGCAACTTCAGGTGATTGATTTATCCTTAAGAAAACATTCCAGAAGGTCAACGAGAACTGCTCGAATGCATGAGATTATACTGAAGGCAGATTGAAACAATGCTCTCTCTTCTAGATTCGGGAGGCGCAATTGCTGTGCTTGTTCTATTGCATCATTGAAATTGATCATAATACATCTAAAATATTCAAACGTGAATATTTGTTCGATCAGACGCACCTCACAGCAACTTCCTTTGTCAAGTTGTCTGTCCGACAGCAAGGATCAGCCAAAAGATGCTCTGCTGCCATCATACTTACTTTCTCGCTGTTTTCATTGGTCAGCGAACGGTGATGAAGAGCATCTGAAGCTTCACGTGAACAGCGCCATCCTATCTGCCAAGAGCTCCTACTTCAGAGCTTTATTTGCGAGCACAACATCCGTCAACGTGGAAATTCGGGTTTCTCAAGAAGGTCGGTCATAGTCCCTTCTTTTGGATATGCGAGCATTAGCAGTAAGCAAATCCAAGGCCAAATATGTGTGGTGCTCTCTTCAATGCCGACCAGTGTGGGGTTCAATGTTGCTAAACCCTCAAAAGAAAGATAGAAGTTGCCTCTCTGCTTGGGGTCACCAGTATTTGCGGGTTTACAAGAGAGGTAGCTTTGAAGCAAGAGATGTGGCTTTGACGTCAAAAGTCCGTGTCAAGCATAGTTGCAGGCTAACTACTGGTCACTACGCATATATATGCCCGAGATTTTCGGCTTCTGAATCCCCTCTTGTCATTTCTGCAGACGAGGAGGCAGTAAGAGAGATGCTCTGGTTCTGCTACGATGAGAAACTTTGCCAGTGCATCATCAAAGGTCCCAAGGGTGTGGACTTTCTTCTCAAGGTGCTTCGAATTGGTCATCAGTTTCAGTGCAAGCAGGTGATGAGAAAAGGCCTTTCCGAGCTGCGAGGACTTCCGAAAACCTGCACCCTTGCTGACACAGTCTTGGCAAGTCTTAAGGAGACTCCGAACAAAAATCTTCTTGAGTTTAAAGAAGTTCAAGAGCTCTTGAGGTACGTCCTTGACATCCTCTACTGGGAGTATGGAGACGCTTCGTCCTGGGGTTTGCCAGAGTTCAAGTCCCTCAGGCTCAGTTCTGTGAAAGCTCTTCTCGAGTCTGAACACTTACTAGCGAGTTCAGAAGAAGAGATCCTCGACGGGGTTCTAGCTTGGGTCAGGTCAGCTTACCGCACCGTGACTGACCGTAGGATTGCCATGCTCCAAGTAGCTGAGCACGTGCGCTTTGCAGTCATGAGTGGGGAATATCTTCAGACAATCCTGTCAGTGTCGGAGATGAAGCTGTGCCAGAAGGCCATCATGTCAGCAGTCTGGTACAGAGCCTTTTCAGAAACGAGGCGACTGGAAATGCAGAAAAAACCAGCTTCTGACCTGCAATACGGTGAAAGAAGCGGCGTTCTTCGAGGGCCCCGACATATTTTGCGGTCTTTTCAAAAGGAAGCAATGAAGGATCTTGTCCCTTTCGCTCGGCCTCTCATGACCGAGTGCGTCCAGATCAAGGAACACATCTTCATGATGTGCCCGCAAAGGTGCACAACAGAGGCAAATCCGGACGGGTGTGCCGCAATACTGGTCAACTACTCTCGAATCTCTGAGGACGCGCCTCAACTGGAGATGCTGCTCATCACGCTTTATGCGAAAGCCTGGCCGGAGGGCGAGTGGCAAAAGCTTGGCACGTTGTCTCACGACGTCAAGGACCCGTCGGCAAGGAGAGTCTGCGTAGGCCGCTGCGACGTAAGCAAAGAAGCATGGAGCACCTTCATCAAATCGACCAAGTGGTTCGACAAAGACGGACAGCTTCATGTGCGTATCAGAATTCTGCCTTTCTTTAAGTAGCCTTCCTGTTGTTCGTGAACCTCTCCTCTAAGTCGATCAGGCATGATCAGACAGCCTGAACTTCGTGCCTGGACGAAGTTAAGAACCTTCAAGAAACTCGGCAACTATAGCTCTTTGGAAAAGCTAGACCAACTTAGAAAAAGAGAACTGATCTGCAGATTTTGATTAAGGAATTTGGGAGAGTAGTCGAGAACGAAGACATTACTAGTCGCAGGCAAAACTAGCGGCTTGGTCTGACATGCTCTTCACGCAGCAGGAGGTCCGCGTATATATTCACCAATGTCGATCCATTCTCCTACAGACCACATGCCAGCAGGCTTGCATTTTTCACCGAATTGCAGCACAGCGCTCGATCCTGATGGTCCTGATTCCTATATGCAATGCAGACTCTGCAATCAACGTCCGTTCGATTTTACTGGTACTCTCTTATATATAGCTTTAAGAACTTACCCCGCTAAGCATGAAAGGCATGACCATGTTTCTGTCTCTACAGAGCTCAAGTTGTGAGAGGAGTCTATTTATAGGGGCATGTGCATTCCAGGTGCACTGAGCTCAAACTCACCAAGGCACGTGCACGAAAGCAGACCAGGCATGCATAAAGTACAGAGGGGCTCTCAAGTTTCTACCCTCATGCTGGATGTGAGAAAGTCTTCGCAAGAAAGGGGCTTGGACCAAGTTCGCGACAAGGTTCAGCTGATCAGTGCTGTTCATGTACTGCAAAAAAGTGTCCATAATGTATCGAAGGCTCCATCTATCTACAAGGAAACATCAGGCCTCAATTCCCGACCCGGCCGCTGCCCGTTGGGCATGTTTCATAGCCAGCGCAAGCTGCAGCCTCGACCGCTCCCGGTGCAACTCCGAGACCCTCAGACCGAGCATCCCGTCATCGCCGTTCCGCACCGGCTCCATTTTGATTAGTTCTGTTTTGGGCTTGCCTGCCGCCGATACCGGAACCTCGCCACTGTCCACTCCCGGGTACCCTTCTCGCAAAAGCAGCCCGTCTTCTTGCAATCGCGGCCCCGCCCCGAAAGAACGTGCCGGCCTCAGCACGTTCCGTTCCCCAAATGGGCTCATACTTCTCGAGGCTCTCATCACCTTTCTCGACCGAACTTCCTTCCCCGGGGTGCTCGCCCCAACCACCCCGTCCTCGTGCCGCTTAGTGCCAACTTTGCCCGGCCCACCGCTTTCCGGATCCGTTCCGTTGGCCGCCCGGAGCTCCCGGAGCGCCTCCCGCTCCCGCTTCTCGCGCTTCCGGACGCGCCTGAGAACCGCGTTCGCGTCGTAACCGACTGGCCTGCGCTTGAGTACTGCCAGCGGGGCGTCAGCGACATTTTCGTTGCCGCTTATTGGTCGGTCCGGTTCCCGCTCCGCTCTGTTAGCGGAACCAGTCTGAACGGCCTCACCCCGTTTAGAATCTACAACAAGCCTCGCTTGACCAACCCCCTCCCGACCAATCCCTGCCGCATCCCCGTTATCAACTCGCTGGAAAAGTCTCGTAACGCGGTTCTCCGTGCGCCACACGTCGTTCCCTGCTTTCCCAGAGTTGACCTTCTGGCCCATCGGTTCCGGTCTTCCGCTCCCGTGTACTTCCACAGTGAGTTTTCCGTTTTCCGGTTCCGTTCCTCGCCGGCCTTCCTTCTGCACCATCCGTGACGGACCCCTTGCTCTTGGCCGCGGTCCCGCATCGCCGCCGGGCGGCCAACCAGCCTCTGCCACGTGGCGGAGGGACGGCTCATCGCCCAGGATGGCAATGACCTCAGCGATGCTGTCCCCTGCGGTTGCGCCGCTCGCCGGGCTTCCGGCATCCGCTCCGTTCCGATCCCGTTCCCTTCTGCCGAGCTCCGTCGTTGATCCTGGCGGACTCGCCACTTCCTTTAACACGTCCAAACCGCGCCGAGTATTGCGTCCGGCATCGCTATCAGGCCCCCCAGTACCGACCGTCGTCAGAGATAGTTGTTCGGATGGGAAGCTATCTGGCGGCAAGTCCGCAGACTGGGCTTCCGTCTTCACAGCCAATAGGCGGTTGGCTGCCGCCGCTTTACTAGCAACAAACGAAGGGTGCCGACCAGCAAGGCTTGGTTCTGGAGAAGAAGACTTGTCCACTACTGTAAGATAGTGGGGCGAACATTGCATTGAGCGACTTTCGCTCGGTTGCGCGTCAGGGACTCCGGCCACAGCTCGCTGCGCAACGCGTCCTTCTTCAACAGGGACTCTTTCCTTCCGGATCTCATCCTCTGGCCTTCCGACCGATTGCACCTCATCCCAACTCGCCTTCCCAGACGGACTCTCTCCTTCCTTGTCTCGGGTCGGTTCAACGAAGGACGCGCTAACCGTGTCCTCTGGGTTCTCAATGGTCTCCCACAGAGTCCCCTCTTCCTTCTCCAATTTCTCTGACTTCCCCGCTTCGAACGACCCAAGTGGGACCGTTTCTCGAGGGGCTGACGTGGCACCCACGTGGCCCTGCACCGAATGAACCGACTCCGCTACGCTCTCCAAGGGGCCGCCACTCACACTCTCAACCTGGAGCCCGTTCACACCTCCCGACAGCCCACTCGTACTCTCCTCCCCGACCCAGTGGACAGCCTCTTCTCGGTGCCCATCCGCACTCATACCCGACAGCCCGTTCACACTTTCGTCACCGGACGCATTCTCACACTCGTCTTTTTGCCCCTGTGCCTGCTCTATGCTCCTCAGCAGCAATTCAGACTCCCGCTCAATTGCGTCCCAGTCAGAGCGCTCCCCGGCCTTGTCTATCGCAGGCGATGACGTCATTCCTCCCGCAACTGTGTTCCCTTCGATTTGAGGTTCTCGCCCTGCCTCCGCGTTCGAACCCGTCACTTCCGCCGTTTCTTCCGCCGCCCTCTCTGGCAGCCCCTTCAGCTCTGGCTCCGTTTCCATTTGCGTCAGTAACGTTGTGATACTGACGTCCCCTCTCCCGTTTCTGACGTCATCCTTCCGGTCAGTGGACGTCTCCTCATCCCGCCCAGAGAGCGCTTCGTCTGAGGCCCCGTCAGCGTCGCCCCTTCGCGACGACCGCCCCCCTCTGTTAACCGCCTCAACGTCCTCTCTTATAACCTGCCCCCGAAACGACCGCTTCTCAGCTTCCAAGTCTACCCCCTCGTTCTTGCGCCCCCCCGCTGCAACCCAGCTTCTTTCATCCCCCCCTTTAGGGGCCGTTTGCCTGAGCAGCCGCCTGCTGACGTCAAGCTCCTCCCGGGCCGTCAGCAACTCCTCCCGCAATTCCCGGAAGGCTTCCGCCTGCGTCGCCAGGCGGGTCTTCCCATCCTCGATCTCCGCCCGCAGATCCCGGAAGAGGTCCTCCTGCCTGGCGAACAGACTCCGCCCCGCCAAGAGCTTCTCTTCGAGCTGCGCCAGACGCTGCCGGCTGGCCTCGACTTCGGTCCACGCTTTCTGGGCGTCCAATTGTGCAGCGGACAGCTGTTCGCGAAGGGGATCGTTGGAGGGCTCTGTCTGATTGGCGGCTGTGTCGTGTGCCGAGGGCTCAACGGAGATGGAGAAGTGACCTGCACGAGCAATCAAGATAAGCAGATGTTTGTGCACGGACATATCTAGGCGTAGACACAACCGGGTGTACACAAGCTTTTAAAAGAGCTCTGCTTTTCAAAAGCAAATCTCCATACGTTGTTCGTTTACGACCAGCGTGAACTGCTTGTTAGGCACACGATGTGGAAAAGAGTAGATTGCGAATCCTGTCGTTGTCACGCTACTCTTTGCCTGGAAGATCGGGAGCCATTTGTGCGGAAGAAGATTTGGCATCGCAGTCCGGCTTGCTCGACTTTGGAGAAGGACAGAGTTGCCACGTCACAATATCATGGCCGTCCAAACGTCGAAGCAAAATGTGAGCGAAATCCCCGGCAGCATTATCAGAGCCATTCTGTTGAAGTCAGCGTGTCTTGCAGATTATCCGGCATACCATCCGACACTCAGGCTGTCGAAGACCCAGCATGCTCGATGCTCGGTACGACCGCACCTCGCGTCGCCACCACAAAGCTGCGACGTCCACGTTCGCACTCTGACAACGATCCAAACAAAGAAAAATATCGGCTTGGGGAGAGCCCGCGTTGTAGGGCCCATTCTTATTTGAACGCTCACCTTTGCTAGTTTTTGAGTCAGAAGCAATGCCCGGCTGACTCGCCGACCGCGCCTGCTCGTCCTGTTCCCTCTTCGCCGCTCGCAGCGCCTCCATCAGTCGCCCGTTCACCTGCAATCAAGCAGACCTTGACTCTAAGAGTTGCGTTCTCCGATTAAGGAAGCAAACACTTCCGCGGCTGATGATCTTAACTTTGTGCTCTGACATTCAGTTATCCTAGTCGATGCGAGTCTGCATGCGGTCGAAAACTCTCAAGCAGCTCAAAGGACGTGCAATATCACTGAAGTGCCTCGTAACGAGAAACATCAGCGTCAAGAGGACGCCACAACAAAGCTTCCTTCTTTATCGACATATCCATGCCAGATATGAAGAAAACGGAGTCAGCTCCGTCAAATCCCAAAGCGATCATGATCATCACCAAGCCACAATCTCTTTATTGGGGCCACTAGCGTGTGTCAGGCCTAACGTTCGATTGACTACCGTGGTCTCCGATCGGAGCACGAACAATAACCAAGAGAAAAGACAGAAAAACCAAACAATCAGGATTGGAGGAAGAAATCCAGACACGAAACACGACGTTGAGGAGACTGGTTACCTCTTGCAGCTTCTCAATCTCCTCTTGCGCCGCGCCCAGCAGCATCGACCGCTCGCTCTCCGCCTCCCCAAACCACATTCCTCTTCCGTTCTCCCCAGATCTTAAACCGCCGCCCGATTGATACGCCGCTCCATCCGACAAAACCCGTTGCCCTGGTGGTGACAAGTTCTCTTTCCCGATTTGTTGAAGGTTTCCGCCACATTCCGCCATTTCCGGCTCCATGACCGGTCCGGGGGCCTCCAATTTCAGTGTTTCTTTGCCCCCCGGCAGGACCTGAGCGCGCGTAGATCCAACCCCCTCCCCAATCTCCCGGCCCTCTCTTTCCTGAGCGGCTTCACTCTTTCCGGCGTCTTCACTTTGCTGGGCGTTCAGATTCTGATTTTCCTCACTTGCTTTGGCTTTCGATTCCACCGCATCCAGCTGTTCCCGCAGCACCAACACCTGGTGTCTCAGCCGCTCGACCTGGTGTGAATGCGCGCTCCGCTCCTCTTCCAGCTGCTCGACTTGGTGTGAATGCGCTTTCTGCTCCTCTTCTAGCCGCTCGACCTTGTGTAAATACCCCCTCCGCTCCTCTTCCATTCCGCGCTCCAGATTAGCACACCGCTCCCTTAATCGCTCCGCTTCTTCCTCGAGTCCCCCTCTCCGAAGCTCCGCCTTTTCCGCCTCGTCCAACCGTTCGCGTAACTCCGCCGTCTCTGTTTGCAGCTTCTCGAGCCGCTTCTCTATTTCCTGAACTCTCTCTTTGGCTTCCGCTGCCTCCCGTTCCGCGTCTTGCCTCACAGATTCCGGCGTTCCGCCGCTTCCCATTCCGCCCCCAGCCAACGTTCCAATGTCTGCCTTGACCCCGTTCCCCTCAAACCCAGCCTCACTGAGCCTGTTCTCATCAGTCCCCTTCCCACTGCCCCCGTTCACACCACTCTCTTCCCATGCTCTCACCCGCTCATCGTCTTTTTCTGCAGCCTTCTCCCAAGCCTCAGCCAGCTCTCTCTGCAGGTCTCTGATCGTTTCTTGCAGCCGCGTCCGCTCGGTGTGAAAACCCGCGCGCGTTTGCTGCAGCTGCTGGTCGTACCGGCGGAGCAGCGCGCCCGTGTCGTGGCTCTCGAGCTGCCGGATGCGCTCTTCAAGGCACTCCACCTGAGAAGATTATTACGAGCTAGGGATCTATGAAGAGAGTAGATTGAACGTTTTTCTTCGCCTTTGCTGAAACAAGACAAGAACGGAGTCTGGTGAAGGCAGGGCTGATAAAGAAATTACCCCAAAATGCAAATATTTAACGCGGTGACATGTTAAGAGTGGGAAGAGGCCCTGAGGAGTCGATTCTCATTATATGAAACCTCGAGAAACGTCTTGAACAGGGTCTGTTCTTGGACCCAACATGCAGACGCAGACCCGGCGGTTTGCCACTCTCCCACACGTCGGGCATACACAGACAAAGCCTGGTCAGCCTTTAAGGTCCCCCGTTTTCATTCGCTAGCTACCGTAATTACACGTTAAGCGCCGCCAGTAAGAGACGGAAACTAAAGAATGTTCAGGATGGTCGGGATAATTGACCTAGGCAGAAGACAATCGTCTCACAAAAGCCCGTCTTTCGTCAGACAGAACCAGGATCACTAAACAGAAGGGTGCAGTGCACCCCAAACCCCGCCAGCTCACCTCCAACTCCGCTTCTTTCCTGCGCGCCTCCTCCCCCTGCCACCGTTCCTCTGCCGCGCCCCCCGCCGCGCGCGCATTCTCCACTTCCTCTCGATACTCCCTCAACTCCTCCCCACACTTCCTCACTTCCGCTTCCAACGCTTCCACTTTCCTCTGCCACCCTTCGACCTCGCTTCTCAGCTCCAGTATGCCCCGCTCTAGTTCCTCGCCCCTCCTCTCGGACGCCGCAAGGTCTTCGCGCACCATCCGAAACTGGCGCCCCTTCGCTCTGTACAGCAACCGACTCTGCGCAGCCTCCATGACCAGCCGCTCTCGCTCGCCTCGTTCGGCTTCCAAACCCTCCGCTAACCGCGCCTCGGTTAGTCTGACCTCGGACTGGTTTTCAGCGCGGGCCGACTCAAAGGCGCGCTGCCACACCTCCTGCGCCGCAGCCAGGGCCGCCTCGCCGCTGAAGTCACCTGCTAGGATCAACAGATATGCCGACGTCAACGGATGGGCGGAGTGCTTCTGTGCTCACGCCACGAAACGCGTCGGCTTGTTGAATTAAAGACCTGCTCTGCAGATTTTCACAAGCTTGGACGAGGAAATGATGGGAAAGAGCATGTTCGCAAACATCACCTGCTGCCGTAATCAGCGCATGGAGCTGCGTGTCGAGGGCCGCGTTGCGCGCCTCAAGGTCGTAAATGCGCAGGCGGAGGGACTCGGCGTCGCGGCAGGCGAGGGCCTTCATGCGAGACTCCTCGTCCAGGGCAGTGCGAAGATGCTGTAAAATTGGGAGTAAGGGGACAATCAATTTCTTTGGATTTGATTCGTTCAGGCCTTGCTCAAGGAAGGGTCCGGCCATGTGAATCAGACGGTTAGGGGTTTGAGCGATGTGGCTTTTGGCTTGAGATATACGAGAAGGAGGAAGGCATTCTGTATCAAACTATCGACAGATTGCAACGCAGCTTATGCGAGAAATAGGCAACGGGCGACCCCTTTTGCAAATATCAGAGTATGGCTTTACGAGTGGGCAGAGATAGCTTCGGCTGAAGTCAAGAAGGGCCAAGACGAGGTTCGGTATCCTGAATAGTGCAGCCCGCTTGTGAAGTCGATCCAACGCCCAACACTTTTCATCTCAGCTTCCGATTTGACGAACCCCTGGGGCCCGTATAGACCGGGTGTTCAGTATGGCAACAGGCACAACTCATCCGCTTCCCTGCTGTCTGCTGGGACTTCGTCTATGAGCCCTCCAAAAGGTCTGATGATTGGACAAATGAGCAGAGCTTCTCTTTGCACAAAAGAAACATAAAAACAGAGCAGTTGCAAGAAGACTGGTCGATATAAAGGCCAATGTATTGCCACAGACAGAGCAAAAGACTCACCGACAATTTTCTCAACAGCGCTGCATCATCCGCGCTTGGCAGCATGCACCCCAGCAGTTCTTGCATCTCTCGTCGCTCATCGTTAGTCCAGCCTTGGCTTGATGCCCCCACATCCTGCCTGGATAAAAGCGCCCCCCCCAACGTTTCCGCTCTGCCCAGGGCCAGTTGGAAGTTCTCGCTTTCAGGGGGGTGAAACTCCCCCTGCTGAGACTGCCAGACTTGACGGGGTACAGGGAATGGAAGTTGCGATTTTGAGAGGATTTTGCTGACTAGGGGATCACTCTCTGGCTGCCAATGCTGCGCGGGGAAGGGCTCCTGAGATCGTTGTGCCTGTTCTTGGGATAAAGCCTCGCCGTGAGGCCCATCTCTCATCCCCCATGGTTCTCCTTGACCATGGCCCCCAAGGCCTTGTGAATGGCTTGGCGGCTTCACTTCCCACTGCAGCTGCCCAGGGGGCTCCGGACGCTCCTCCTGAAACGGGGCCTCGACATAAGGGCCAAACTGGTTCCATCGGCGCATGTCCTGGCAGTGCGGAACTATCCCTCCTGAGGGAGGAGTCATGGCTAGGGAGTAGGTTGGCTGTTGGGACTGTGATTCAAATGCTGGCGCATGCACCCCTTGCAAAGGGTGCGCCCTTTCCCCCAGCTCCTGCTCGCGTCGTTGACCAGAAGGACCCGCCGCATATGGTCCATCAGTGGACGTCTCAGCCACTTGAGGGGTGGGTCTACCATGAAGTCCTTGACCCAATCGAAAGCGTTCTGGGCTGTCGCCAGTTGGCGCTGAGGCGCTGACAGGTGTCGCATCAACGTGCTGTTTCTGATCACCATGGTTGGCCCCCGCTGAGGCTTGGAAGCGCCGCCGGACCTACAAGATTGGAGCGCTTAGCAATCCTCCTTTGATTTGTTGATGTGGGGTGTACTCCTGCCGTTGCTAGAACTTAGATAGATAGCAGGTGATGACTGCCAGGAAAAAAAAGTGACTACCTTTTGCACCTCTTAATCTGAAACAAGCCTTTTGCGGTCTACATACAATGGTACAAACTGCTTCTGTGGAGAAGGAATTGGATCATTAACCACCCCTTATGCCCAAAAGCTTCCAGCCCCACTACCCTTTCTTTCTCACTGTGAAGCAGTACAGCATTGCCAAATCCAGGCCCATGCAAGCCACACACGAGCTGTCAGAACAAGGCGACAGTGACTTACCGTTTTGAACACCTGGACAGATGGGCATGGGGGTGCCTGGTCCTCCATTGGATTTACCCACACTTCTGATGCTCCAAAACCTGCACAACACTCGAGATCGGATATCCTTCCCCAATCAATTAGGAACACATGTATTGTCAACTGCTTGATTGACATGCAACCACAAGGTATATCAAATTGTCATTGCTGCCAGGTGTTTGCACTTGTACTAATGCAAAAGCTGCGGAGACATTCTGTGAGCTTGAGCTTATGACACCTGACGCAACCAACTGCGCTTCAGAAGCCTTCATCATTGGCACCACATTCTTTGGGGGCAAAGGAACGACGGCTTTGATATGCATTGACGGGTAATCTGCACGAGTTGCAGCTTTCTGATCATGTGGTATGACGTCCGGCCAGAAAGATAAGAGCGTATCTGTGAGGCATGCTGAACGAATCGCTCACCTGTCATTTCAAGAGGCCGGGCCGAATATCGAGTCTCCGTATGCTGAGCTGCACGACTGTGAAGATCAAGGTGCAATGAAACTTCCCAAGAAGCGCAAAGCGCGGCGTAGGAAAGTCCAAGTCTGTCCGTGCAGGCCGGTGTCAAGTTTCCTGAGTAGGCAGCCCATCCCTTGCGTCCGCCTTTCAGATATTTAGGCGGGCTAAGGGCTTAACACCCGTGATTATCAACACAAGCTCAGTCCGCCGACTTTCTGTTGAACAATCAGCAATGAGCCATGGCCGCTGCCAGTGGCACCGCAACGTCTTGACTCGGAGATACATTGACTAGTGCTTGGGCCTCAAGGTACCTGCAGGAGCTCCTGCTGGTATTAGTAAGTATAAAAGGTGCGCAGGGCATCATGGTCCATGGAGACTACGTACTCAAATACAGGTAGCATCATGGAGACTAGCATCATGAGACGCGCGGCCGCCACCAAATATGGCGCGAAACTTGAAGCAATCGGGTTTGGAGGGTTTAAACCTTGTGCACGTCGATGCACTGCGGGCGGCACGAGCTCTTGCTCTGCGCTGAGGCGGCCGCGCACAACGCACGCGCGGCCGCCTCAGCGCTACATCATGGCATGCACACTGAGAGCTAGCGCCCTAATAGCCTATAATATTAAGACTTTAAGCTAGCTAGCTGCGCTGTCAGTGTTGAAACAAATCGAAACAGAGACCATGCAAGTAATTGAGGGAGTTTTCAGCAGATCAACCACGCGCCTTCTGAATACCGTACTCTTGGTGCTGTGAGGCGGTTAGTTTTCAACTTTCCTGCAACTCCTTAGTCCTTCTTAATCTATTTGTCATATCAGATTGGGCAGACAAATCAGCTTCGAACACCAAGTACCGTTCCGCTGGCGGGATTTACTTCTTCCAAACTTGCAAACAGGATACGATGGGCAGAGTGATCCCCCGCAATGGGAGCGGCCCGCTTGCGATGGGCACCCATCACCTGTTGCAAGATCAAGCGGCAGATCTGCCGGACGAAGATGGGGTCATGTTTGAGGATGCAATTGCCGGTGTGGAGAGCCTTGACTATGAAGTTGTGGAGAGCTTTGTCAACCGAGAAAACCAGGTGGGCATCAAATGGTCTAGTGCTGTTTTATGAGCATGTCATACTTTGTCGGCCATGTGGGCATGCAAGGTTTGGGCTGGGGGCATCAATTGTGTGACGCTATTTATCGGCCATTCTGAAATTTTCAACCGATTTTACAGTGGTTTATTGGCGGCCAACGCTAAATCTGGGCAGCTCACAAAAACATGGTTCTCTGTGATATTTTCATCCTTTGTTGCTTGAGATTACGGATCAAAGTACTTTGGGTTTTCCTCCTTGGCACTGGAGACCTCTCCTGTGGTTCATGACTGCTTTCTGGTGCCGGTTCAAAGCTGAGCGCCTCTTTACTTGATTTTAGAACATTTAGAACTTTCCATCAACGATCTCAGTTGAGGACTGCTCGTTGCTTCATCAACGCTCCCCATTCACCACCAATTCCCACAGGCCCATATAATGCAATCTGTAACACCCTTGTGCGAAATTCCTTGGGGTCACAAATAAACAGACGCATCAAGCGCAATTCCAACCACATGTGGAAGAGTCACTCCATCTCTGGTTGTTTTGGGGCTACCTTCTAAAAGTATTTTGAAAGTAAGGAGCAGCAGCTATCTCTAGCGCAATCGTGGCACGCCTCCAGTGCTGGACAAATGTTTACTCTCCATGAGGGTCCCAACAGCATTTCATATGCCCCCCACAATTGATGGAATTTTGTCTTGAGTCATTTTGGGCGGTGGCATCAAGAGTACGTTTTCGATACATCAGCCGATCAGCCCACCACCTCCTTGTCTGATGAAACTGTGTCTAACCAGTGCGCTTCGCCGCTGCTGTACAGGCCCGGAAGGGCTTCGTCGAGCAGGCAACGTATGTGGCTTTGAAGTGGCTGCTCGCACTGCTCATTGGAATTGGTACGTGGCATGACCGCTTCCCCTGGTGCACATTGCTTGGTATTCGTATGTTTTCTTTAGAGCTAGAGCCAGTGACTTTGATATGCTAGAAGAAGCCTGCATGAGGGTCATGTCTAGTATTAGATTTTCATCCTATGTAGTGAAGATAGACCAACTCAGGTCACTCGTGGGTGACAGAAAGTCAGGCTAAATCAGCCCTCCTTAACCAATCTGGTTTTCTAATTATGAACCTGCTGAACTCAGCCTATCTTAGTTAAGTCCATACCCTGCTAACCCTGCATAACCCAACATTGTGACCTGCAGCCACGGGCCTGGCCATCTGGTTCATCAACCTCTCCGTCGAGAACTTCGCCGGGTTCAAGTTCTCGGTCACCTTCGCCGCGATGCGCTTCTCGTACTTCCTCTCGTTCCTAGTTTACGCCGCGTTCAACACCACTCTCGTCCTCATGTCCGCCGTCGTTGTCTGTTACTACGCCCCCGCGTCCGCCGGCTCCGGCATCCCCGAAATAAAGGGTTATCTTAACGGCATTGACATGCCCGGTGAGTCATCTCGGGTCCTGAGAACGTACCCAGTCACGCGTGTCTGCCAGTTGGCAGTTTGCCCAAGGGCCCCAGAACTGTTTCGAGTCAGAGACCGATGGGTTAGTGCTGCGCCCCAAGAAAGAAAATTAATAAATTGCCAAAATAGAATAAGACTCATTCTTGCATCTGCTGATCAGCCGCCCTGGTCCGTCGTACTTAAAGGAACGACCATCTATTCGCTACTGAGCTTAACGGGATTGAGTGATTGAAAACATCGGATTAGCACTCTTGCAGATGTCAGACTTGCAGCCGTCGAAATAATGTTAAGATAATCAATGATACGAAAGCCGTGTGCCGCTGCAGGCATCCTACTCGCCCGCACTCTGGTGGGGAAAGTCGTGGGCAGCATCGGCAGCGTGGCGGGGGGGTTGGCGCTGGGCAAAGAAGGCCCCCTGGTGCACACGGGCGCATGTATCGCATCGCTGCTGGGGCAAGGGGGGTCCACCAAGTACCACGTGTCGTCGCACTGGGTGCGCCTCTTCAAGAACGACCGCGACCGGCGAGACCTGGTGAGTGGGGGCCATCGTTCTAGTCTGACTCGTTTCATGAAGAAGTATGCCACGTTTCATTCTAATTGCTCTTAGCTGCAATTTGCCGCTTACTCGTAGTTACACGAATTTGCGAATCGAAGCTGGTGACGCCCAGTCCCGACCAGAGCTGGTTTTGGGGATTGGCTAGCAACGTATGTTCGATCCAGGACGAACCCCAACCGTGGGGCCCAATCAACTCCCAACAGTATCTTTTTCTGAACGAACGCCTCACACTTGACCACGGGTCTGAGAAGCTGTACGCTAAAATCGTACAATTTACTTTCGTCGAGGGCGCTGGACTAAAGATACCTGTTGCACGTCATAGGTGACCATTGGTTCCGCAGCGGGAGTCTCGGCGGCGTTCCGCGCTCCCGTTGGGGGCGTCCTGTTCGCTCTGGAGGAGATGTCGTCATGGTGGCGGCCCGCGCTCATGTGGCGCGTCTTCTTTGCGTCCGCAATCGTGGCAGTCACGGTACGGCGCTTTGCAATGCCTTCTTCTACGAATTTCTATCAATGTCTGACGGCTTTTGTCCTCAGCATGTCAACGTGTAGGCTTTGAAATATTGGATCGATCTCAATAGCGGGCTGACAAAGATATCAGCTTCTTTTCACTGGATGCCGCGTTCTGATGAGTCGCAACCGAGTACTTCACGTGGGGCCAGCTCTGACGTAGAAGCGGGTGACACAGGAGGTTGCACATTCCGGTGTGCAGGCCAGCTGGGCACATTGAATTTGATTCCTTCCTTACGAACAAAGGCAATATGCATCCTGTTGGAGGAACCCCCCACAAGCAAGTGGGAACACCTGTTCTGATCATCGTGCGCAGGGCCTCATCTTCTGCTCTTGTTGCACCAGGCGCACATAAATATAACCTCGCCGGCGAAGCCTTCGTATGCTGCCTAGTTGAGCGACCTTTTCGACATCTCGCCAGGTTCGTACGGCAATGGGCTGGTGCACGCTCAACATCTGCGGCCACTTTGGCTCGGGGGGCTACATCTTTCAAGCGCTGGGGACCGGCCTGCAAACATAACTCACAACAAGAGAAGAAAAGAAATCACAGAACACTTCAATACCTGACAAATCATGCACCACTTATCTAGGTGTGCACGCGATGGGTTGGTGCACGCAAAATAACTGCGGCCACTTCGGCTCGTGGGGGTAATCGTCGAAGCAGCCTGCAAAATACTCCACCGGCCTGCAAAGCACCTCGCCGAATTTCAAAAATTCTCAAATTCTCAACATATCTATAATACTTCTAGGTGCGCACGGCAATGGGCTGGTGTGCGCACAACAACTGCGGCCACTTCGGTTCGGCGGTTGTCATCGTTCAAGCGCTGGGGGCCGGCCCGCAGTAACTCCTCAACATTAAAAAACAAGTACTATTTCAGAACAGTTCAAAAACACTTACAAATCATGTACCCCTCCTCCAGGTGCGCACTGCAAAGGGCTGGTGCACATACAACATCTGCGGCCACTTCGGCGCAGGGGGCTTCATTGTTGAAGCGCTGGGCCGGCCCAAAAAATGACTCCACGAAACCTGCGAATCCTTCAAAACATTCGTACAAAACTTGATCTTTTCAAACTGTAGAACCACGCTGGGAACCGGCCCGCAATAACTCCTACCACAAAAAAGAGTACTGTTCCAGAACACTTGAAAAACCCCACAAATCATGTACTCCCTCAGGTGCGCACGGCGATGGGGTGGTGCACGCACAACAACTGCGGCCACTTCGGTTCGGGGGGGTTCATCGTGTACGAGCTGGTGGGCGGTCAAGAGGAGTACCACTTCAGCGAGCTCCTGCCGATGGCGCTCATCGGCGTCGTGGGGGGGATTCTTGGTGCCCTCTACAATCAGTTGACTGCGCTGCTCGCAACGTGGCGGCGGGACGTGCTGCACCCGCGCGGCAAGCACGTCAAGGTGAGGTGTTCCTCGTGATTCCCAAAATGGAGAATCTGAGGATTGTTGTGGCTTTCGCGCTTTCAGAGATCTAGATTGTTGCGCTGTGTGAGGTGATTTCGGCGCGCCGTGCAAGTAGGTTCGAGCGCTGCTCGCCACATGGCGGAGGGACCTGCTGCACCCGCGAGGCAAGCACGTCAAGGTAGGGCCAGAAGGTTCTGCTTAATTTGCTGTTGAAATGTCCGTTTCAGAATCTATGAAAGCTTAGGCACTCCGGCGTGCTCTTGAAGTACATCAAGCGCTGCACTTTCAATGATAACATGACTGCTTGGGGGCTCCCTTCGTTGGCCTTTCAGATTGCTTATACAACTTCACTCTTATCATGGACGTGGAAACTTCTGTTAGAAAATTTTGTGGTTGAGGAAAGACACAAAACCACTGCTTGCATTGCAAAATCTGCGCAGCTTTCACCAGGTGCTGATAGGGCAGTGTGGTTCCGCAATGTGCTCGCAAATGAGAACCCGAAAGACTTGGAACCCATGCACTTCTCCAAGCCACTTTGTCCGCCTCGCAGGTGATGGAGGCGTGCGCGGTGGCGCTGCTGACGTCACTCTGCTCCTTCTGCCTGCCCCTGCTGACGACCTGCACCCCGTGCCCCGACCCCGAGAAGTTCCCGGACGTGGAGTGCCCCCGTCACGACACGTACTTCGGCAACTTCGTCAGCTTCAACTGCGCCTCGGGGGCCGAGTACAACGACCTCGCCACGCTCTTCTTTAATACGCAGGTCGGGGCGGACGCTCTTTTCCACTTGCTGTTTTGCTGTCGCTTCTGACTATCTGTTGCGGGGCACTCCTCTCCGGATTTGTCCTCTTCCTTCCTGAAGTCTGTTGGATTCTTGGCTTTCGGGTTTATATTCCCTCGACTTTGGTCAATGGATCCCTCACAAACGTCGACGCCTCACGCTCTGTGTTACTGTCTACCCACGGTGGCAGAATCGTGAAAACATTACGAACCCTGCACTTTGGGACGTCAGGTTTTGTTTGCAGGACGGCACGTTCGGCTAGTTTTTCTGCTCGCATACGTACCAGAAGTACACGGTCCTTGCGTTTTTCCAGTTTTTGCAGCGGATCCTCGGGCGGCAATTCAAGTTGGAAAAGAACATCTCATGACAATCTGAAGCCATGGGAACCTGATCGCACGACGACACCAACCGCAACCTGTTCAGCACGCGCACGTACTACGACTACGAGTAAAACAGCTGCACACCATCCTCGCATTTTTCATCACTTGCGCCAGATCCAGGGGCGGCAATTGAAGAAGGAAACTCTCAAATCTATCGGATCCTTTCGCAGGACGACACGGTCTACAACCTGTTCAGCACTTGCGAGTCCTGCGAGGAACGCTCCTCGCCCTTAGCATTTCCCGCCTGATTCTAGGGCCGCAGCATCACCCAAAGAAAGTAAAATAGCCGAATCCCCAGGCTTCTCTTTGCAGGACGACACGATCCGCAACCTGTGCAGCACGCACGTACCACTAATACACGACTTTCATCGCCTAACAAAACTTTGGGTCGCCAGTTACCGACAAACCCCACGAAAAGTATAATTTCAATTCTAGGATCCTGTTTGCAGGATGACACGATCCGCAACCTGTTCAGCACGCGCACGTATCACGAGTACTCCCCGCACACGCTCCTCGCGTTCCTCGTCATCTTCTACACGCTCTCCGTCGTGACCTTCGGGATCGCGGTCCCCGCCGGGCAGTTCGTACCGGGCATCATGGTCGGGGCGACGTACGGACGATTAGTCGGCATGCTAGTGGTCCACGTGTCGACCCGGGAGGACATCGACGAGGGCACGTATGCGCTGCTCGGCGCGGCGTCGTTCCTGGGGGGGTCCATGCGCATGACCGTCAGCCTGTGCGTCATCATGGCGGAGATCACGAATAACCTGAAACTGTTGCCGTTGATAATGCTGGTGTTACTGGTTGCGAAGGCGGTGGGGGACGGGTTCACGCGCGGGTTCTACGAGGTGCACGCGGCGGTGAAGAAGATCCCGCTGCTGGAGCCGCACGCGAAGCGCTTCATGCGGGAGTTTACGGCGCGGGATGCGGTTAATCGGCAGGTGAGCGTGAACATGTTTGAGACGTCGGAATCTCAGGTTTCGATGTTTAGGGCTTTCAATATCTAAGAATTGTGGGCTTAACATCCTACGGGGTCCATACGGCAGTGAAAAAGGTTTCGTTGCTAAAGCCGCACATAAAGCGGATCCTGCGGGAGTCACAGCGCAGGTCAACCGGCAGGTGAGCGGGTTTAGTTTCAAGTGTCAGTTTAAAGCTTCAGGTTCAAAGGTTGTTGGTCTGGGCTTCTACGAGGTTCATACGGCGGTCAAGAAGATTTTGCTGCTGGAGTTGCACGCAAAGCGTTTCAAGCGCAATCTCTTGCCGCAAAGGATCTCGTAAATGGGCAGGTGAGCATTACGATTTGTGTGGTCGAGGAAGTATAGCATAGGTGACCATGTAGTGAAGTGAACGAGCAAAATGAAGGGCAGACACATAACCAAAGATTACACCAAAGAAAGAGGTCCAACAAAAAAGAGCACAGAAATAACAATGCCGAGAACAGCGAAATGGAGCATCACCTCGCAGGTGGTGCCGCTGTCGCGCATCGAGCGCGTGGGTCACATCGTGTCGGTGCTCCAGCGGGAGAACCACCACGCGTACCCCGTGCTGCAACAACTCCCGGGCGGGGAGGCCGCGCTGCTCGGGACCGTGCTGCGCAGGTGGGCCGCACAAGTACTTTCTTTTTTTGTCGAACCGATATTTTCCATTTTGTAGTGTCAAGGTTTGGCTATCATTGGGCTGTCCTTGTTTTGAGCATCAGTGCACAATATTGTTCCCATGAGGATGCGGGCAGTGCTCAGGGTCGCAGTGTGCAGGTGGCTAGCATTCCTCGCTTTTCCTTCGATTTTGGCGCCACGTGTCTTCATTGATGCTTGATTTTGTCACCATGTTCTTTCCCGTGAGAAGCCGTCTTGCTCTTCGCCTTCGTCGTGATTGCGAAGCAATGCAACATTCGTTTCTTATAATCCCGTGCGTAGTGTCAGAAAGTAAGATTGATTGCAGTCAGGAGGTCACCGTATTCCAGGGACGAAGGAGGAAACGAGTGAAGAGCAGAAGCGAAGAAGTGCATGGCCCCGCATGCATGAAGCTGCGAGAGTGTGTTTTCTTTTGTCCTTCCCCTACCAATGCCCCTTCCTTGCCCTGCAGTCACCTGATATCACTCCTCATCGCTCGGCGGGATTTCCACGCGTCACCAGCGGAAGCGGCCGCTGAAGGCACGCAAAGGTATTTTTGTGGGGCCCGGCTAGGATTGCGCTTCGTTGCGATCCGGCTAGTATTGCGCTTCTTTGCCATCGAATGATGGTGATATCCTTTTGGGATCCGGTCAGAGTTGCTTTGGCTGCACCCTTGACAAGCGGACATGGTTGCAATTGGTTAGCTTCTTGATCACTGTGCATGACTCTGATTCGTTCTGACTCAATCAGGGCTCAACCGCGGAGGATATTATTCACACTTGGGTCTTCGAATCTCACAACCATCAGACAATGGAAGTCAGTGTCAACTCATCTACGCATGGATTCCAGTTTAATTGAAACATCGAAAGCATTGAAGTACCGAGTGAGTGAACCTTTTCACCTGAATACCTTCAAACCATTATGCCTTTCACCCCAGCGACGCACCCATCCATATCAGCAAGCATGTAGACTTTACGCTAAGTTTGTCTTCGTGGTTTTGGTGCCTAAGAAGCTGGATTTGAACCCTTGTGCAGTTACTATGTGAGCAATAACACCAGGCTCTTAATGTTCCTGGATTCTATAAGTCCTGGACCCCCAATCTGTTGCAGGTACGACGTGACCGACTTCTCGAAGCCTGTGAGCAGCCACGGTCGCGATATCGAGGACGTGCACCTCTCCCCCGAAGAGCGCGCCATGTTCCTGGACTTGCTACCCTTTGTCAACGCGTCGCCCTACTTCGTCTCCGAAGACATGGCGCTCAACAAGGTGACGCACCGCTTCTCAGTGGACTGCACTATTGCCTTTGCCGTTTCCTCGCTTTCCTATATTTCGATCCCTCCTCTGTTCTGTTCCTTCTTTTCCGTTTCCCCCTCTCAATCGTGACGTCATCCTACTTGACATTGCGCTCAACAAAAAACGCACCGCCTTGCAGAGGACAACACTGCTCCGCCGTTTCTTTTGTGTTCACTTTCTTTTCTCCGCTTTTCTGTTCCTTCTCTTCTTCATTCTTCTTCTCGCTTTTAAGGGCGCCCTATTTCGTCTCCGAAGACATGGCGCTCAACGAGGTGACGCGTCCCTTCTCGAGGATGACGTTTTCCTTCCCGCCTTCTTGTTTCCACTTCCGCAAACGTTGCCCTTCTCCTTTTTCTGACTGGAGTCCAGTGCTTTGACGCTACACAGGTGCTAGGGTCTTAGGAGTACTGCATGCCAGGAAAACGCACATGCCAGGAAAACGCAGAGAATCAAGTGCGCGTCTTCAAGAGGTTTCTGCTCCATCGCTCAATTTCTTGCACACGTGTAAACCGAGTGTTTTCAACGGTTTTTCTCGGCTGACTCGTTCCGCCGGTGCCGCTCCGCTGACTCGTTTCAGCTGCTCCCAGCTCTGCTCCTGCCACCGAGGGCTGCGTCACATGAAGGCGTTACGTGAGGAAGCAGCGGCCGTGTTGGATTCGCCTCATCAAACTTCTTTTTTCGCTTTCTGCTGAGATTCTACGTTTCCTTTTTCTGCTCCCAGGTCTACTCCCTCTTCCGCCACCTAGGGTTGCGTCACCTGATGGTCGTCCCGGCGCCGTCGCACGTGTCTGGCGTCATCACGCGAAAAGACTTACTACACGAAGTGCTGGAAGAAAAGGTGATGGGGTCTCAGGACGGCTCGCGGAGACCCAGAATACAGCAGCTCATGCGTAGGAAACGACGACGAAGCGAAAACGGGGGGTCGGAAGCCGGGGTTGCGAGGTCGCCGCATGTCGCGAGCAGCTTGCTCGACGAGGAGTCGGATTTGGAAGTGTAGAGTCAGAGCATGACCCGTTGTTGTATATTTGCAATTCGTGTATACGTCTGATGGAATTCTGCTGGCGGTTCTATGAGTCAGATTACGCAGGCCGTTGCTCACAACCGGCGGCTGGCAACCTTTTGCAGCCGCCCCCTTCTCATGAAAGCTTGTACAATGCGCCACTGTCGGTTGGCTCAAACTCACCATTCCTCCGAATCGACCGTACTGTACATAAGCTGGGGATCAACAACATGCCCGCGGGTGGTCTTTGGTACTATGTATAGCATTCCGTGTGCATGCAACCTGCTCAACGTGTCTGTTACCTATGAATGATCGATATCTGAAAAAGTTAGACTTGATTTCATCAGTAAGTTCATTTACGGTACAGGCTTTACATATGTCGCTCACACCTTTTGTAGCGCTGATAGCTGAGCTACATGCCACCTGTGTTGGAATGCGTGACGTGGCCAATTCATTGATTGCAAGCGCGGGCCTGCGCACACATTAACATTATTTCAAATTCGAGCATCTCCAAAATAGTCGTTGGTGCAATTCCCACATGCCGGCGCGGACATGCTTACAGGGGCGCATGTTATGAATCGAATATATGGTATACCAGGTGCTAGCTTAATTGTGTTGTCTTGAATGAATTGATGTATTGCGTTGGTTTCCGATTTCGTGTGCACAACGTATACGAAGAAAGGCTTTAAATCTCTGCAGCCATATGGCGGCGAAGTTGCCGGCGCGGCCGGCCTCCGGCTGCAATCGCGGCCGCGTTCGGCCGGGCCACCATACTGTAAACCCCTGCATATAACCCCTTTGCAGAGACTCGGCCGCCGGCGGTTGCAGCCCGGCCGCGGCGGCTGTACGTCGCGCGGACACCTCGCCTTTCATGGTGCATTGGAAAGCTGGAGCATGTGTCGCCTCTACTAGGCTCTATCTGCTGACCAACCTGAGTCCCCAACCTCGCTAGCAGGGCTGCCAATAGGTGCCAAATTCCCTGAGTGCATTACTGATCTGCTCTTTTGAGTTCCCCTTACAAAGTTACTAGCATTATTCTGGCTTCCTGCTTTCAAAGATTGAGCGAAGTGAGTGAGCCACCGTGGGGTCTGCGCCATATCCAAGACGTAGAAGAGACGCAAATTCAAACGAATTCAGAATGGTTGACATTCAGCCAGCTAGCTGCTGATCTCTCGAAAGCTCATTGCCAGCGCTCGAAAGGCTCATATCATCTCTAAGAAGCTGAGCAGAGAGCACATGTGGCCCCTTTGATTTTCTATAAAAGTAGCAACGCTTCAGCTTGATCTCAACGCACCCAGCCACAACTCCATCTGGAAACTGGGCATCGTTCCAGCATGCATGAACCTATCTTGTGACAGGTGACCAAATAGGAGCCAATCGCTGTAGCAATAATATTACCATGGATGGGATTCATGCTGGGCCGATGAGCCGTTGCACGCGGGTTGTGGGGCTTGGACGATGTTGGAAGAGCGCCCCCTTCCTGCAACAGCGCTCTAATGATGTGGCCAGGGTGGCCAGCAAGCACTTAATCTGTCCACCAGCGAGGGTCTCCGTGGCAATGCTAGAAGGTCAGCCTGACACTTTCGACGTATGCAGAGCCTCGGTTTTCGAGCCAAATGAGCATGTCCTTGTTGTCTGCCACAGCCAATGGACCAAAGTCGAGCTTTCGACTGCAGATCCAACTTCTCGCACTTTGTACAGTTGTGTATCAGTTGTGTCGGCCACGTTTGACCTCAGAATATGCACCAGTGCAGATTTTTCAAAGCCTCAGCGGCCAGACTGCTGAGGTCAAGATGACAGAGGTCACAACGCCACGCTGACATCATTGGGAGAGACCGATTTGTTATGTATATAGAAAGATCAAGTCGTAGCATGCGTATTTGAAGAGCCCGCCCTAGAAACTACCTGCCAGAATCAAATTCGATACTCTTGCAACAGGACTTTCCTTCTCTTCTTTTCAAGCAGTATTGTTTGTACAAGAAGCTGCAAAATCTCCATGCAAGTCTTCTAATTAGAACAGCAATTTGTCTTGCCAATTGTCTGACAGGGCATCTTGCAGAATTGCAGATTCAGTCTCGCCTTATGAACCACCAGACGATACTACGACAGGAAGAAGGCGCCAAGGTCTAGGCGTCAAAGAGCTAAACGGGTGGAGAAGACGAGAAAATCAGTACCTTCAAACAGAAAGAAAGGTGCAGACAGTGACCCTGAGGCGAAACCTTACATGATCAAGAGGACTGGATGACACGAGGCAATCGAGGTAGTTGTGGTGTGCTTTAATCATTGACGGGCTCTCTGGACCTGATCCATGATAGATGCTCGACAATCTGCTAAGCTGGTGCCAGTGTTTATCGAAAGACATGGTCGGACTTACAGTTGAGCATCTGGCCTCGCTTTGAGATCAAAGCTAGAACTCTTTGTTCTTATACAGAGCGACTTACGTCAGCTGGAGCTTCCAAGGCCGTCCAAGGTGGGCCTCTTCATTCGGACCACCGTCAATGTGATCTTCCTTTTCCTCCCATGATTTTTGAAAGTGTGACATCAGCTCACTTGTCTTGTGGTTTATGAGGTGCTGGATGATGTAGTGAACTCTGCAATTTTACGTTGCTTCAAAACTGCTGTTTTCAAAACTGTAATTGTGCCACCAGAATCCAATCGTCTTCTCTTTCTCAGCCCTTCAAGCCTATGCTGAGTTCATCGTCAGAGTCGACACCGTCAGTGGCGCCATTGAGGTGCCACCCGATCTGCCATTGGAGATCCCCCCGGGTCTAAGCAAGAGCATCATGATCCGTCCGTGCTACCTCCTGGTGCTGAAGAAACTCGGAGCCCTCGGCAATTCCTTCGCTCTGGTGCTCAGCGGCTCGCCAGGCATCGGAAAGTCCGCTTTCTCCGTTCTGCTTTTGCAGTACTTGGCAAAGAGGGGGGCAAAAGTGGCTTACAGGTATGCAATGCACCATTCCTGGCTGACTGTGTAGTTGCTTGCTTGCCTTATGTTGTAATTCGCTGAGCAACTTGCTAGCAGACCTTCCGCATTGTTTGAGTCCAAATTTCCTGGTATCACCAGTTGAAGTCTGCTGTTGCAGGTACAAGGACGTGTGGCTTGGAGACACCGTCGTCTACTTTGACTTTTCGGACCTCTCCTCAATTTTCGTCAAGGTGGCTTCCGTGAACACTGTTCATTGGATCGCTCTTCTTGGTAAGCATGGGGTGTGGAGCATGATACGGCAGTGACGAATCTCTTTTGTGGGGCGGAGTGATGACCTGCTGGCTCAATTACAATTCCAAAACTGTGGGGCAAGGTGCCATGATGAAGAATGTATGCTGAAAACGAGCAGGTTTTGATTGTGTACTATGACTATGTGAGCTGCTCACAAAGTGCCTGGTTACGGCCTGGTCACCAACGATCAATTTAATGATAAAGAAAGAGAGTGCCGTTTCGCTGTAGTAGCCGGCACCCTCTTCGTTTCGCCACGTTCCCCCCCACCTTTCTGACCAATCTTATTACTGTATTTTGCACCCTTTACGTCTTGTACTTTTCTGCCCCCCCTTATGTGCGGCTCTCAAAAGAATTCTGAAGCCCTCTCTTCTCGCACTCCCTCCCCCCTCCCCCCCTTTGACTATTATTCCTCCAGAATCGGGTCCCTTTCTCTTCCTTTCTCTTCCTCCTTCCTTCAATACCCGTCTATTGGTAGTACTCTTGCCCCCGTTCATCCCTCACTTTCAACCCTGCCCCGGGGCCAATCTCTTTTTAGGATCCCGGGCCCTTTTCCTCTCTTACTCCCCAAAACCCCCCGTTTTGCAGTCGATACCTTCGAAAAACTCTGGGCCCTTCTCTTCTCTCATCCCCTCCCACTTTGCGGCCAATCTCTTTGTAGGATTTCAGGCCCTTATCTGACTGTCTCCCACCCCCTTATGGCCGATTTCGTTCTTACCCCTGGATTCAACGGGAAAGAAATGCCTTTGCTCCTGTCATGCAGGACTTGCTCGAGACGAATCAGTCTGGCAGATCCAGGACGGACAAGCCCCTCGGGCGCAGTCGCTGGCCAGAGGTCGCCACATCGTCCTGTCCTCATCAAACGTGGACGACTTCAGAGAGTTTGCCAAGGGGAAGTGAGTGTAAATCGAAACGAATTGCTGAGTTCTCCATTCTTGTGGAAGAGCCGTCTAACCGGAATCTTTGTCCACATTGATCTATTTCGGGGGTTAACGAAAACTGACGAATGCTTGAAGAAGAGGCACCACCTTGAAAAGATCGGCAGGCGCCTCCTTTCATTGCTGGATTGTTGGTAGGCACTCGTTGTTAAGAATTTTGACGACAGCAGTCCCTCAGCGTGTCCACCACAGTTAACCCCTTCTCTTGTCCGCAATCAGGCGCGAGACAACCTTTCAACCGTCACCACGATGTGTGGAACCCTCCTTTGCACTCTACGTCCGGTCATTAAACCCAACTTACATGGTGCTGCAGCCGGTGTGAGGTATGGTGGCTACCGGTTTGGTCGCTCGAAGAGCTGCAGCAGTGTCGCCGGCTACTCTTCCCCCATGTTTCGGAACAAGTCATGGAGTCCCGGTTTTTGGAGTTCGGAGGCCTTATCAGGTTCGTGCTGGCGAACCCGAAGGCCTCGTTCCAGAAGCTCGCCGCCACTTTGTCGGCCGAGCAGGCGTTCTCGCTGTACCACTTGACGCTCGCTTCCGTGGAGAGCGACGTCAGGCACGTCTTCGCGCACATTGCGGTAAGCAAGCCCATCTGAGCCACTTTTTTGGTTGGGAACGTATCCAGCCTAGAGGGCATGCTGTTCCGCTCGGGCAGGAACGGAAACGTGAGCACCGATTGCCGTCGCATCCACGCCTCGTGATCGTCTATCAACGAAGGAGTGTTCCCGAAATGGGCAGAAACCCCATTCATATATCGCCGATACCAATCTGGGGGTCCGGAATTCTGGCTAATGGTCTGATGCTCTAAGGTGGTTAGCGCGCTGGTCTGTTGAAGTGACGCCGCTACACGCCGCTACACTGCAATCATGAGAAGAGCAAGTTTTGCCTCGGTCTGCCCGCTTTTCTTTGACCCCGCTTTTTGAAACCGTGACAATCAGCATGTACCGGCTCTTGGAAGAAAACCTGATTGAGCTGATTGAGCTGTACGGCTGGTCAGCCCGGCTGCCGGTGGTAGGGCACGTCAACGTTTGCCTTCCAAAACATTCCCTCCGCTCGATCTTTTAATGCTGTACGTCGCAGCCGTCGTTCCGTGTGACGACGCTGCGGTCAGGTTGTGACGTCAGCAAGGAGGTTCGTGCAGCAGGTCTACGCCCAGACTTACGCTGTGCATTGTTCTTGCAACATGTTTAACGAGCTTCGGGTCCGTGTGCAGGTTGACGACAACCTGGACAGAACGGGATACTTCCTCGGCTCTCCCGACATCAAGGAGCTCGTCTTTGCCAAGTCTCAAGCGGGCCAATGGCAAGGCTTAGTGGAAATGCTGCACGCTGGCGCGAAGGAAACGGAACTGGGCAGGATGTCGGGTGAAGCGCTTGAAACATACGGACATGCAGTGCTTCTCCGAGGGTTAGACCTGGACAGCGAAGACGTTCGGCAGATCTTCAGGCAGGGCCCCGAGTGGCGGCCAAGGCTGACAGGAGAACTGACTTCCGCACAGATGCAGACAATCGCGGAGATTCGGGAGTCCTTGCGGGGCCCTAAAACCCTGGTTTGGGATAGTCCGAGCAAAGTCTACGATCTGCCGGAGCTCACCCAGACATATGTGCAACCTATCACGGCAACCAACGAGTCCTGGGACTCGTTGATCTGCTCGGGAGATGCAACGGTAAACGCCGTCCAGTTCACGAGGAACACAAGGCACGGGACGAAGGTGGGCGGAATCCAAGAGCTCTTGCGACGACTCCGTGCAAGTTGTAAGAAACTGAGAATTTTCCATGCCGTCCCGGCGGAAGTGTATGATACGTACACGTGGCAGCCTTGGGTTGGCGAACGAGCGGTCCAAAGAAAGAACAAGAAAGGGGTTGAGGAGATGGTCTCCAAAGTGGGGACTTTGTCGGAGGATCAGGTGCCCACGGAGCTCAGAGGGATAGAGCAGTGGGTCGTGAAGCTTAGGTTGCCCGAGCCAGGTAGTGATACCCCAAATTTAAGCAGAGCATTCTATTACGGTGAAATCTACGAATCGGACTAAAGGTCAAGCAGACGTTCGTATTAAAACTAAGCTCCTAGCACCAGACGTCAATCGCCAAGGTCTTTGTAAGTGGATCCTGGAACGGCAGAACGAAACGTCGAATCATGCGGACTCATTTAAGTACCTGTTTCGCAATAGAGAACGAGACTATCACAACTCTTGACACTTGGTCGCCGCACGTCGTGAGCAGCTTGCTCGACGAGAAGTCGGATCCGGAGGCTTCGAGTCAGGGCTTGAATCGTGGTTGTATATCTTCAACTCCTGTATACGTATGATGATACTCTACCATGCAGGCGTCGAAGTGACTTGCAACCGTTGCAATCTATTGCAGCAAGCCGCCCCCTTGCTCAAGCTAATCAACTAAAAGCTAGTACAACGCGCCACTACAGGTAAGTTGGCCCACAGCTTGACTCGCTTAGTTCAATTCGTATCCCTCCGAATCGACTGCACATGAGCAGGAGATCACTGGTGTGGCCTGGGGGAACTTTCATACTAGCTATGTATGTGCAGACGGTAATGCTGTACAGCATCCCGCTTTGCGTGTATATGTTCCGTATTTGAGAAGGTATAGTTCAATTCATTGGTAAGTTAGTACCGTACGTGCTCTGTATATTGCTCGTACTTTATTTTTATTAGCTCGTATACGCCACCGGCCGTCGGGCCTATATGAATGTGTGACGGCGCATCAATCGATCATAATTGCGGGCCTGCTTATCGCGTAGGTACTTTTGAGCATCGCAAGAAGTGGGCCGTAAGTCACTGTTGCAAGCCCCTGGACAGGGGCACGTTATGTACTGACGCATCTGGTATACCGGGTGCTTCTAGAGCTGTTGTATTCAATTAAGTGGCCGGTATTTCACGTTATAGTTTCGCGATAGCTCGTGTGCAAGGTACGAAGAAAGACTGAGATCATCACTGCGGTGGCACTGGCAATGCCGCCAGCTGATCGCGGCTGCGCTCGACTGGGGGCCTATATGGAGCGCGGGCAGCGAATTGCCGGACACAATGGTCTAACTATACGACTCTGCATTTAAAGGAACCGAAGTTGTGGAGCTCTTGGCAAGGCTGCTGCATATGCACAAAGCCTTCAATGCATACAATGTAGGGTACAACGCACTTTGTGAGGTCACGTTGCATGATCCACTGCAACACCCTGGCGCTGAGTGGTGGGGCTCTTCTGCTCTTGCACATTCGCACCAAATTATTTGATCAAAACGAGCCTCTTTAAAACCATGTTGCTCTAGCCAGCACAGGACTAGCTTGTACCTGTGAACAGGGGCGGCTTGATGCACATATGCACCCTTCATCCATTCCTTGGCCACTAAAGCGACGCCACACACAGAGAGGTCCTATCTTAAGCTTCCTCGATGACAGGCGCTCCTATCAATCAACCGTTCGTGATCACTCGTATCTTCAAGCCGGTGGTCACAAGTCGAACTTGTCTGACGACGTGGGAAAATCGTAGTCCATGTCTTTCAGCGGATCAATACCCGGCTTCTTTCCCGCTTGCGACTCCGTCCACGTTTTCGCGATCGTCTTCTTCATCTCGTCATCCCCTTCGTCGTACAGCGTCTGCAATCAAGGAAGAGGTGAACGTACATGACCAAATTGGCGATTGGAATAAGATAAACCAATAAGCTGATTGGCCTGCGAGGGTAATATGCACTCCTTAACAGCCCTCAGGCCGTGAGTCTTTTGGATTGCACTCAACACGAGTATGAATGACACTTTCCGAACGAATCGCAGAAGGTCCCCGTAAGCGACTCCTGTGGGTGTCCAACAAAAACTGTTACGGTCAAGTTCCTCATGAGTCATTCTCGTGACGGCCTTAACATTGCCTTTGGGAATCGGAGACTTCCAAGGTCCACAGAAAGTCCACAGAAGGCCTCAACACAGAAGGCTTGAGAACAGAGAGGGAAGCCCGGGAGAAGGACCAGGTGCCCAGACTCACTTTCATCAGGTCCATGATCCCGGCCATCGGATTGTCCTTCGAAGCAGCGGTGTCCTTCTTGTCGAACTGCGAAGAAGTAAGCATGGGCTCAGATTGGCGAACCGGTACTTCCAATCAAGGTGGGCACAACGTTGTGAAAGCAGATTCGCACTGCTCGAGACCATTCGCACTTCGCCGTTTGATGTCCCACGGCTGCAGATGTCGGACAAACTTCGGCGCTCTTTGGCTGTGCTGCGCATTCCCAGGGAATGATAAATAAAGTAGCTGCAACAAAGGGCTCAACTGCGTCTTCGTTCGGGGTGGGCATCAAACGTCGATCTTCAACGAAAAGGACGAAAAGGCACCCTTCCTTAGTGTTACGGCGGTCACATGGTCGGAGGAAGCGCAACGGAACATGATCATCAAGTTCGCTGCCAACCTCTGTTCCTTGTCCGGGACGCAAGAAGCACGATCAGTGGGGTTTGAGTGTTATGCCACGCAAAGGCCTTGTCGATCTGCTCTTTGCAAGCCGACCGTCCCGGGTCAGCAACTTTTTCCTTCGCGGGAATCGATGAATTGTCCTCACTGCTCAGAGGAAGTTACAAAAGCAACAACCCGCAGAGAAAACATGTACGCGAAAAAGTCGGCACGACAGCAGACGACAACCCGGTCCACGTCTGATTCGCAGTCTTCCTCTTACTTGCTATTAGTAAAAGCCCTCAACACGAAGCCGCACAACCGTCAGTCGGGAACCTGAAGATCCGCCTCCGAACAGCTGCTCAGACCATCATAAACTCGTCGGCCAGGCAACGATACTGATAAAACGTTCCCCACCTCACCTTGCTCTCTTTATGGTACAGGTCCAGCCAGTGCTTCCGCTCCGCCTTGGGCATCGTAATCGTGATACGCTTCGGTTTCACCGCCACACTAGATCTCTTAGGGTCGATCTTGCCGTGGAGTTGGTGGACTGCCGCCCGAAAGTGCTTGCCCGCCACGTCCTGCAGCCGGACGTCGAATGATGTCGGTGTGAAGTCAGCGATGACGCGGTCCTGCGACGCACCCTCGATGAAGATGTAGATCTGCAGATATGGTGACTTCTTCAGAATCTTAAGAATGACAGCAAAGATCTCGCAGGGATGTTGGGACAGTTTGAACAATATGAAATCTGGACAATGCGGCCCTACGACGCTCCCTCAATGGAAAATAAGATCTGCGAACCCATGAGGAATTTCAATGCGGGGTCCAATCTGTTTCACGTTTTTCCTTTCAAAGGTTTAAGAAATCTCGAACGAGCCCGGCGGAAACGTCAACACACCCAGATCTATGACGCGGTCTCAATGAAGACATAAATATGGACAAGCAGATGTACAAAGGGTTACGTGACCGTTTTCCCCCGCCTTCGGGGACATCGTTCGCAAAGGTTTTCTCGGTATAAGAGGAGATGTTTTCAGCTTTTTTGGAGCTGTCATAAGAGACATAGAGTCCTCAACGAGAGAAAAGAGGAAAACGCTCCTTTCGGCAGCCTTTACTTCGTTGTCCGTCTTCTGTCCTGGCGTCTTTTGCTGGGGACTTGTGTTAAAACGTGTGCTCCTTCTGAAAGGGGTGCGGGCGAGACTCAGATATAAAAACACAGAGAAGCGAGAGTTGAGTCAGTGAGGAACCAGGATCAACCAGGCTCAATCCCAGAAAAGATGTGGGATAGTAAGGGGCCAGATAGATGAGAATTGACAATCTTCGTCGAATTGGTTCGAATATCTCGCTAGACCTTTGTACAGATTCACTTAGAGATAAGGGAGTCTGTAAAAGGTTGCTGCCAAACAGGACGGTACTGACCATTCAAACGCGAACTAGCATAAACACTGATTTGAATCATTGTCTCTACTGAAGCATTTGAATGACCATTTGAGCCCATCACCAACTGTCATGCACGATTTCAGTCCAACGTTAAACTTACGAATCACTTCACGTTTCTCCGTGAACTTCAAAACGTGTTCAAGATATCAAATGCCGAACCCGCGCACCTGCCTGCAACCTTTACTTCCGTTTTCTCTAATTCCATCTACTTGATACTTGCCAATCTGGTCTAATGACCATATAAGATGCAATTCGCAAAATTGAGTACATACCTTGACTTTGTCGGAGTCCTGGTCCCAGCTGAGAGTCGAGAGCGTTGTGTAGTCTATCCGCGGCACCGAAGGCTTCACTGCGACGGGCTTTATCTTGATTCCATCAGACTTGTCCTTTTTCTCTGGTCCCTACACAGATCAAAGCGCCACACCAACAAGTCAATTGTGGTACTGTGATTCCTGTCAACGTAAGAGCTGGCTGATTGCTCAGAATAACTGCGGCGATCAACCATGATTCTTGCATCCTAGAAGGAATGAACGCACATTTATACGCGAACTTCAAAGAGCACTGGGATTAAATACCATAAAAAGCAGTTGATAAGCTCAGATGAGGTGAGTCCAAGAGATTGCAAGACTGGTCTAAATGAAGGTTCGGTATCAAGAACAGGTTGCACTCACAGATGCGAGGAGGTATGCCAGGGACGATGATGTTAGCATAAAAATACTGCCCCTCAAATCTTGCTCTCAAGATGACTCTCAACTAATATTGGGCTTTGATTGCCACCGTCCTTTCAATTACGAGGAAATGATCGCAGATCTCTAGGTGAGGCAGACTGTGGAAGGGTCACTCTGCCAATTGCAAGGCGCTCCTATCATGGTCTGACCACCAGCCAACAGCCAATTGAAACAAGGATTTGATTTCAATTTGAGAAACTCAAAGGAAAACATGGAGGAACAGTCAGAACGACGACTCAAAAGTTGACCCTGGATCAGGCTTTCCAACTATGACTGTCAGTGAGTAACTTGAACTAAAAAGGTTTGAAAGGAGCGTTTCAATTTATGTGCAATGAATGCTGAGCAACATAGATTTATCAATTAAAACCTGCTTGTGTTGGCGACAAAAAGAGGATAGACTTCCAGGAGAGACAAAACTCTCTACATACGGGGTCCTTTGTTCTAAAAGATGCACAATACCATCCTGCTTAAGAGTGCTAAGGGTTTATGGCGGTTTGATAATAGATAGTTGATCTCTGATGCCGACAAACATCGCAAGGCTCGTTGATTGTTTGAAATGTTCTCCTAGATGGTGGTGAGTAAGCCAACAAATATGCTTTGCAAAATGAAGTACACGGTGGCACTATTGCAAGGGATAGCACAATTGGACCAATTGCAGAAGATTTTATTGTCAGCGCCACCTTTTCAATCTCCTGCAGCTCCTTCTCCAGCAAGCATTTCACGGCCGCTGGCATTCCGCGAGCAAGCGCTTGAGCTCCTCGATGTCGGCTTTGAGATCTTCCGTATCCCCGTTTGTTGCAGCCATCATGGCTGACCTCCTGCCCTGCTAGGACTTTCTGAATTAGGCGCACAGATGGGCGCAGATTTTGGGCTTAGAGCTCAGTACTTTGAAGTTTGACACTGACAGACTCGGAGCTCTCGACTCTCGAGCTCAGGACTTGTTCGCGCGCGAGAACGCGAACAGTGAAAACCAATCGCTGGGGCGGCCGCCGAGCGTCCAAGTGAGGCCGACGTCACGATCCTGAGGTTCGACGGCGATGCCTTTGGAAAAGACGGGGTCGTTGATGCGGGTCGATGTCGCCCACAGATTGTTGTTCAGATTTTTTGATGAGGCCTAGTTGTGCGTTCCACGAAAGCCACAGGATCCGCTTAATGGGCGGCTCAAATCTCGTCTGAGCAAAACTGGACGCTCCAGATTGATTCTAGCGGATCGTATTCTTATCTTCGAAGACGAAACCGTCGAAGTGGGAGTTCCACTCCGGAAACTCGAGAGCGCTCAGCAAAAGGAGCGAGAGAGAAAGGGGACGCGTTCGGAGGAGGAAGAAGGGCCAAACTGCGGGCGTCACGGGATTCAAATTTGAATTCTAGGGTTCCATTGTTTGGTCAGCTGCGCGTTTGGTGCCTGCCCTAGCTGCAGCTGTTGGGCCCTTCTTGTGTGGCCCATGGGGGCTTCGCGTGTTTGAGAAGGTGCATACCCAGGTCATTTAATATGCATTGAAACTCTGGTAAGTGAACGCAGACTTGGTTACAGTGTGCCGAATTACGGCGGTGATCAGAACACATATTGCAGCTAGTTTTTCCCAGGACATGGGGTATAGGTTGCTCTAGCTTACGAGGTTAAGCACACGGAATTTGGATCCTGTGAGTTTGTCCACACATTCAGCACCTCAAATGGAGGGCCCCCCTCACTTCCACCACATGCCCTCCCCGTATGGCATGGTTGCTGAGCACGGTCATGGGATGCAAGCCCCCCATGGACTGCAGCAGTATCACCAGGTACCGCATCACCCTGAGCAAGGGGGGGCGCACCCTGAGGGGCACTTGCAGGCTCAGGCGCATGCTTATAATCCTGGACAGCAAGGCCATCATCAGGAAGGCCAGGTGCCGGGCTCAGGACTGGACCCAGGGCAGGAATATCAGGATGGGAGCCTGTACTCGGCCGTTGTGGAGGCTGGGATGGAAAAGGTGAGTGCCTGATGGATAACCAGACCTAGGATTGGGGGAGGTGTATAATGCGATTGAAGACTGGTCTTCAAGGGCGGTGGGAAGTGCAGATGGCTGGCTCAACGTGTATTTGAGGCTTCACCACCTTTACCAGGATTCCACCCACTCGTATCCAGGTAGCTTTGCTACTCACGAGCCTGTGTCAGACTGAGTGTACTTAAAAGAGTGTATATAAGCATTGTGAGGAGCAGATAGCTGATAGGTTGTCTGCTAATGGCAGTGAAATGGCTTTTAGAAAACCATGGTTCTTTGAGATAGTCTTGTTATACAAGAAAATGCTTTTGTAGTCCTTGGCGTTTGCTGAAAAAGGCGTGTCACTCCTACCGCTATCACTAGCGTGCTGGCTTGAGTGAGTTGTCTGCTTTCTCATGTATTTTTGAAGCCGCACAAATCCGATCTCTTGACCAGCTTCGTCGAGATAGAACATCAGTTCTTTTGTCAGCCGCTTTTGCTGGCCCTTTTTGACATAGCCTTTTACCTCTGCTTGAATAGGTGGCTGATCTCTTAGTTCTTTCCTGTTGACCAACACATCTGCAAGTTGTCAGAAGTACCGAGTCTTTTCAGCAATGCAACATCCTTGGACGATTCTCACCCGTACGGTGCAGTTCTGAACCTTTTGCGGAAGGCGCTCACCTTCTCGTCCCCACTCTCTCGATGAGATGAAGCCAACGACGTCCTCTGAATCCCAACCATATTTTTAGCCAAGGTAAAGTACACCTTAAAACCAGTGTTCACCAATCATTACAGGCACCTGCCGAAGATGTTGATGACGAGCTTTTGGCCCGCGTTGAGGTCAGCGAGCTGACCGACGCCCAGATCCGGACACGTTTGAAGCTGCTAACCGCTGAGGCGCAGAAGCGGGGAGTCCAGGTGGATGACTGGCTCCCTGGGGTGCACCCCCCCCCGCTAAGCGATGCGGAGCAACTCAAGGTGGAGAAGGCGCGCAATGCCAAGGCGGAACGGCGTTTGGGGCGCATCTTCGAGGGGCTGGTCAAGGAAGTGGGGGGATATGGCTGGATCTATGGGTTCATCACCGCTTCAGGTGGGGGGGGGGACTTGGTGCTGGGGTTTAGAAGATTCTCCCATCAATTGCTGAAAGCAGAAGTCCTCTGTATTTTGGAGGAAGTTGTACATCGGGTTTGTGTATCCAGTGTTTCAGGTATTAGCGCCGTGGCAGAAGAGCTCTGTACACTTGTGATGGGGCAATCGACGTTTGTTATGGGTTTTGAGTTCACTTTTTGTCATGTGGGGGGTAGCAACTAGGTGCGCTCTGGTGAAATGTTTTGTAGAGTCTACGCAATCGAGACTATGCTTAGTCGCAGGTACGATAAAGAGTACTTAGGACGTTGTGAGAGGAGGGCGTGCAGAAGTTTGCATCACTTTAAGAAGTGGCTACTAATACAGAAAGCAAGGATGCTCATCAGAACGGCGAAAGGTGCCTGAGTCTTAATGATGAAGCATCCGGGTGTCTTTTCTTTTGGGACAACTTTCTTATATTATTCAATTTTTCTTCTGACAAGGTTCTTAGCTTGTTTGCGTCTGCGCGATTGTACGTTGCTCAACTTCCGTCTCAACAAGAGCACTGCAATTGCTTCTTGTACAAAGCGTAGGGGGCTTCGCACGTTTCTCCTGCTCCAAAAACCTGATCATGTAATCTGAGGAGCATCTCACTCATCTTGCGCCCCTATTCTCACAGGCCAGCCCAAGTCGGGCGCGAGCGAGAGCATGCGCAAGTGGTGGCTCGAGCAAGTCCGCTTCAACGAGGTCGCGTGCCCCGACCGCAAAGCTCCGCTCAATGCGGCCCGCCTCCCCAAGACCGCAAACCTCTCCGACTGTGACGGGAAGTCACCGCAGCAGTTGATGATCAAGCTGACGCACCGGCAGCTGGCGTCGATGGCGTCCGAGTGGCTGCGGTTGTGCGAGCCCTCGGCGGCGCAGTACCCGCTGAACGGGTCAGGGGGATCCCCCCCTTGGTGGCCGGAGAACATCCAGTACAAGAAGCCGGACCTGCTGAAGAACCAGGCGCTGACAGAGGTGGGGGAAGCGCAATGAGTATGTTGCATGAGACTTGTACGGCTGTAAATAGGCTATTGTCCAGAGAGTGTGAAGGTTTGAGAGTAATTGAGAGCTGCTGGTCAACTGGGACAGGTCTTTTCTCTACTCTTGAATATGCAGTACTTGTTTTGGCAATCTGGTTTTGTTTCTTCCTTATCATCTTTAAGGCTTGGGACCATCTCCTCAGGTTTCCGGGGCTGACCAAGCTGGATGTCACAGATTGATAAGATCAAATTTGAGATGGCAGACACTTGACTTTGATGGCTTCCGATTGCATTTTGATTGCACATCCGGTCCTGCAGATTTCCCGCTTGAGGATCTCTGTAGCGAGTAACTGTATCCAATTCTATCTCGGTCTCTTCACTGGGGCCATAACAAGTTTGTATTATCGAGACTCCGAAGTTGCGCCCTAACCGACGCTCAAACCCTTTTCTTGACCCTTACAGGTCCTGGAGCTGGGCCTCAAGAACTTCTTGCCCAACATGTTTGCGACTGACGCCTCGGAGGTGCTGATCAAGATCCTGATCCGGTCCAAGGTCCTGCGGAAGGCAGGGGCTGCCGAGATCGCCATTGTGGTCAAGGTCATCAACACTGCCGTTGCGCTTTGGGCCAAGCCGGATCCTCGTGAGTGTCCCTTTCTCGCACTTATCCTTGCTTCCAAATTCTTCAAAATCGGTTGATCTTTTTCCCCTCCTGTGTTTTAGGGTCCTTTGCGTCCTGAACGCTTTCTCAATCTCTTTGCGCTCGAGGTGTGGTGGTGTCAATTTTGTCTTGTATCTTGAGGTGTGACAATCATCTACCCAGGTGAAGTTGATAGGTCTCTGGAGGGTTTAACCGGGGTAAGGACTCACTCGAATATCTCCAGGCAGTCATTCGTTCCCTCAACCTCGAGGGATGGTGGCGTATAGAGCTGCGATCTTGCAACATGTTGCAGAAGACGAGTTCGAACCAGATCAGAACCCTTTTGGATTCAAGATAGAAGTAACAGAAGACCAAAGAACCTGTGCGATTGTCACCAGAAATCCGGACGATTGGAGGGTTGCCCACCCCGGTATATTGTAGAGGGGAGATCCAGTTTTGTCCACTCGTTGCCGACTGCTCGACTTGTTCTCTTTTCACTAGAAATGCTTCAGGACCGTAGCGCATCTTGATATGCAATGTGAAGCTTGACGGGGATGCTTTCTGGCGTGCAGCGAGGAGAGCAGCCGCCCCTGGTCAAGCGGGGGGGCGGCGAGGCCGGCCGAAGAGAAGCGAGGGGGGGACCAACTACTCTGGGCTGTTGGCAGGTAAGAAAGGGGCAATACCAGGCAGTGTTCGCTGTCCGTGATTGCTCCTGCCCAGCAGGAAGTCTGTTCTTTGCGTCCTCCAACATGCGTTGTCAATCATCGATATCCGTGTTCTGAACAACACAGGAGATAGAAAATCGATTCCTGATTCGTTTCAGTCTGAATCATTCTCTCTCCACCAGGCGTTGACGGCTCGGGCTTCAAGCGGAAGCGGCGCAAGCGCGAGGAGATCGAGGAGCGGCCGTTCAAGTGCGAACTGTGCGACCACCCGGGGTACACGTCCCGGGGGGGCTTGTCCGACCACAAGTGCACGTCCGGCGTCCGGATGGATCACATGCAGGACGGCGGCCTGGGGGGGGCTCAGATTGTGGTCCCCGTGGCGTCACAAATGGGGGGGCAGATGGTGGGGCAAGGGATGGATCCGGGAATGGATCATCCGGCGATGGGGTATCACCACGAGGACACAGCGATAGGCCAGATGCATGGGCATGGCATGCCGTCATGACACGACTTACTACAGCGCTTTGATGCAATGAACAATTTCGAAGTGGTGCAAAATGACGGCGCACATGCTAGGTTGCATGGTAGGACTACTGTTGTTGCATTATGATAAGTAGGTCTAGGTTAGTGTACAATAAAAAAATGTTCTGGCGGATGGTCGATATGATTAAAGTAGACTCGGAAATGCTTTGCAAAATGAAAGTTGATGTCGCTTCGATGTACTGACGAGTATCGTGTCAAATGCAATTGTAAGCATCTCAGGCTGGATGGCGCCAGTTTAGTGTTCTCTGGATTGTGGTCTCTCATGGTTCTTTTTGGCCATGACAAAAGTTTTCCGGTTTTACTGTATAGTCTGTAGGCTTGACGCGCATGTAAAGATGGCGAGTATCCAAGTCCAGCGTCCAGTACACGATCGGAGGTGTGCTTTCATCTGACAATGTCCGCTCGAGTTTCAGTTGTTGTTCTAGAACAGTCACACAGCTCGCGCCAATCCCTACATGGACTCACCGTGGCCCCGGCTCATGTGCATATACCTATACAGAGATCGATACGATAGTAATTCTAGCTCGAGTCCCACCTGCATCATAGTGCAGACCGTCCCATGGCCCCGCGCCGGCGACCAACGATCATGCAACCAATTACGGCCGCGCACATGTGCTCTTAATCCGATTTACATGGCCGCCATGCATGGTCTGGCACTCACTGTGCCGGATCATGCAGCTCCTCGAGCCACCGTCGAACATACATGATGTAAGGCGGCCGCGCCTACGACCCCAGGCCTGAGGCTTCATGGCAGCTGTGCATCCCAGGCCTGCGGCAGGACAATTGCTGCTATCCATGCGCAGTAATATACGAAGAAGGGCTCAAGCGCTCATGGTTCTGAACACTTGAAAGTTGGAGAAGCGCTTGACAGCACTCAGACGTCATTCTTTTGACTAGGTGGATGAATCCTACAAGCTCTAAGGCTAGCTACGCTCTTTCAGCGACCAATCGACCTTTTGCCCACAAGCAGGCGACAGCAACCTTTCCCTATTCTAATTTTCACAGCGAGCTAAAGGCTAAAACTCTGCAACGGGTTACTCCTTGGTGCTCAGACCAAGTGTACATTGCAAGCAATTCGGAGCGCAAGTGCGTGCTGATACGACGACGTATCAGTTCAAGCCGTTCCCCAGAAGATGCCGAGCGCAATACCCTGGAGGGAAACAGCGCGCACTTCATCAGTTGCTTCCATTGAGAATTCCCATGTGTTCTTGAAAGGCCGAAGAGCTGCGGCTTCCAATAATGTGGGAGACCTCGGCAGAAAGCCCATTACTGGAGGTGGACTACAAACCAGAACTCCATGAAGTAGCAATAGAAAAGCGCACCTGAAAAAAGCGATGGATCGCCGAAGCGCGGGCGACTTACTGTCTTTGAAAGAGTCGCGATTACCTAAACCCAGTTTTTAAAAGGGTAACAAGCTCCCCGAAGGCGTTCACAATGAGCCTGAGCTACAGCCCTTTCAGTCCACACGGTCAAGGTGAGGAGTGTTCCTTATTGCTATGGCGTCCAAAAAGCAAGTAAGTCTTTTCTCTATGACTTTGGCAGAGCAGGTCAAACAAATCCACTTCACGACCTCAGCGAAGCACGAGGCAACACGCTCTCTTTGATGACGTCAAGGAGAGGTTCACCAGCTATCTCAGCGACTTTTCCGTAGCTCGAACGCTGGGCTTCATGCCCAATGACGTCACCAACACCAGAAAGAACCTGTCCCCCATTACGTCGGCACAAAAGAGTCACCCGCAAACAGACTCACCCACTGCTTGAGTGGAATCTCTTGAACTTGAGGCTGGCCTTCTTGCCGGTGCTCTTCGAATGACGTCAACAAAGAAGAAAAAAGGTTTTCCCATAACGTCAGCGAACTCACCCACTGCTCGAGCGGGTTCTTCTTGGGTTTCAGGCTGGGCTTCTTGCCGGTGATCTTGACGAAGTCCTCGATGATCTCGCGCTTGGTCAGCGAGACCGTCAGCCGTGGCCGCTTGAGCGGCTCCGGCTTGTCTCCCTCCTCGCGCTCCGCCGCGCGCCGCGTGCGCTTGCGCCTCTGCCGCGCCTCCGCCTCCAACTCCTCGTCCGAGTCCCTGAGAGACATGTGAAAAAGATCAATAAGATCCTGATGAAGATTAGAGAGTGTTGAGATAAAAGAGAGTATTGAAATGATAGCAAAAACGCTTTGGAACGACGGTGGTTGAGTGCCGCGCCTCCGCCTCCAACTCCTCGTTCGAGTCCCTGAGAAAACGATGGGACGGATTGAGTCAAAAGTCAGTTCAGACTTGGATACTGTTGAGATGAAAGGACAGGATGCGAGACAGAGTGAAGCTAGAGCGACCCTCGGACGTTATGGACCAGAAAAAGGAATGATACGGAAGAAAATACGATCCTAAACGATTGTGTGGCGTACCTCCGCCTTAGACTGCGTCTGAGCCCCTGGGCACAGGTTTTTCAAAGCACACCAGGTGACAGCTTACAATAAGGAGAACGTTATTGAAATTTTGAGTCCGTTTCAAAAGCTGTTGTTCCTGCTTTGTGACGCAATGTGCTTCTTCGCCCTGTAGCTCCTCAAAGGAAGCCCTGCGAAAATCAGCCCGACCGTCTGGACGTTCGGATTCTGGTCAGAAATGGCGGAGCTTAATGACATCTGGAGCTGATAACGAACTTCGAGGCCACGTTTGGTGTGATGCGATTTGAAGGGCTTCAGATCCGCTCAGATCTAGGAACGTTTGGACCTCTGTTCCTCTCACATCGTGCATCCAATGCGATCCGATAGGCGGGGAAAGCAAGCACCAGCTTAGCGATATCTGGCTTCAGATCGACGTGCTTCAACTTTTGCAAGAGGCCTTTAAGACAGTTCTGCTCACACCACTACAACCCACTCACCTCTCTTTCGGCGTCCTTTTTACGGCGGGCCTCTTGCCCTTCTTCTTCTTCTGTTGCGCGGCTTTGATCTTATTCCGCGCCCCGCTGGCGCGCGCGGCCCCTCTCCTCGAAGGCGGCCTGCTGGGGGTCGCCTCCCGCTCCTCCTCGGGGGGCGTGGGCGAGTCTGAGTCAGCGCCGGCGCGGTGGTTGCGGCCGCGCTTTCTTATCCTGAACAAGAGTTGTGACGTCAGCAAGTTTCAGATCTGACCTTCTTCCTAGCTTGGACCAAGATTGTCGTGTCAGCATGTTAGTGTACCAGTTGACCTTCCAAGTCGGGGCTGTTGATTGGTTCGGACCAGATGATGGTTTCAGAACGAAAAGGTAACCTGCTCATCAGAAAAGGCATTTATTGTAATGTGGCAGAACTGCTGTCAGATTGTCTGCATGTAGCGCTTGCTCTAAGGCACTCTTCTCAAAGGAATCGGTGGAGTGCAAGGAACAGTGAGAAATGATGTGTGTGAGAATACTAACATTCGTTAGTCGCCCCGTTGCAAACTCCAGGACTTGTAGTAAGTCCACAAACTCTTAAGGGGCCAACAAAAGCAGGAGGTAAGACTGTTCTGATCAAGAGTGACCTGCAGAGCAGCCAGTGATTGACCTCCTTTTAGCTCCAGTCTCTTTGCCTGGTGCCTTAGTCCAAACCTGATAAGAAAGTTGGTCGTAGATCTGTGCTGACGCTGTCTTTCTCACCTTTTCCCTCCGCTGACTGCGGTTGCTGTCATCTTCTCGTCAGCCTCTGTACCCCCACTGGACAGCCCCTCTGGCGATGTGCCGGGCTTGCTGCATTTTAGAAGTAAGGCATAAGCTATGAGCAACCAACCATAAGCTTCACCTCCTGTCTCTGGTTTTGTGAGCATTGCAGGACATTCAAGCAAGATAAGGACAAGATGTGCGGACCTTAGAGCTTCTGCAGGGAGATCTGAAAGCATTGGGAATTATGCGACACATTACGTACAAAGCATTTTCAGAGGGCGGAGACTGTTGCTGGTGGTGTGCAAAGAGTGGTGCACTTGGCTGTCAGCGCTGCGCTCCACTAATCCTATTAAAGAGAGAGATTTTAGCAGCTCTGCATACCAACGGAATGAAGCAACAGCAGTTGTTTGCTAACCGCCGAAATGTTGAAGGAAGACTTCTGAACCCAAACCTGTAACTAAACCCCCCATATGAGAAGGGTAGCAGGGGATCAAATGCAGATTAGAATGGCGTCATCTTACCCGTTCAAACCTCGCAGCCAGGTCAAAAACTTGTCGTTTTTTGAGCGGGCACGACGCTTTTGCCCCTGCATCAAAAGGAGTCTACTTGTTATACACCAAGCTCATCAAATGCGACTCTGGTCTAATGTTGCACAATATAAATCAAATGCAGCTGCATTCCAATACTGGGAACTCTTTTCGGAGTACTGCCTTCAGCTGTTAATCAGCAAACATGGCAAAGCGGAACTCCTCGTACTTCAGAATGGCAGAGCGTGAGGTGAGCGCATCAAGTTTGCGGGCGTCGCAGGGACAACAATGATGCTCAGGAGTTGGAACAATGCCTACCATGACACAAGAAAAGGCGGAGACGAGGCAGATTGCCAAAACCACCAGCATTTCGCAAGAAGCAAAAATGAATATGTTTCCAGGTCCAAAAGGGCGCGCATAGGCATTTAGAGAAATTAACGTTTGTGAACGGCTAATGATTTGATGTGGAACGTTGGGCAACCATTGATGAGCTATCAACCTGGAAACAAAAACAGCAACTGTTACAAGAATAGAAACACGTGCGATTGTATGCCACTAGAGAACTTGGATGTGAAGGAGCATCCTATGAGAAGTCTTCACCTGATCTTCTCCACCCATCGGAACTGGGTGACCAAACCAGCACACAGCAGCAACAGGCCTGCACTGTAAATGCAGATATGAGCAAGTTCAGCTGTCAATCAACAAGACGTTCGTAAGGGCAAGAAAGTACTCTGCATAAGGTTTCCAGCCTCTCAATGAGACATTCAAAAGCTCTCATATAGGCACAGTCCATTGCGTCCTGAGTATAGTCGCATGTTGTGTAGCTGCGGCCCTCCCTTCCGACAAAGCAAATCTGCATACCACTCACTGATTTGCCACTCCAGACTGCCAGCATGCTGTCGTCACACTGAACGAGTCAACAACCAATCTACTCTGAATTCGTCCAGAACAAACCAAACGCAAGCTGCAGACAGTTGGCAAACTCAAGCGAAATGCACTTACCTTACGCGGGCACGTTTGGTCTGTTGTAAACTTTCTGTAGCGAACGCCAACCGCCGCGTTGGGCACAGTTGCTTCTGGTTGTCCGACACCAAGCTCGCCCAAAGACTTCCCTTCTCGCAAAGTAGCCCTCGTAACACAGTGGTTGATCTGGTCGCTGCAGATCCGACTTGCTCTTGCTCCTGCTACTGCTGCACCAGTGGCAGTGCCAGCTATGAAAGCTTTCCCCGCAAACAGAGTTCTGCAAATTCTCGAAAGTACACTCCGTAATTTTCTTTTCCAGACCATGAAGTACCAGCGTGTGTACATGTCGCGTACTTCAGTTTTGAGGATAGGTACCTACCTAGGCTACAGCCTACAGCCTACCGGGCGACATTTCCCAATGCCATGAGCTTCCAAAGCGCCCGGCTATTACTGCCGGTTATGTTGGGCCAGTTCACACTGCTGATGAGGTCCACAGAATAATCGCTGAGGTCGTGGTTTCCGACCTGCATATGTGAAAAGGCTTCAAAGAGGGCCGGAATCACCGATCAAGACTTGGATGATCATCTCACTGGCAATGAGTTCCAAAAGCATTCCCCGACCACTCGATAAGTTAAAAGCTAGCCTGTTGAGGGCTCGGTTGATCTAATGGGAATGGCCCGGCCAGATCTCCAAGGTCACCGTGCCACAGTGGACACAGGTGAATAGACCCCTGACCTTGACACGTGTAAGAAGCAGCTCGCGTCCCTGTTGTGTGGCGGAACCCCCGCTCGCACGCGCCTTATGGCGGCCGCCACGGCCGGGGCCCGACTTGCAGTGCGCGGCCGGCTGCCGAGCTCGACAGCCGCGCCCCGCAGCCTGGTGTAAGCCTGTGCAATGTGCAATGGATGCCCACTTCCAACACAAGGACAGCCCGACCTGCTGCATGTCGCCACCTGACCTTCAGGTGTAGGTATATGGATATGGCTCCTGCCAAGCGACGACAACTTTTGCTGGTCAACGGAAGAGCGGGCCGCAAAAGCTTGCACGATGGGTGCACGAACCTTCTCCTTTTATATGATTGTGTAGGATTGTGGAGACCTATGGAATACCACAACTCTGGCTGGATCATGTTCTGGATTACAAATTAAGGTCAATCAAATCCATGAAAACTAACGCGCAGAACGTTTGTATGAGTCTGCAGTGTGTATCCTTATTGTGAGGCGCTCCCCTATCTACCGTCCTCAAATCGTCGCTAGATAGGCCATCTGTCTCATCGGGTCACGACATGTTTCTGCAAAAGAGTCCGATGATGAAAGTGACTTATGATGAGAATGTGATAATGTAGGTATCAGAGAGTAACTTTGAGAGCGTCCTCAAAAACAAAACTGGTGAAGCTATGCCAATGGGCAGTATATACGTGTTGACTGTTGAGACGTATTATGGTCTTTCCTGTCAAATTCACCCGGGGCAAATCCTCCATCCTTAAGCATTCCACGTTCAAACATCTCTCTCTTGTCCGAATCCTGTTCTTGGGTCATCTTGAACAATACACCGATTGGTACGGTACAGTCGCTCTACTTCATAGATCTTCTACATCTACATCATATGCGACGCGAGAGTGCACACTGTGCTGGCTACTTTTGAGCCTGATTACAAGCTTTCGAAAGTACTTTGCAATGATGAGATAGATGCTTTAGCAATCAGTAAAAATTCTATTGACGTAAGAACTTGAAGCTTGAAACTCCATCTCTACCTTTTCAGATAGCCAGCAGGTCGGCTCAGAGCGGATGGTTACTCCCATCCACGTGACCAACGCAACCCAAACTCCCTTTTGTACGAATGACTGTTGTTGGAGATGGGCTTGAATTTCCTGTTTCGAATCAAGTTGACGTCGCTGGCTTTTTGCTTGTCAAATTCGACGATTGAAAGCCGTTGGTTACGTAGGAAGGTAGCCATGATGACGTCAACGGCAACTAGCAACACTTTTGTCAGTCTACAAAGCTTACGGGCAACCTCTACTTGTTCTTGCCAACAGCGATATGTGCGTTTGACATTGTCTTATGTAATTACGAAATCGCAAGGAACATAGTCGTTCCTCGTGGAACATGCTTTTTACCACGAATACAGTCGTCGAAAAGGTTGCAGCCGTTGCTTGCTTCGAATGCCCCAAGTCTTCGTTTACTGCACTTGTTAGCCGACTTGCCACTGCAATATATAACACAAAAGCGAATCACTGATCTGAAACCATCGCGAAGCTCGCCAAGTGGAAACAGGACAGAAAAGCATCGAACTGATGTAGGCGGCAAAAACCCTGCCCCTTCTCTTGTCAGCTCCATGTCTCTTAACCAGCATGTAACAGGTTCCTCAAGCTGGGACGCAATTCAAGTTGAGTGCCCTGTCAATACAACGTTCAGAGATTGCCACACAAAAAAGGTCCATACTATCAATCTGCAGGACCTGTCACTGCATAACTTGCATTTAAAAGGGCCGACTGCACGGAGGTGAACACAAAACACGGCCACCTTACCTGCAAGCCTGCCTGTTGGTCTTGTCTACCCTTTGGCTTCTCCTGTGCTGCCTTTGTCGCCTTGATTGCAGCCCGGCCTGTGGCACTCTGCTCAAACTTTTGCTGCCTGCAATCAACAGATAAGGAGTGGAGTCAAAGAGCGCTTTGCTACACAGCAGGTTGTTCTATCTCACCGGATGCTCGAGCAGAAGGCCGGCTAAGCACAGCCTGTCAAGCCCCTGGCTTTGTTCTGAGTGTTTTTGGAGACCTGACCCTATCCATGCACTGATGTAGTACAGCGAGACTTCACACTGTAAGTATGATACTACCGCTGCCCTGGCTACTAGCGCATCAACATAAATCACACTAGAAAATTCCCAGTTTATACTTACTTGAAAGCAAGCGCGCACCTTGAATTCTGAAAGGTGATTACACAGAACTTTCGAAAGGACAACTGAATGTTGTTGGTCATACTGAATAAGTGAGTGACCAGACTGTCTGGCCGTTGTACAAGCTTCTCATGCTGTTACTTGGGAATCCTGAAGACAATTCTCTGTTCATAGCGCCTCTTCCTTGCAGTTGCATACCGTAACATGCTCCATATCCTGACAGAAGCCTTCTATACTTATCACGCTCTGTGAATCTTCCATTAGACTCCCATCTCGTGTGAACCAGACAATTCAGTTGCGTACGCGGGCCTGTCCCTGCTGTGACACTGCTTCATCTGATCTGAACAGCAGCAATAGCAGAAAAGCGAAGCAGGCGGAAAGAGAAGGCGGAGAAAGGATGCTCATCCTGTATTTCGTTTCACTTCTTCAGATTTCTACAGGTCCTTTCAATGCTGCTATATTTATAGTCCTGAAGGGTTGAAAAGTGCTTAGTTTGGATCATGTTGCCATTGATACCCAGCCACCAAGAACAGAAAGATACATAAGACATAGAGAAATTTCTGAGGCAAATCTTTCAATCATAGTGCACAAAAGGGCTATTAGAAGAAGATACCAATGACACTTGGAGAATGCCTTCAGTCTGAACCTGGGGCTACTCATGAGGCCTTCAAAGAAAACTGATGCAGCTTTGTAACACAACAAGCCCAACTTGAGCGGAGCGTCCAGGATCTAGAAGGATAAGCAAAATCACCTCAACGCTGCTGCATTTGCAGCCTGCTGGCGGGCGTCGACATCCGTCCCAGGATCGCCCCCTAGCCTGCGGCCTGCTCCGCCTCCCCTGAGAGGTCCATCGTCATCTAAGGTAGCGCTCTTCCCACAGCACCCGCCCATTCCGACCAATGTGTGCCGTGGGAAGGTTGAGATAAGCTGTTTAGACAGCCACAATGCTGTAATTCTGAAGGTAAGTTGTGGGACACAGCGCCGCCTTGCTCGCATTCCTAGCCTCTTTGACTCTGAGTCACTGGTCTGAGTACGACTCTGAGCAAGAACCACGATCAGGCCTATGCAGGGTCTCCCAACGAAGAAGAAAAAACGACCTCCTGTATGGAGATTCGACAGCATCGAACTTGCGCCCAGAGCTTGAACCCGTTTCTTTGAAAACCTAATTGCCGAGCATCAAAATGGACTAGGTTGAAATGCCGGTTCTTTTGGGCGGCAGACGCTTCTTCATTGCGTATCTGCGCGTCGAACAGAGAGCTGACGGTTTACCTTCAACCATCTCCACTACCATCGCCGACTTTCTTCAGCTGAGCTCTCCAGAGTCCAGCAACTGTTCGTTGCAAGTTGCAGCCTGCACAGCAAACCAAACGGACTTCGGCCTTAACTTCAGCCGCCTGATGGGCGCCACGTGTCCCCCCTAAGTCGATGGTCCTGCGCCCCGGAGGAATTGACCCGATTGCGCCGTCGAAGTGCAAATGCGGTTGGGTCAGTGCCGCCGGCGACCGTTTTTCGTGACCCTTACCGCCTACAATCACCGTTCCCGGTCTAAAGCTGTAACCAGGGGCCGGCTTTTGCCGACCATTGCCTAGCTTTGCCTAGCTTTGCCTAAAGCTTTGCCCTAGCTTTGCCTAGCTCTTGCTTTGATGACATTAGGGTTTGCCTTGGGCTTGCTTTTCCTAGTTTAGCGTTCATTTGCGATGCCCAATCAGCGTACAGGATTGAACTACGGGTCCGGGCCATGTCAAATTGAGTCCTTGAAAGGGTCGTGCTATGCAGACTCTGCGTTAAGCACGAGACGTGACTGGCACTGGGTGTGGGTAGTGCAGTGCCTGAATATTAAATTCTTACTTGTAGGATTGGCTTGCTGCTGGGGCTGCAAGCTACGCTGCAGGCGCTGTGACTCGGGAGCTGCACGACCATTGATTGATGCTGCAATGTAAGCCAGGAAGGGCTACAACTTCTGTTTAAGGTTTGTTAGCAGTATAGCTCCGCGTCTGGAAGCAAGGAGATATGGCAGCAAGTGCCTTGGCAAAAGGTTCGTGTCTTGCTGCTACAATTATGACACCTACCACTCCATCAATATCATCTTCTAGGAGAGATGCTGTCTTCCGAAAGTTTTCGGGACTCAGTCCGAGCGACAAATTCGAGCAGAATGCGGTGGCAATTGGAAGGAGCATTTCCAGAGGTGAGCTTGTTTGTCATTGTCCTTGTAGCACTCTTTGTTCGGTTATCAGCACATCTCTGGTTTGTTTTTCTTGTTTGAAGAAAATAGAGCGGCAGTCAATCTTTCCAGCTCAAGCATGAGTGAGGGTGGGCCTCTGACGAGTTGAATGGAGCTTGGCAATGGTCCATGTTCTGTCGGAAGCTGTTTCTCATGCGATTCGTTGAATCAAGGTCTGTTTACATACTGAAAATTCGAGCAGAAGGCAGAGGGACGATGATAAACCTGAGGGGTTGTTCCGGCAGGTCGATTCAGCCACTGCAGAAAGCCCCCTGTGGAACCTTCCATTCCTGCTCATTCACATGGTTCTTCGTTGTTTGGACGAAGTGCCCACGGTTCCTAACGGTCCTGGAGTTCTTGGATGCAGTGGAATTCTCTTGGTACATCCTCTCAGGCATGTGTGTTTCTCTGTCCAGGAACCGCTGCGCGTGGAAGGCGATACCAGAGCATCACGGCGGCGGAGAAGTCCGATGTCGTCCTCTCCGATTCTGAGAAGGAACTGCTACGACAGATGGGCAACCTTTTTGACAGCAAGCAGCAAAGCGTGCAAAGTCTTGAGAGTGGCGTGCAGAGTCTGCAGCAAAGCGTGCAAAGTCTTGAGAGTGGCGTGCAGAGTCTGCAGCAAAGCGTGCAAAGTCTTGAGAGTGGCGTGCAGAGTCTTTACACAGAATTTGCGGCGCAGCAAACCAACCTAGACCAGCAGAGGCAGCTGCTTGGAACGCTCGTAGAAGCAAGTGCACGGGAACAAGTGCGTAAGATGTTTGGAGAGAATTATGAGAAATCACTCTTGGCCCGGTCCCTCCAGGATCTAGCACTGCTTCTTCCTGAGGAGGCTGTGCACAACTCTAGTAAAGCAAAGCAAGTTCTGAAGGGGCCCCTGGAGCGAGCCGTTTTTGTGAGCAGGGCCTGGTCGAGGCAGGCATTCCAGAGAAGCTTCTCATTAGCCTACAGGAGGGTGCTGGAGAGTCGGGGTGGCTGCGCGAGGACGGAAGATTAGACCGGTCTAGTCTCGGTAGATTCCTTGGCAGCACTCCCAATGCTGCGCTGAGGTCAACAATCGTGCGCCTTCGACGAGTCCTGCAGCTGGAGAAGGTAGATGACCAAGTACAGGAGCTCATTCTGTGTGAAAGCGCGGGGATCCTCTGCCTGATGGCAGCGGCATTCCCGGATATCTACTTGAAGGGGCAGCCGAACGTATTCCCCAGTGATGAACTGGAGATCGATTGCAAGGGGCGGATGGATGTAGCACGGGATGGGACTTTCTCGTACATCGACCTTGGGGAGGTGAAGACGCGCCTGGATTACGCCACTGCAGTCCCACAGTTGGGCTTACGTCTAGGAGCATTGAAGTGGTTTGTTTGCAAAGCGTGCGGGGCACAGACAGAGGGCGTGCGGCTTGTCGGACGCTTGTTCGTGTTCCAACAAGGGGTTGAGGAGTTCGTAGATCTTGCTCAGAGGGATGAGGCCTCGACAAAGTGGGGTTATAGCCTCTATCTGCATAGGGTGTGAAGGACTCAAAAGGAAACGCAGGACTGGAACCTGTACTGGCCTACAGGTTTGTACATCTCAAACCCGATCAAAATATTGTCATATTGGTAAATGAAGAAGAACATCTGTACAGAGGAGGACAGGGTTATATGTAGAAGGGACATACTTGTATAGAGGAGCACACTTGTCTGCGCACACCTAGCAACTTGGTCCTTATCAAGGTACTTATCTGTGGGCTGTCCTACATGAGCTGTTCTGAGTCGCTTGCACCTGTTTAATGTAAAGCTATGTGCCATGCAACTAATGTGTGCTATAGTTTTCAGAATTGTAGCAAATCAATTGTGCACATTATGCACTGCGCAGATCTTCAGCATGGATCGTTGAAGTGATTGAAGCTTCTCGTTCTTACTCATGTCAAGTACAGGAGGTCTGATCGTGCAGCCACGCTCAGAAGCATAATTCACCATTGTATGCATACATGATCCTGCACTGCGTTGGTTGCCTCGCATGCACTACAGTGCTATAAACGTACACAGCACTATCAATCATGTGGTGCCATAATAAAGATGGCCCTTTTGATGTACTAAGGATCTTAGGGAGAATGCATAGGAGCTCGCGGCCGCACAACATATTTCAACATACGATAAAGAATATCATTGACGCGGATGCTCTGTCAAATCGGGGTCAACGAAAGGACTGGTAGACCCTCTGGCAGTGCTCGGGCCACGTGCACCATGTGGCCCCTAAAGAAGTGGTATAAATCAAATTCATATGACCATTCTGTATCCATGCATTACGTGCGCCAAGCAGCCAACGATGGCCCGGTCTACGTGCTATATAGCACGCATGTTAAAAAGACCATCGGCACCACCCGCCTGCATATGTACACTCGAGTGCTCGGAGATCCGTCCCATGCGGCAGATCGGAAAGCTGACGCGCTTCGAGAGCATGCTGGGCGGTGAGACGCCTCCGGTGGCCCCCGATGATCTCAGCGTGTGCCGCACGTTGGACAAGCGGTTCGTGGACTATTGGGCCTTCCAGGGTGACATGGGGGGCAGCCATATAGCCGATCAGATGTACGCCTCATGTGGCAGGTGAGCCCTCCTCTCCACAGATCTCCACAACATGTTCAGGGTGTTCATGGTTTTGCACAAACTTGGCAAAGATAAATTTTCTCGGCGGCCCGCCGAATATGTTCAGGGTGTTCAGGCTTTTGCCCAAACTTTCTCACGAGTCAAAAATTGACACGTGGCAGTTTCAAGATGGTCAGGGTGTTCAAGCTTTTGCCCAAACTTTCTCAAGAGTCAAAAAAGTGACACGTGGCAGTTTCAAGATGTTCAGGGTGTTCAAGCTTTTGCCCAAACTTTCTCAAGAGTCAAAAAGGTGACACGTGGCACTTTCAAGATGTTCAGGGTGTTCAAGCTTTTGCCCAAACTTAGCAAAAATGATTTTTTCTCGGCGGCCCGCCGAATATGTTCAGGCTGTTTAGGCTTTTGCCCAAACTTTCTGGAGAGACAAAGTTTCCATGACACGTGGCGGTTTCGGGATGTTCAAGATGTTCAGGGTGTTCAGGCTTTTGCCCAAACTTTCTCAAGAGACAAATGTTTCCATGACACGTGGCGGTTTCA